TAGTCTTAGAGCTGCTGGTAGCAAGAGCAGCTCACGCCAATTCGTCCTTGAAGTCAGGGTAAATGGGGCACCAGTCAGTCCTAAGGGTTTGGACAAGGCAGTGCTGCAGAAAGGCTCCTGTCTGGGGGTGGACACGACAGCCCCGGCAGGCAGGCATGTGCAAAGAGGCACGAGCTGCTTGGTCACACAGTGCATTCACCCGTTTGAACAGGAAGTCTAAAATCCACAGTAATTTCATGTCTACGTTCACTGAAATTACCAATCTGTAATGCTATTCCTTACCATATATTGCCTTTCTTTTTTTTTTAATAAACAACTCTCTGTCCCCAAGCAATTCCTCTCCAGAGGGCAGTGGATGCTAAAGGCAGTGCCAGGTACAGAGGAATTAATTAATGAGATTAGAGTGATATATGTCATCAGGTCGTCATGTGTCGAGAGACCGACCTTTTTTTCTTCATGTTGATGGCCCATCCTCACACAGCTTCTCACTCGCCCCGGTGATCATCGGTATCGCTAACCCAATTTAAGCCCAATTTATTAAATTCTGCAAGATTGAGTCCTCCCACCAAAAAATCACCCCTTATTTATGTAAATACAGACACCCATGAGAGACATCTGTCCACATAAAAGGAGTCCCCTCACACCTCATCGCTAACAAACACAACCGCTTCTACAACAAATTGCTGCAGTCAACAGAAACACAGAGACTTGAGCCACTCATGTGCTTTCAACAGAGTTGTACTTAAAAGCCCTTGGCCTGGTTTTCCGTTTCTCTTTATTAAAGCAAATGAAGACGTGAATAATATGGCAAGGCGGAGCACATTTCAATACCCTTGAGCTACAGAAGGGTGCAGGTACACATAAGATACCTGCAATTGAAATCCACCTCGAACTAATGTTGGGGTAGGAATCCTTTCTGTTTTTCCTTCTTTTTAAGGATGTGTTCCACAAAACATTTGCAACAATATAGTTCATTAGCCAAGCCTGTCTGGCTGACAAGCCAAAATTGCCACCCCTTGGTCTGAGCTTTAAAATAGCTCCTCCCAAAACTAGAGTCAAACATTCCCAGGTTGTCAAAGATGTTTATTTCTCTCTCTCACTCTTTTTTTTTTTTTTTTAATCATTAAATTTGAGGATCTGTTGGCCATGTGGTCCAAGCTGACACAGCCCAGTGCTGGAGCTCACCGAGGGCAGGATTAGTCTCTCTAACACACCAAGTGTTGCAGGTCTCGCAAGACCACAAACAGGGTTAGCCTAAGCACCCAGGCAGCCTAACCAGAGCCTCCACCTTTTCCTGGAGTCACTTCCCATCTGTTACACATGCAAGTCACGTCTTACACATTTGGATGACTTGAGTCCTTGCTGGAATTTTGTCCTGTTCATTTTAACACATGATGAATATCATAGCCTGAACACTTTCTGTAAAGCACTTCATTAAGTTGGGTAAGCAAATAAAAGGAACAATATTTAAAGATAATATCAAAACACAACTCAATCTATCTTACTATCTTTTCTAGGTAGGACTGCACATTCACCTGATGAGTGCAGATGATTAGTTTAATTAAAAGCATTAGGCCAGATAGGACGTTTATGCAACGAAAAGCAAATAATATCAACTCAGCACCTATGTGTCCTACCCCAAAAGCAATCGGCAGTGAACTTCCATCAGACAAGTGTATTCCTACTGGAACTGCAGTGAGACCAGTTCTTGCCCCATGCAAACAAATAGCACACTGAACAGATCCACCTGCTAAGGAATGGACTGGCCAGCCCAGTTAACCTATTTGCACGGCTTCCAACTGAGTGTCAAACCTCACATTTTGCATCTATCATCATTTTTACTTCCTAGCGTGCAACACAAGCCCTAAAATCTAGGATTTCACTTGCTTTGAGCTACCTTTTCCAAGACAATTTTTCAAGACCTCCAGTACATCACTGAGCTTCCTCCCAGTACTTTATGCACAATGCTACAAATATATATGCAGAAACATGTTTAAAAGCCCCTAACTCATTTAGGTGCACCTGAAAATGCACAGCGCTTGAATGCAGCGTGTAGCACATCTGAGAGCCAAGTCGACCTTGGCACGTGAGAACTGGAATTTGCAGATCCAAGGAGGAAAGAAACTGGACAGTTACTGAAACTGTGAATGGAGCTCCTGGAGCCGGGGCATCACAGACCTCAGCAGCTCAACACCACTCTCTGGTGGGCACAACTCCGAAAACGCTCGGAGCCTCTGGAAGCGCAAGCAGCTCCACAGAAAAGGAAACTCTTCTTTCAGTCCAACTGCCTCCCTCTTATGGTAAATAATCCCCCCAAACACCTTTCCTGCTGGGGAATGAAATGCGAGGTGGACATGAAGCAATGTACAGGGCTGGAGCTTTGTCTTGTCTTCCTTTGCTTCAAGTGCCCATTTATGGTGACATTTGGGAATAAGCTAGATGTATCGCATCGCTGTACCTGCCTTCTTTCCTGTGTTTGATCTTCCTGCTACCTGTGATATGAAACCTGTATAAAACTAATTCATGCCCTTCTACTGCTGAGCCAAAACTGATGCAATCATATACTCCCCTAAAAGGTCATGATAAGTACACTGGTACTTGACTCCATCACCCTGAGTAAAACAAAGATGAGAAGAGGGGGTAATTATTCTGTTTTCAAATGAAATCATCTAAAGAGTCACAGCAATAATGCCTAGATTGTCTAGGTCTAATGTCAGTTTTCCAGCACAAAAACTATCCTTTTTGGCGGGTTTTTGTTGTTGTTGTTGGGTTTCTTGCCCTTACTTTATCATGATGGTACAGCACCTCTTTCTCGTGATCAAGTTGTCAACTGCTCATTGAGAAGGTCCTACACTTACACTCCGTGGCACACGAGGAATGGCTGCAAATTTCCCTGCTAGCACCGAGGGTGGTGCCAAGTCCCAGCAGCTTGGCATTCAGAAAACAGGCAGCTTCTTGAATGGCCAAAGCATTTTGCCATCAGAAACAGAGGTTTTGGTTTAACGGAACCTTTCTGACAACTTGTAATAGCTTTGACAAGCTATATCAATGAAAAACGCATGATATTTCACCAGCCTCAAAAGAGAAGTATTTCTTTCCCTACCTCAGCAAGCTCATTTCAACAAATGCATACCTACCAGACTCTGACATCAAATGTGTCTTATTTAACAGCAGCATTAAGATTAACATTATTAACATTATTAACAGCATACATTTCCTATGAATTTCAGCTTTACATTTCAGGACAGTTCTTTATTCATCCATCTAAACCATGATCTGATGCATACTCTTTGCATGCGACTCCACACTAAAGGTATAATTATTTCAGACATATTTTGCTGTACTGGAGATCTAGCAAAGTTTAACCTGAAATAATTTCAAACTCATGTTCATGGGCATTATTATGGACATCTTGTAAGAAAGAGTTAAATTCTTAGCTAGCATAAGATTAACATAGGCACGTTCATCCTTACTCTTGAGCTTGTATCAGTTGAGCATCAGTACCATATTTAGCATATTTAAAAGTCACAGAAATACACAAATCTTCAACCCCCTTAATATTACAAGGGAAGATATTCATGACATATGAATCACATCGTTATCATCTTTCCTTAATGCACAGCAAAAGCAAGAAAAGAAAAACACCAGGCTCTGAAATCTCATCTACCCCTTCAGACACTGACTGGTTGACAGACCAGCACAATTTCAACTCCAATAGGCATGAATGAGTTTCCAGGCAAAGAAGCAGAGATAAAAGGACAGGGGATTTTAATAATTTCTCATGGGCTGTAGTCAAAGTTTTATTTACTGCTTGGTCTACAGACAGAAAGCTCAGCTGGGATATCAGCCTCGGGAAGTTTTGGATTTACCAGGAACAAGTTTTTCAGGTGGCCATATAAAACAAGGTAAATTTCCATCAATTACTACATTTTGTCTAACCATATACCTTTTGAGAAGTACAACATAGAATCTAGTAGAACAGTAATCTGGATAAAAAAGGTGCTGAAAAGATTATCTATGATAAACTCATTGACAGAATTTACATAACAATTTGCACCATACATGTACTTCAGTTTTTCCTTTTGGACCATCCTTGCACCTAGGCCGGCACAGTGTGCAAAACAACCTGGCTACTACAAAATAACACTGGAAGGACACTAAATAGGGATGCTACATTTGCTGAACTTACAGCATGCACCACGGGAACTGCCTCTGTTCCTGCATCAGGGCATCTGAGACCAGGACCCACCCCAGTATGTCTGATTCGAGAACCAGCTTGGAAGGGTTTCAGTTCAGGAGGTGCGTTTCATGGAATAATTTAAAGAAAAAGTTACAAATAAAAACCAGAAGGTACAAAGCCTCTGTTGCACATAGATGCCACTTGCATGCTGCTCGCTCAGTCCCTGTTACAGGCTCAGGGCATCATCTCCAAAACGACCAACTCTCCAGAGTTATGTGAGAAACTCCAGCTGGGCTCCTTATTTTGGGATTCAGCGCTTCACTCCCTGCTCCTTTTCCCCCTTCCTTACTGCTGATTTCACACACTTGATGCCCTGGGTACTGCAACAGCAGCCAGCAAGGCAATGTGGCAACGTGGTGCCATGGTGCTTCATCCTCCAGCCTGCACTAGGGCTGCCCTGGCTCATCCCTCTGCTCAGCTCTCCAGAGGCCAGCCAGCGTGGCAGAAAATAGTGCCCCTTCCCTCCTGCTCCCTTCCCCCAGGAGACTAAATAAGTCCTTTCCCCATGAGAGCCAACTCGCACTGGCCCAGAGCCTGTGAACATTGAACACTCAGCACTGATCCAGTTAATTCAGCGGAATTACACCGCTTCATTCCCCCATACACACACCCACTGATCTCGCAGAAGCAGAGGAGGGGATTTCACATACTTCTAACCGAGAGCCATAGCAGGAGACACTCGCTAAGTCCATCTAAGATAGCAAAATACATCACGGAAAAGCAACGGGAATTTGCAAGGCTCGAGAGTTTCCAGCTCATCAGTGGCTAACCAAGGACGAGCATCTCTTCTCCTACTATGGTACTGTTGGGTTTTTTCTTTTTTTTTTCCCCTCCTTCTTTCTTTAACACCTTAGAGTGTCTTGTGTCTAACTCTCTGCAAATCCTCATGTTCATTCCCTGCCATGTTGCCAGGAAAACGCGTGTTCTGCAGGATAATAGGCACCATATAGCTATTGCGTGGGGAAGAGGAACTCTGCCTAATTGCTAGAGGCCACTTTTCCCCCCTCAGATGCTCTGCGACACTGAGGCACTATGCGATGGTCAACGAGAGCTAAGCAAAAGCCTCCTGAAAAAGGTGCCAGGTGGTCCAGTTCAGTCACTGTGCAACCTGGCTTCCCACCCCCTGCCAAAAGGCTCCTGTGGTATCAGTCCAGAAACCTCATCCTTCAGAAAAGGCCATGATAAGCAGAGAGATACTCACCCTTTCCTGTAACTGTGGGAAGAGATAAGAATTGTGTCTGGCAGTGGAGGATCCCTTCAGGAAGAAGTGTGTAGACTTGGGAAAATGTACAGCCTCAAGTGCATCTGTGAAGAAAATACAAATGTGAATGAATGCCAATACCAATCAGTTCATATCAAATATGGAAAATAGCTACTAAAATGGTATTTTGGTTGGAAAATTCACATTAAATATCTTGACTTCTACTTCAATAAAGCTTTCAAATTTGACTTTTATTTAAATTAATTTTGTTTTGTGAACAAAAAAGCAGAATAGTTACAAACTTTATTTTGCTCTAACATTTGTTTCACTTCTATGAACAATTATCTTAAGCAAATATAAACAGTTAATTGGAAAAACATGCTTCAAGCCCTTCTGAAATACCATTCTCTTATTTATTGATCCAGCTATTACGAAGTTATGGCTTTAGAGATATAAAACCGCTAGCAAACATGGATTCTGATTAGCAGATGGGTCAGGAAAAATGGGTAGAACAATTTTGTTTTGCAACTTGCTTGCATATTAGAGCTGCTGCTTTTACTTGGTTCACTCTTCCACCTCTAGCTCTCTGCCTCTATTTTCTATGGATGTACACACACACATCACCCCAATCTATACATACATATATGCCTATTTCAGAATATTTCAGAATATTTAAGGTTGGAAGGGACCTCTACAGATCATCTAGTCCAACCTTCCTGCTCAAGCAGGCACACCTAGAGCATGTGGCACAGGGTGGCATCCAGGCGGGTTTTGAAGACCTCCAGAGAAGGAGACTCCACAACCTCCCTGGGCAGCCTGTTCCACTGCTCTGTCACCCTAACAGTAAAGAAGTTCCTCCTCACCTGGAGACGGAACTTCTTGTGTTTCAGCTTGTGGCCATTACCCCTCGTCCTATCTCTGGCCACCAGTGAGAACAGCCTGTCCCCTTCCTCCCTGCATTCTCCCTTCCTGAACTTATACATATTAATCATATCCCCTCTGAGCCGTCTCTTCTCCAGAGAAAACAGGCCCAGCTCGCTCAGCCTCTCTTCATACGAGAGATGTTCCATTCCCTTAATCATCCTGGTTGCCCTTCTCTGGACCCTCTCCAGAAGCTCCACGTCTCTCCTATACTGGGGTGCCCAGAACTGCACACAGTACTCCAGGTGCGGCCTCACCAGAGCTGAGTAGAGGGGCAGAATCACCTCCCTTGACCTGCTGGCAACGCTCCTCCTGATGCAGGCCAGGATGCCATTGGCCTTCTTGGCCACGAGGGCACACTGCTCACTCATGGTTAACTTAGTGTCAACCAGGACTCCCAGGTCCCTCTCCGTGGAGGTGCTTTCCAGCAGGTCGACCCCTAATCTGTACTGATGCCTGGGGTTATTCCTCCCCAGGTGCAGGACCCTGCACTTGTCCTTATTGAACCTCATGAGGTTCCTCTCTGCCCAACTCTCCAGCCTGTCCAGGTCCCTCTGGATGGCAGCACAGCCCTCCGGAGTGTCGGCCACTCCACCCAGCTTGGTGTCATCCGCAAACTTGCTCAGGGTGCATTCCGTGCCCTCGTCCAGGTCATTGATAAACAAGTTGAACAGCACTGGGCCCAGTACTGACCCCTGGGGGACACCACTGGCCACAGGCCTCCAGCTGGATTCGGCCCCATTTATGACCACCCTCTGAGCTCTGCCATCCAGCCAGCCCTCGATCCACCGCACCAGGTACTCGTCTAGCCCACTGTCCCGGAGCTTCCGTATGAGGATGTTGTGGGAGACAGTGTCAAAAGCCTTGCTGAAGTCAAGGTAGACAACATCCACGGCTCTCCCCTCATCCCCTCATCATCCCCTCATCATTCTGAAATATTCTGAAATATTCTGAATCCCCACAAGGCAGTCCAACCATCAGGGTTAAGCCACAGACAGCCCATCTGAATCCCCACGAGTGCATTGCTGTGGGGCCAGCAAAGATGCCCAAAATGGCACAGTCACCACTAGTGAACCAAGTGCCCACTGAGATGGGTTTGAAGAACACGAGAAAATTTTGCAGGTAAAACTTTGACTATAACCTTCGAGTTTCCAAGCAGAATACACAGCTGTGAACCTTTACATGGTATCCTTTTTATTTAATACACTTACCTCCAGGACATAATACATATATCTTAAGGATATAAGAAAACATGCTCCCTCAAAGCCAAGCAGTTACCTGTTTGTTACCAGAAAAGCCATTCACGCTGACACTCAGTTGGCACCCCTTTGTGCAGCTCTCCTTAAGGGGCCAATTTCTGGGGCCAAACACATCAGCTGCTCCCTCCCCTGTGCTGCTCACAGAGAAAGGCCCGTGCTGCCTCTGCAAAGCAACCTGCAGGCTCCAGCTTGCTCTGGGGGACAAAGCCCCGAGTGCTGCTCTTGCCTATTTTTCCTGGCATGGGAAGAGCAAAGCTTGACCAAGGGCAAAGATGCCCTTCACGTGAGGCACGACCTTCACAGGGACAGCATAGCGTGCCGGCACAAATCATGCCTCAGGGCTTTTTCCCCTTCTTTACAGGCTTGGCACTTGGAGCGGCAAATCCCTTTGCTCCTGCTCCAACAATCCCATGGCCTTCACAGGGATTACTCGGGCCGCATAAAGAGGTTCTCTTGGTTTCTGGCAAAAGCTCTTGGCACGAAACCGCTAGCGCCTAACTGGACACCGAGGCACGCCAACAGAAACACCAGCTTTGGTCCTGATGGGATTGCAGGGAGCGCAAGCTGTTGTGCAAAGACTGCTGGTTTGCTTTGTGGAAGCAGCCGCTGCGGCGATTATGGACTTGGCAGCTGTTAGGACAGTAATCCCCAGCTTCCCCTACTGCCCTCCCATCTCTATTAGCACTGATGGCGTCAGGAAAAAAAACAGATATTATCCATGTTATCATCGCTTCTGAACTTGACCGGTGGTGGCTGTGCATTAGAATAGCTGTCACAGAAAAGAGGCGAGGAAGGAAACGGCTTAAAAGTCCATCAGGTTCAGTATGTGGCAGCAGCAGAATGCTAGACCAAAGCCGCTGCACAGAAATGGATAATCAAAAAGGCCAAATAATAGTCAGGAACAGCAATATTGCAATCTGAGAGTGCTTACCTCCGAGAGCAACACAACTTAAAGCTGTGGGCCTGTCATGCTATTGGAAGTAATTTTACTATTCCTTCCAACTCGGAGCTGCCATCCGTAGGAAAAAAAGATATTCAACAGGACTACAAACCTCTATTCCCTGGATAACCTGACTGGTTCAAGACTGATGCTTCCTTTAGGCAACTGCAGACTGCTTATTAACAAAAAAATATTCTGACAATCAAGTTACACCCCTGCATTTCTGGCAAGTTGCTCTTAAATCAGCAGGACAACAAAACTCACCTTGATCCCAAGTGCCTACACATTGCACAGTTGGGAGTTTCACCTACACCCATCCATGGTTTTGTTTTAGCCTATATTTCTCGGCAGGAACATCTTCAACTGCCGTCTCCCAGCGGCAACGACCAGTCATGTTGTACACTCTGCTGTATGCAAGGACTCAAGTCACTGCAGCAAAGACGGTTTATGTGCAGGATATACCTCACTGGAGAAGATATGCTCTGCATGAGCTAAAAGAAAAGGACAAGCTATTGTAATGAGCAACATTTAAAATCCTCAGGTTGCGCACTAGATGCATTTGAGAACGGTTGCTCTAACTGCCCAAAACCTCTGCCAATTTCTCCATATCCCAAGTGGTTCAGCCAGCCAAAACCCAAGAGGCCCCGTGATGCAACAGTGCAGGGAAATGCTCTTGAGCTTCAGACTCGCAGGTCACTGCGACCACCATATTCCCTGCATCATTTATCTTCAAACTGACGGACCTGAAATCCTAATTCTCTTTCTTTAATACTGTTTGCAGAAAGGAACCTGCTAAACTCCACGGCTGCACCAATAATTATTATCCTGAAGAACTGAGAAGCATGAAGACAGCAGCTCTCTTGGTTTGTCTTGTAGGATCTGCTTTGGCCATTCCAGTAAGTCCTCCGTGTTTTATTACTAGGACGCATTTGAACATCTGCATATTGGAAATACTTTAATATTAACTCACTTCGCTATACAAGATCTTTTTTTAATAAGGAGATGTTTAATTCCATTGTCTATTCTAGACCTATCCCTTTACCTACAAGCTTGGAATCCATGGACAAAAACCTGCAGAAAAGGTACTTGTGTCCTTCTTTTCATGTTATAAGGCAAACTACAGTCATGATTACAAATAGAAAAAAAATTACACTAGGCATAGGCTTGAAAATCCATTTAGGTTAAAAAAATTTAAAAAAACAACCGCCAAAACCTTAAAAAAAAGTGCCCCTCTCTCATGGCAATTATTACCAAAGGTCTCATGCCTCACACAGCACAGCTAGCAGGAAACCAGCACAGAGTTGTAATCCCCATGACAAAAAATTCCATTTATTTCAAGAAATTCCCTTAAATGAATTCCCAAATTCATTTTTTCAGAGGCCAGTTGTCCCCTAAGAGTAAGGGTAACCAATGACATGTACGTTGACCGAGTCCTAAAAGGTTTCTGTGACCCTGGGGATCAAGTTATAACCAAAGAAACAAAGGCTAGAAACCACATTCAGACACATCTAAATGTCAAGTGCAGTGCACAGTGAGGATTCATAAAGAGAGAAACCAAAGCATCTTTCTAAAAAGAATAAAAAAATATAATGCTGCATGATCAGAGGCAACCAAAATGCATCATATTAAGGAACATTTGGCCTTGCATTTTGTAGGCCACCGAACTCAAAGCCCCTCACAAATCTTGCTTTACACATACTTTTTTGTTGTTGTTGTTTGTTTTAGGTAGCAGGGCAGTTTAGGCCTTACAACTGTTTCCATCTTCATGAACTACTCTCCCCAAAATTTTAAGGGGAACTACGTAAGGCACTATTTTTAACATGCAAGAAGCAACGCCAAAAGTCCTGAGGTTTAGTACAGAAAAATATCAGATGTTCCTACTGCTGTAAAAAAGACCCAAGGGCCTGTACTCACCAAGCAGCAGCCAAGCTGAGTCTGTCTAATAGCAACAGAAGGGCCATCCCTTCTGCAAGACATAACCTTCACTCTAGAACTTCCTTCCTGCTCAAGGGTTTAAGCCTTTTCCACTCAAATTAGTAATTTGCAAAGAAACTACTATGCGAAAAAGGCCACTCAAACACCTGCGACTCGTCCTTATGATACAGTAATAAGATAAGGCGGTGCTGTCACCACCTACAAAAGCTCCCATTTAATCCAGTTTGGAATAATCACGTAGCTTTCCCTGCACATCCCAAGACTTATTGCCATGGCATTGCCCGATCAAAGCTCCTTCTCTCCTCTTTTCACAGACCCTCTATTTACCTGTGTAGGGGGATAAATACCTTCTTTGCTGAGATAAGAGGTAATGAATGCAGCCTAAGGCAGGTGTCTGAAGTTACGGCTCTAGATTGCTAATTAAGGAATTGGTCTGACACATCACAAGACCCCCATAACACATCATCCTAACACATCATCCTTCTACCAGACCTTAAAAAGAATTTTATGGACTTTTTTTTTCCCCAGACAAACAAACAGGGCTAATACACACAACTGCTGAGAACCCAAAATGATACTGACTGTGAATTTCAAGCTCTGAATTAACTTAGGGGAGGACTTAGGATGAAAAAGCATAAAAAGCAGCATCATAGTGTGCTTTTTTCAATATAAAGCCAATTTACATTACATTGACTAGCGACTGATTAGAATAAATTCTAATATCTTTTTAAATACCTGTTTTCTTCGTTCTGGAAGGCTCAAGACATTCAATCTGATGCCTCAGCAGAAGAGAGCCCAGAGCACGAAAACAACGGTGATTTGCTGTCAAATCCCAGAAACAAAAACCAAGAGGTACCACTGACAGCTACCGAGCCCAGGCCTGCTCGAACACAGGGAGGCAGCAGTAATGAGCACGAAGCCTACAACAGCCCCAAGAGCTCTAATTTCCTCTCGCCGCACATTAAAATGGGTTCGGCCCCTGACAGGCAGGACGGTGACTCTGGAAGCAGCAGCGGAGAACAGGTCAGCTCTGAATATCACCAGCTCAGGCGGCCTGAGAAACACAACAATGAACGAATTTGGGATGATGAAGGAAGGCTGGTGGATGCTCGCAGTGCGCAAAACGCCTGGACCTACAATAAAGATAGAGTTGACCTATCGGAGAACAAGCGTGATGGTGATGAAGAGGGCAAGGTGGAGGAGGAGGAAAGGGAAAGGGTGGAAGAAACCATCTACAGAGATATGAAGCACCAAACCCAATTGACAAATCACAACAGTCAATACAAGAGGGAACAAGATGAAGAGGGTGAACAACCTGATGAAATCACGGGAGATTCCAGGCAGCCACTCCAGATAACCAAGAGGCACGGTGAGAAACTTGACCGAGAGGAGCACGAGAGGGATGAGACCCAACCCAAGCCTCACGAATCAGAAAAAATCCCTCTCTCTCAAAAAAGCAGTAGCCAACATCAGGATGACGGACAGCAAAGCCAACAAGGCAAAGCCAATTCTCATGCACACAAACAGAACGTTGATGACGACGATCACGATGGTGATGTTGATGGCGAAGAAGATCTGAGCAGTGTCTGGAAAAAGAACTATGCAGAAGGTGGAAGTATCCAGAGTGATAAACCTGTAAGTATCAGCGCGGAGTGGAAAGGGGACAGCAAAGATGGCAGTGCACGTAGCAGAGATAATGGTGACGACCTGCATGCCACAAAGCAAGACTTTGCTCACTTTGAGGAAGATGACCATCATGAGCTACTCGATTCTGACAGCAAGGAACAAAAGGAAACCAGCAGTTCTGTTCAGAGTGTGAATTCAGTGGAACCTGAACATAAGGTAAATGGCCTTAAAAAAAAGGGGGGGGGGGGGAGAGGGGGAGGTCATAAATTGTCCTAAATTAAAGTTCCTGATGCTTGAAAGAAGATTTCAGAAAAAGAACAGGTCTAAAACATCCTTAAAGTTTTGGAGAAGTCTCATCTCCTTTTACTCCTTATTCATCCAGTTCATGCTGTGTCACTTCACATAGAAAATTTAGATGAACTGGACCAGAGACTGAGCCCAACTTCTGTAAAGCCTCCTGCCCAACGTACTACGTAATGGAACACACCTATACATACATACACATGCATATGGAATGTCTACACATATAAACCAACTGGAACCCAGCCTCATACTGAATAGAAAGGCCAGTTCATACTCCACTCCCAAAGGATTTTCAAGGCTTTCATTTAAAATTGAACAGCTTCAACAGAGAAGGTCAGAGTTCCCAGAATAACTAGCAGCCTGTGCCAGGGTGCTTAGGACACCCTTCCACAGGATGAAGGACTAGGGCCTCCTCTATCAGATAACGAGGACCTTGCACACAGATCTCCCATCCCCTGATAAAACAGATAGATAGACAAAAAAGACAAGTGCTTTGTTTTGAAAGGAGTGCTCTTTGCCAAGACTATTAAGGAAGAACCTTACTCTTTAGAAGGAGATTAGAGCTGTTTTATCTGCAGCAGAGTAGGCAGCTGTCCAGAGCACAAAAGGAGCACTATACTATGCCACTGTATCCCGCACTTACCGCAATTTCTGCTTTTATCTCTCTGACTTAAAGGTTAAAGCTACGAGCAGATCCTACGGCGAGGGGGAAAGTGCGAGCAACAGCAGTGGGAAGGCTTTGCTGGGTGAGTCAACTGCACACGGAGCCCTTCCATACCGGCTACCTCACTGCAGCTGGGGAATCTGCTGGTCTGCATTTCTTTTCTGTGTTCAGCGGGATGCAGTTTCACATGACTGCCCCATGCTTGTGCATAATGCTTTAGAGCACACACCATCCCAGAGAGGAATCCCTTCTGCATACCCTTGGATTTATGCGTTTGTTTCTGAAAAACATTCATGTGCAGCACAGATTATGTTGATTTTACAAAAATGAGTCATCTTCCATTGAAAGCTTCCATGGAGCTTCCATTCAGCTCCATCAGCTGAAAAGCAGTACCCTGAGTTAAACTAGGAGGGCTAACACCTTAGATTCAGCAAGGACAGATAAGGGTTCACAGCAAACCTAAGGCTCAAAGGGAATATCAGCCCTTATAACCAACCAGCTACTCCAATATGCACAAAGTGCTTGACTACTGGGCTAATATTTGGCTATATTTACTATTTCCTGTCAGGAATACTTGCCAAGAAGGCTGGTTTTGTCACCTTGTTTCTAACAAACCCTCCCTTCCCTATCTTACTGTTAGATGCATGCAGGAACTTCCACTGCAAGAGAGGAAAAGTGTGCCACGTGGATGAACAAGAGCAACCCCGCTGCATTTGCCAAGACCCTGCTGCTTGCCCTTCAACCAAAGATTATGAGCATGTAAGTAGCTCATTCATCACACAGCATGAGGGGAAAATCAACTACAACACTTACAGGATACTACATTCTCCAGGCATTATTTAGAGCAATTCTAGCCTAAAAAGTAAAAAAAAATTAAATTAAATTAAAAAAAATTAAAATCTAAGTGGGTTTCAGTGATTTTAGTAATTGTACCAGTAGGTACAGAATACCAAAACTTAGGGATTCTTGCTCAACAAGAATATAAAAATACATGGCTAAAAAATACTGAACGTGTGTTGCTTCTATTGTCTCATTCAGCAAATACCATCTTCTCTGTCACTACAAGTAAAGTGGAATACTTTTATGTTTCAGAGCATATACCAAATATACACTAGCATATAGTACAACAACACTGTAGCAATTCAGAGACAGAACCACAGACATTAAGACATTCAAAATGGGTGTCTAACTAGAGCTCTATAATCCTCATGCAGGTATAAGAAAATAACTAGAATTTTCACGATTTCTGATCAAATTCTGTGGATATTCCTAACTGGCACACTGAATAGCAATGTTGATTTTGTTATTATGCCTAAAATTGATAAATATTCTGAACACGGTAGAGGAGGGTGGTTTGACTGTTACCCCATTTTAGGTTTGTGGCACTGATAATAAGACCTACGAGGGCCTCTGCCAGCTCTTTGGCACAAAATGCCAACTTGACGGGACAAAAATGGGGCGCCAGCTGCACCTGGACTATATGGGATCCTGCAAATGTAAGTCATAGGTTTTTGTGTATCGAATTTATCTTAGCTATAAAGATGCACTAAACTGAAAAAGTACACACTCATCATAAGGTATTTGCTTCCTCTTTTGGTTTTTCCCCAGTCTGCGTCACTTATCTGCTAATTTAAACAGGCTTCCAAACCTTAAATGTTTCAGCCCTGCGATTTTGTCCTATAAATAAGGGCATCAGGGGGCCTAATGCAAAGATGATTGCAGCAGTTTCCTGTCCCCATAATATGCTCTCACATATTAATTTTTCTCTGATTGCAATAGCATTTCAGCATTCCAGTTGTTAATGCATTTCTTCTCACTGGGACAATATTAAATCCACATCCATTTTACCAATGAAAATGTCAAGTTGAAAAAGAATCACAGAAAGACTTAAATGAAAAACAAGATCCAGTGGCTAGAACATCTCAAAGTTTTTTCACTTACCACGTGCTCTTGGATGAGCGTACACTCACTTTCAGCTGAAGCATTCCTCAGATGACTAAAACTCTGTTTCTATGCAAGCCCAAAGGGCTGAACAACACATTTGTGTCCTAGTTGCCGCAGGATCTTGCTCCACTGCCTAGGCCGTGTTACCATTTTAAGCTGCCAGAGGCACCCCCAAGTCCTTCTAAGAGAGCTCAGACAGTTCCACCCCCCTAAATTACAATCCCATGGCAAGAATTAAGAAATTGGCCTAAGGGGTGGTACAAGATCACCCAGAAACTCTATGCAAGGCCTCAGTTCAAACCTCTTGCTTGTGACCACCATTTTAACTACACAGCTTCTGCTTGTTAACAATATCAACATCACAAAGCATTTTAAAAGTATAATTTAACCCATTACTTTCTTCATTTTTAAAATTGGGTCCATTTAAAGCTGACCAGGAAATGTGTTCATGACAACTCCATCCAACTTAGCCTAGAAATGCTTCAATGTCAATTTTACATGTCTCTTGCTAATGAGAGTTTTACCCTTTGGAGCAGTTATCCCTCATTGTACAGACTATGAAGTGGATCAGTTCCCTCTCCGGATGAGAGACTGGCTCAAAAACATCCTTATGCAGTATTACGAACGCGATGTGGATACATCTGGATTCCTAACTGAAAAGCAAAGAAACAAAGTAAGTAATCCTTCTTGAATTAACCCCCTCAGTTACACTGTTAGGGCTGCATGTGCCCTCTCCTCTGTGACAGTTTCTCATTCGATTTCTCCCTTTTCTCATTAGCATTTTTGTTCAGGTTCCATAGACTGAATTATATCCCATAAAGTCAGTCAATTGTGCTAGTCAGTCTCAATTAGACAGGTTGCAGAATATGCTCAAGTTCTCCATACCCATCATCACTAGTACCTAAGTATTTTTACTATGAATGTTCTTTTGTCCAAGTGCACATAAGCCAAATTTAAATGAATGCTCACAGACAAGGAGCAAAAGAGACTTTAATACAACAGAATTGGTGCGCGCACACACACACACACACCCTTGGATAAACATGATGTGCTTGAGAAGAATCAACACAGCTGCTGTTCAGGCAAGTACTTTGTGACAAATTACCTGGAAAGAATAATATGGAGAGAAGAGTGATGCAATTTGAGCTTTCTACAAGGCTTAAGGAATCTGAGTAGATAGAGCATAAAGGCGAGAATGTGGATATAGATAAAACAATTATGAAAAGACAGAAAACGGTAAAAAAAGAAATGGCCAAGAGAGGCTATTTGTTGAGTTCCACAAGTCAAAAGAACTTGTGTCATTCAGCAGCTCTGTGTTACCTGAAAGAGAATGGTGGGTAAAAAAATATTGCTCACAAGAAAAAGGGATTCAAGGAATTAAGGACTTGGCCTCACTGAAAAATTGTTGAAGGACCCTATGTCTGGACAATAGAGCAAGCAAGATTCAAACCTAATTTGTAATATACAATATGCATGATGGAGATGTCTGAGAGAGAACCTTGGCTTGGATTGAGTTGAAAACTCTTTTTTCCCATTCTTGTGACACGTTATGCTTTGCAATCAGTATAAGTGTTTCTGAAATTTAAGCGAACCGTTATTGGTATGGTTTGTAAGGTTTTTTTTTTCATGTCACTTCCTATTTTGTCTACTCATAGATTAAAGTTACACTGATATCAAAGATGCATAAAATTATATGGGCCTGGAACTCAGTTTAAGACAAAAATGCTACTTAATCATTCAGTAAGCTGCCCAGCAGGATCACATAGAGCAACAGTCTGCTCAAAACAGAACAGCCTCTTTTGTATCACTGGGCCTTTTATTTGAGAAATTTACACCAAGTAAATGTTTGGTAACAGCAATTTTTCTGAGGATACAGACATCAGAACTGCCCCAAGCCCCCTAACAAAGCAAATAATGCTCATTAAACCAAGCCCCTGGGCTGCTCTGACTTGGGAGCACACAACAGGTGACCCTAGTGTTTACACACAATTTCCTTGAGGAGCAGTGAAGACCATGTGCGCAACTCCAGGGCACAGCGGTCTGCTGGAACTCCTCACACCGAGTGATTTGAATTACATGACTGGTGAGATGATTTGTCTCACACTGGAAGGTCAAGTTGCTTCCCCAGCAATCACGTTACCCTCATCTAGTAGCCTTCTAGTCTTTCATCTCCTACCAGTCTGAGGCTCTGGTCCTGCTTAGGCAGGTCTGATGATCAGCGACAGGAATTTCACCTCCTCTCCCGTTACTATCATATTTTATATGGGCACCAACAAAAACTACTGGCACACTTGAGACAAGGCTTTTGCGTAGCATACGTTCACAAACAATACCAAGTTGGTTTCTTCAAGCATATGTCATCAAGTTGATATTTCTTGAATCACCTCCTTTTGGGAGTCTTGTCTTCTGGATAGATCTTTACTGCTAAAAACAACTAAGTTCTTCTCTTGGGTTCAGGTCAAAAAAATCTATGAGAATGAAAAACGTCTCTCGGCCGGCGACCACCCAGTTGAGCTGCTCCTGTATGACTTTGAGAAGAATTATCACATGTATGTATATCCTGTACACTGGCAGTTTTACCAGCTTGATCAGCACCCCGTTGACAGGTAAGCACTGATTGAGTATTTTTTCTTGGCTGCTTAGGCTAAAACCCTTATACTTTTCTAAGCCTGTCAGAATATACTCTATGTACACAACCAGCCCCCCAGTTATTACAGCTATTACAGCTAGTATCTCCTTTCGGAAAAGCCACTCGCTTCATAAGCACAAAAACTTTGTCTGATTTTTGTTGGAGACAAGTCTGAAGTCTAACACTTCTATCCTCTTGTGTTGCATATTCAGGTATTATTACATTTGAAGCTCCATAATTTTTTAATAGCTAATAAGGGCCTAATCTTGGGCAAGAGCTGGCTCATGAGTTCAGGCTATTAATGAGACAAGAGCAACAGGCCAAACTATAAAGAGCACAAGCTATCAGCAGGAATAGTGAGGTACCCATCGCTTTCAGTTCAACCTGAAAGAACCCTCTCATTTCTAAGGAGCAGCTAAGGTAAAATACCACCAGGATCAGCATTAAAGAAACTCTCTACTTGATACTACTCCAAGAAAACTTCACCCACATGTCGGGCCTTCAGTAGGAGCAGCTGCAAGGCTGGGGGCCCTGAAGGCCTCATAGCAGAATTGAACTGTCTGTCAAAGCCACCATTGCCATGTTCTAGCAGCTAAAATCATCTTGAACCACCCTGGTGAAAATCACCACTCAACAGCTTTACCTCCTTGGTCTTTCTTGCAGAGTATTAAGCCACTCAGAGCTGGCTCCCTTGAGAGCTTCTCTTGTCCCCATGGAACACTGCATAACTCGGTTCTTCCAAGAGTGTGATGGAGACCAAGATAAACGTGTCTCTTTGAAGGAGTGGTGCCACTGTTTTGGGATTAAAAGAGGTAAACCCAATAGAATACCAAAATACATAGGGCAAAATGTTCCTACTAAGACTAGACAACCTATCATATCATACTTTAAGAGGGAATTTCTACCCCCAAGCTAATAACTGCTGTGCACTATCCTAAATGGAACAGGGCGCGGGACTAAGACCACAAGAGATGCAGGGTTTTGGTTGGATTATTGGGACATCATCAACAACACTGAAATTCTTTTAGATTCAATACCAAATCATTCCCCTCTCTGGTGTCTGGTGCTGTATGTTCCACCTGCCTTCTTCACTACAGAAATAGTGTCTTTTTTATTCAGTGCCTTCAAGAGTAAGGCAAAGCAGGTCTTCATTAGTATATTAGTGGACAGAGCATGCTCCTGGGAAAATAGATTAAAACTTCAGCTCAAGAAGAGAACGTAATCAATAATAAAGTTGCCATGCTTACATTTTGCAATAGAAAAAGGCTACAGTCCCCAAGCCCTCTGAAATTAATACATGTCTTGATGATGATGCACATCAATATGTTTCTTTGCAAAGACTGAATCATTCAGTGACACTTGGTTCTTCTCTGTTGCAGAGGACATAGATGAAAACCTCCTGTTCTGAGCACGACTGAACAGAATCCCAGTGCTTTAATACTGGGTCAACACGAAAACCCAGTTTGGTTCTTTTCTCATTAGCAGCTTATTAGAAGAAAGACTGAGAAAACTGAATAAGGTTTTTTGAATAAAAGCTTTTGATAGGTCAACAGTTTTTGTCCAATAACAAATGCACAGACCTCTACATTTGTTAACAGCAGAAGCAAACAACTCCAAGATATGCACCTACATTGTATTTTCTTCTGCATCAGTTTCTAATCTCCCTGAATCTAGAAACAGTCTCTAGAAACATTTTGCTCATTGGTTTGCCAGCATAGACTTGCCTTCTTCCCGCTCAAGTAGGAAGACTTGCTACTGCCGCTGTCTTCCGTAAGACACAGTAACTTGTGCTCATCGGAAGACAGGTACTACTCACACAAGAACAAAGGATAGCAAGAACCTTCTTGAAGGCCACCAACTCTGCAATGCAAAGGTAGGCACTTCCCTGAAAAACCCCTCACGTGGGATGTTGTAAGAAACAGTCCTGAGCCCTATTCCTGCTAAGGAAGATGAGAAAACACTTGACTTGAAGAAAGTCACCTTTCCAAGTAAAGAGGATTCAGATATCCACTTGCTTCCTGCTCATTGTGCTCTTCAGTCAAGTAGCACTCCCAATCATAATGCAGCTCCAGCGTGGTGAAGGAGAGACAAAGAATCAACCTATGAATATTTTCAATAAGGGAACTTCTCATAAACAGGCTTTTGCCACCAAAACCCATTTGACTAGTCATTTCAGCTATCGACATCGTAACACGCTTCGTTCTGCAACGCCACGAAACTGAAAACAATTCCACGCCGTTCAGATGCACAAGAGAACATCCTCTCTGTTAACTCCATACAAGAAGGCTCTTACGGAGGAAGTGATGAAACACTCATCAGCAATGTGCTATATCAGACATTTTTACTTGAGCTTTCATAGTTTGGGAAGAAGCCTCCTTTGTCGTTATTTGACCTATAAACTAGAAACCAGAATTCTAAGTGAAAACCATCTTAACCTGTTTTTTAGATGTCTTGTTACAATTTAAGTTAAAGTTACATTTAAGGGTTTATCAATGCCTCATGTTTTAGAAGTGTTGTATAGGTGCAAATAAAAGATGTTATTGCTTATGACCTTTTGGATTACATGGATTTTTTTGCAACCAATACATATATATATACACTTATATGTATACACAATCACACATCTAACCATAGGCATATGTATCACACACAACAAATGCAGTCATACTGCACTTAGAGCATGGCACAATCTAATCTGATTCTCTCTGCTCCTCCCTACAATTTACTTAAACGTTTGTGTTCTATTAGAAGCAAAAAAAAAATAAATCAGCAATAGAAATTCTCCGTCAGGCCCTTTCAGAAGTAGAGATGTCGACGTAACCAAAATTTCATCTCAACCCATTTGGGATATTTCAGGAGAAATATCCATCTGCACTTCATACACTATCCTATTTAAATCCCAACCATCCACTGCTAGAGATAGAGCACCTGACCAGAACAAACAAGATAACAGAAATCTCACAGCAGGATGCTTACTAATCAACTTGGGACCAAATGTTGCATCCTTCTTGGTTCCAGTGAAAGTCACGTTGGGATCAACAAGGTGCTACCAACACTCGCTAAAACATTTAAAAAAAAAGCAGAGATAGTCTGAAAAAATATTCAACATGATCCAGTTCCACCCTGTCAGATTCTCTCAGGTACATGAATCGTCTTTTAAATTACCAATTAACTTCTGTGAAATTATCACAGAAAAACTAAGGAAAAACTAACAAAAAGGGCATTTAGGATTACTAATAGACTTTTGCTAAACCCAAGTATTTTCAGATGTAAGAAAATATGGCTCAAACTGCCACTATACAGCTGACATAGTTTGCCTCACAAATTAATGACTAATTCACAAGATGAGATTTGTTTATTCAAACAGAGCTTCTATTTTAAGTTTTAACTCTCCCAGTTAGAAACTTCAGTACTCTAATCTCTCTTACCACAGAAGTATTTGCAGAAGAACAGGGAAGCGCAGAATCATAGCATCAAAAGGGCATCGATATGGAAAGATCAAATAAAGATACCTTCCATAACACACAAGTCTTTTCACTGCACTAATCCTTGGAAGATGGACAGGCCAAAGACAAATCTCGTTGCTTTATCAGAAAAGGAATTAAACTAAATTGCCAGGGGGTCTTAAGAACGTATTGGGTGTGATATCTTGTGGTTTTCTGATGTAAGCCACCAGACTGAAACCCTATATATATAGACACACACACATATCCGAAGTCATTCACACAATATCACAGGTACCAGCTCATTTGAGGTCTGATCCACTGCCCAGCTATCCAACATGCCAACTAAAGGTAATAAGAAACGCGTTCTTGTTATCTGGGGTACATTTGAAGAATTTTAAGTGTTTTTGGCATGGCTGTATCCTGAATGCATGTGAATAGGGAACATGTGGGAATGAGGCAAAAAAAAATCCAGGGATCTTGTCTTATTCCCCGTTTACAAGAAAAATGCAAATGGCTTCAACGGGTATTGTTAGTTGAGTGCAAAATCTAGGATTAACTCAAGATAACAAGGGAAACATGCAGACAGTATCTCAACCAAAGCACAGGCAGCACTGAAAGCAGAAGCACGGATGCGTTACCCCATAAGGACTTATCCTAACTATGCACTTGAGCTAATAAGCAACAGAGATGACAATGAAGATCACTTCACAACCCACATTCAGGAATTCAACTCCTGCTGGCTGATCTTCCATTCCCTCAAACCCCAAGAGCACCATATTCCCTTCAGCTTCTCCTTCGGCCAAAGCAAGCCGTAACGCTATTTTCTACTTACTTCACAGGTCTCTCGATGAAAATGCAATTCCTGTTGCTTTCTTGTCTTCTGAGTCTTGCCTTTGCTCAGGTCAACACAGTAAGTGCTGAACAGAAAACTCAATAGCAGAAAGTCCAGGGAAAGAAGCAGGAAGTCTTAACACTCTCAACAGAAAATGGCAATATTTTAAGCTGACAGGCTGTCCTTAAAGATCTATTTTGCTATCAGATAAAAGGTGTTTATGCTATTCCCATGCTAAAGCATAATTTAAGATTAAGCCTTCAACTTTCAAAGCAAAAATAATAAGCATCAGTAACAAGACCATACCCAGGTTATCAAAGTCCGAATCTTTTTCCCTACTCATTTTGGCTTACAATTTTGAAGGCACAGAAGAAAGTTAAGATGCCTTCTCTGACTTGTTTCTAACACCACAAAAGAAACAAACCATGTGACAGTAGAGTACCTGCTAGCATTTTTACAAGCAAGATGATAAATGCCTCCCCCTAAAGGAAATGAATTCTCTTTTCCACAGCAAGACGAGGATCAAGAAGGCTCTGGTTCAAACACTGCACATGTAAGCCTCTTCTCTTGATTATTCCACTAGTTGTCAAAGTTATCTTAGTTTATTTGGGGTATTTGGAACACGCTGGCACGAAGCTTGGGGCTTCCGGAAAGGCCAAACGACTCCGCAAGTCCCACCAATGCTTTGTGTCCTCCAGGTTTTTCACGTAAGTTCTACACTTCGTTTGCTGCGACAGAAGGATTCTTGGCCACCTAAAGTTTGGCTTCGTCCTGTGCTATGTAAGTTGCTAGTTTTATTTACAACAGAGGACAAAACCATGGGCATGCAAGTGCATTTATCTGTTAAATATTTACCTGAGTTAAATATTTTCTTCCCAGAAAGAAGGACTGGCCTTGGAAAGAATGCAGTTTCTCCATCGCAGTGAGTATGCTACTTCCAGGATTTACCTTCTATTTCCCTCTAAGGTTTTCATCCTTATTAATGCACATCATATCAAGTGCTTCCTCGGAAACAGTAACACACAAACAACTCATTCTGTCCTGACATAGCACAGTACAGCCCTTCTTGTATTCATCCATCATTAATGGCAAATTCATTCGTCGTTATGACAGCTTGTGTGGTCACATTTTAAATAGCCAGCTATGCTGCTAGTGGCATACATGGTATGATATGTGAATTATACGTTAAATAACGCCTAGTCGTTCTCAATTGCAATTCTTATTTCGTTCTGCAGATGCTTCCAAAGTTGATGTCTCTTGCAGAGCACGGCTCCTTCTGGACAACCTGCACCTTTCCACAGCTCGTTTGCAGTTTTAGTGTCACTCCTGCCAGTGCACTGGAGGCTGCAGATGAACAACTGACTGCTGTGTGTGACACATGTGCCTCTCAAGTGTGTTGCACAGCTCCTTCAATCCTTGCTTCATTCCTTTTAAGCTTAAATAAATACTGAGCATTCAATTAATTCTCTTAACCTTTTATTTAAAAAAAAAAGACAACCAACAAAACCCCATACATCAGTCATGTCAAAGGTCCTGTTTCCAAAGAAAAGGAAGAGCAAAAAAGGCAACTCCAAGTTGAAAAACGAAGGTTAATTCTTATCCAATTTTTCCCTTCTGAATTGCAGTCTCTCAAGTCCTTATCTTGTCCTACCAGATACACTCTAGTCTCCACTCTAAGGTTCTGAGGGCTGATGCATCACTAAAGGCTTGGCTAAAGCAGCCACCAAATCTCACCTGGGAAGTTGAATCAGTTAATTTAAGGAATGCCTATGGAAGCTTATACAGCAGCTGGTTTATGCTGTTTAATAAGTCCCAAACTAGATTGAAGCTGAGTGTGAAAGAAAAGATCAGGTAAGAAAGAAAGAAAGGAAAATGCAAATGGTCTAACATTAATTTTTCTTTGCACCTAGTTAACCATTAACTTAATAACATTCCCGGGATAGCCCTGTCTACTATCATCCTATGTCCTGAATTAGATTTCCTCATCTAACTGGAAGGGGGAAATGACATTGAACAGTAGCAAGCCTTCAAATCATGATTTAGGCAGAACATCGCCAGCCATCTCAGCCATTCGGAACTCACAGGGCTGTGTTACCCAAGATGAATCTAGGCAAGGAGAGGTTTCAGTGTGCTGAACATTATTACCTTACTCAAAATGCACTAAGCTGCCCTCTGCCCCACATTTTCCATCCCTTATTTATTGTAATCAATCCTCAAACTGTGTAGAAGATAATACAGAAGTTCATCCTTGCGCTGCAAATGACCAGCAATACTAGTTGGACTAAAAGCACGCAGGGTCAAGTGCTGTGCAACTCCTGTCAGCAGAAATGCTTAAAAAGACTGATGAAGCAAGGAAGGGCAGGATACTCAACAAGCTCTTTAGGTTAATATATTTTGAGGTCAATCTTGGTAAAAGAGAGAGCAGCTACTCACCTAAGGAGAACATATTTCATACGTGGCCTCCTGCAATACTAAGCAAAACACCTAAAGTCACCTTCAGCCTGTTGTACTTACCAATTTAACAGCCACACAGGATTCAGACAGCTGAGATGATGGGCTAAAATCACCATGATATCTTCTCTCCATACTCTAAAACACTCAAATCCAAAGCAAGGGCACCTTTTGGTCTTTAACTACGTAAAACACAAATGCAAGCAAGATAACCACTCACGGGCGCATGTTTTAGTCAATGCATGTGCCTATGTAAACTGCACACACAGCTAAGAAGCCAACTTGAAGACTGATTATTACTGTAGAAAATAAGTATTTCAAAATTTAAACAGAAAAAAATCTCTCACTTTCACTGAAAGGCAGCATGTTTTAAATATTTTTTCTCCCAGTTTACGCATTGGGAAATGTGCCTACTGTACATGGGACAAACAAGATATCTATAGGGCAGCAACCAGTAAAACCTTCTATTTAAGGTTCTTTCCTCTTAAAATTCACCATAACACACTTTCAGATAATGAAGACCATTTAAACTATAGACTGGAACACAATGATATGTGAAAAATAATCTCAGTAATTAGAAAAACACTCAGGTCTCATGTAACCAATCACAAGAAGCAGCACTTATGTGACACTTAAATCCAAGCAGACACCAAAATGATCTTCCTAGAAGCCTCACATCCCTCAATAATTCATGTTCCTGACAAGCAATCCATGTAGAGAGAGAGAGCTGGAGTGGCTGGCCTTCAAACCAGAAGAAGTAAGAATCCAAACACTGTTTAGTTCAACGCAGGTCAACACGGGCCTCATTTCATTCTGGTTCCAAATCAAATCAAGAGACTTCACTTCTGCAAATTTCCATTAGATCATGTCTCACTTCAGTCATAAGTTCTGCCAGATCTTAATCTGGAACATGAGCCCACAGCTGCACAGCATACACATCTTCCCACAAACACAAAATCACTTGCAGCACTGCCTCTTGAGTGCCTGAAGAGATTTTGCTAGTTGATTTGAGCATCAAACGGGATGAAGACATGCTGGCTTGAAGACTAAATAATAATAATAAAAATAATAATAATGCTATTTGTCTCAAGAGTTCAATACTTGGATTGCAGAAGCATTAGTCACGGCACTCGGAACCAGGATCTTCACTCCAGTGGGCTCCCCGCTTCTCAGTCACGAGCTTTATGAAGTGGCTGTGATTCGCATACAGCTTGAGCTTTTCACTGATGTCAACCCACTTGACTTGCCCGGCATCATCACCTGCTTCCAGGGGCAAATTATCCATTGTCTCACCTGATCACAAAACAAGAGAGTCAGGACATACTATTACATCTTGTCCCGCTTTCCATTCTCACATCTGAGCAGTTCCGCCTTTTTGTTCTTTCAGAGTCAACCTTCAACTACTCCACATGGGTAAACTAGATGTTTTTCACTGAATCTGTGCCAGAAGTGTCTCACTTGCCTGCAAGAGTTCTTCTAAAGTTACCCTCCACAGCAGAGCCACAGCTACTTGTCACCACTCTTGCAGTGACATAAGTAGCCAGGTAAGTTACTAGAAAGCGACACAGCAATGTGCAGTCACCAGCACCAACAGTTTAACACATCCCTCCAACTCTGATGTCACTTGCTTGAAAACTAACAGCTGAGTGCTTCCTTCTTCAGGAAAAGCATTTCATTCTGAAGCTAAAATTGTTTATGGAAACCCATACATTAAAACTCTAGCAGTCAGGCCCCAAAAGTTCAAATAACACTTAAGGGATGCAGCAAAGGTTTCTGAACCGTGCTAAGGTTTCAAACTTGCGTTTACCAAGAGAGTCCAAGACTTGGAAAGGCAGAAAAGAAATGTTTAAAAAAGTTAACCAAATGTGTATGACAAACATAAGCAAGGCACAGAATCTTCATTAATTCTTAGGATTGTTAATTCAAATGTCATTTTCAGCAGTACCACTGGTATCTATTAAACTATTCCAAAAACAGTGGAAATGTTCTTGTATAAAAGTGCTGTTCAGCTCCTACAAGCAAGGGATAACTAACTGAGATGACTTATCTAAAGATGAGCATCTGATATTATATTGTATATGGATATACACACACACCAAAGTCCTGGATATATATATATACACACACACACACACACAAAGTCATAAGAACATACACGTCCATTACAACTTAAAAAAGTAAAGCAAGTAAAGGAGTCAGAAAATTAAAGAACAAAAATATAGTCAACATCTGAAACAAGGCCTAAGACAGTATTTCTGAGGTATACACTAACTCCCATAAGAATTTTTTTTTACCTAGTATTTTCTTCCTCCCCAGACATTCAAAATTCAAGTTTACCCAACCTGAGCAAAATACAGTAAAAAGAAATGAAGTCAAATGTTTCATCTCCATTAAAAGGCACCTCATTCATGATTTACAGGTACCTTGTGGAGAAATAAAACATGCCAATTCTCAAAGGGCTAATTTTCATGCAAGTGTTTTCCCTGTTTCAGGGCAGAGTAATGGAACAAAATTTGAATGACAGCAACTAAATGTATAGGTGGATACTCACCAGATTCATCATGATAGTTCACAGCTTCTGTCTCCATCCAAGCATTATCAGTATTCCGAGGGTCATCCACGTATCCCCTGTACACCTAAGCAGTGAACAAACACAGCCACCTCAATGTCACATCAAGTGAACAGGGTCAGTTAAGAAGCTTTTTCTTGACAGGAGCCCAAATAAAACTTACCACCTTTCCTTCCATTTTGGATATCAAATCCTGGGCATCACAGCTTATTCTTTTAGCTAGGTACACATTTTTTCCAACTTGTTAGTAGCACAAAGTCACATGGATAGCTCCCAAGGCAACCACAAGAGACAAAAGCTTACCACAAAGGCTTCCTGGCTGAACAGTCGCTGTAGTTGTTTTTCCAACTCTTCTTTTTCTTCAGGTGATTTCTGTAAGGAATTCAGGGCCTCTTCTCCAAACTCTCGCTTAAGCGTAGCAGTAATCTTCTCTCCTGGATCTACCATTCCCTTAAAAGAAAGGATGGAAGAAAAAAAAAAAAAAAAAGAGTGCATCTATTAATCCTTTTGACTTGCATTTCATATATTACATCCATCTACATTACACTCAAAAGTCAAAACTTATTGGTTAAGAGCAAGCACATACACCACTCAAACTGCAATTAGATACTATTGATCTTAAAAAAAGCATTTAAAAAGAACAAGAAAAAACAGATGATGAAGAAATACTAGGAAACATAATGGATGCTTTGACTAAATATGACAGTTCACACAACATTTCCCATCATGTCTATAACGTTATGTCCTTCATAAAAGACCATGTTGTTACATGCACCCCAATCACATTCTCACAGCTTACAAGAAGTGAAGGTTTCGGTTCCAATGTTTTTGTCCTTACCCCTGGAATGGCCCATTCCCCACAATCTCTCCTCTTGATAGCTACAAACTGCAGGATGTTTTTGCCAGTAACTGGATGAGCTATTTTATTGCCACTGCTATCCCTCTTCCACCTGGCAAGTAGGACGAACAAGACAATTATTTTCTCTTTCTTGAAACTGGAGTCAAAACGTGATCTGAGAAGTTAACCACAAGACTCCTGCACTAGCTATTATACAGCAAATAAAGCCAAGACCTAAGATAAGGGTGAAGACAGATAACAGCTGTCTCAGAAGATCTAATTCAAAACACAACTACAACGCATTAAGATTTTTTTTTAAACTATCGTGGTTGCATCTTCAAGTATGTTTTCTAAATTGCACCTTTGCTACCTAAGCCTTCTCACGTGCACCTGGTGTTCTGTTTATAGTGTGTATGCACATGCAGAGAGATTAAAGACAAAAGCACCAAAAATTACATGCATTTCAACATAAAGAAAAATAGCCCATCCAAAACCAGCCTTCCCCTCTATCCTAAGCCAAGCCAGCATTAGCAACGGTGCAAGGCACACTATTTTCAAACTGAAACACCAACAGGTATAAAAGTTAACTCCTCTGATGTTGCAGAAAGTATTTTTGATACCCTGTGTAAGGCCTTTTGGCATGCAACACACACACAGTGTAAGAATATCATGTAATCATGCCGAAGTTTGTATTAATTACTAAAGATTGTTTGTATAGCATATTCCTGTCAAAGTCCAATTTCTGGGTTTTTGTTTTGTTTGTTCGTTTTTTTTAAATCAGCTTCCTTAACACATCACAAGTGATGGTTTGTCAAGAATCAAGTCCTAATCCTTTTCCAGAGGCAAAAATAAAAACTTAGGATTTTCCATCTGTCCATATGCACACATACTTCTGCATAAACACACAAAAATATCTGTTCCAAGTACAAGCCTATTGACAAATGTGTTGAGAAAAACAAGGTGTGTGTATTGCTGTTCTGCTTCCCATCACCTTTCAGTCCTCTTACCTAGTTACAATAGGATCAGCAGCATGATTTGGTCCCCAGCGCCCTAACAATCCTCTGCCTGCGAGGCCAGTCCTTCCTGCAGGATTTCTGAAATAAGAAGCGGCATGATGTTGAAGAACCCATCTTCCCATAGGCATTTCCAAACATTAAGAACAGCAGTTTTCATGAAGCACGATTTGAAGCACCAAAAGTTAAATGCAGTGCCAACATACACTTTAAAAAGCAAAACATGAAAGTAAGAGCAATCAAGATCAACAGGACATTTTCCCCTGCTCTAACAATCTCTATGTCTTACGGCACAATGAAACAACAAGTACAAAATAGCTTCATTAACTCCCATATCTGTCTTGGTATGTGTCTGATCATGTATTATTTCCATTGCCCATATAATAAAAACTACTGTTAAGAAGTTTTCAAGTCACAAGGCTACCAACATTACCTACCAACAACAGAAAAAATAAATCCAAGTTAGATAAGGGCAGATAGATAATAGTTCTGCTCCAGTCTGGTGTAGTAGGAGTGGTACAAGGGCTGGGCCCAACAGCAGGTCAGGCTGGCAAAGCACAACTTAACCAAGATATCCTGCTGTCAACAGGCTGCTGTCTCTCCCGCTTAGGACTTACACCGTAACCTAGGGCCAGGGTTGTGTTACCCTGAGACCTTGTAATGCCTCTCTGCTGCAGACTTCTTCCAGAAAGACTTTTCGGAGAAAATGATACTTAATTTTTGACTTCGATGGGGAACAATTTTGATTTTATTCTCGCAGGTAACATCTACTCGAGCCAATACAGACCAGCAACAGACAGATAACTCTAGATGCTCATTTCAGTGATGCAGCTCTAAGTGATATAACTCACCGGGGCCTCCCATTTTCAACCACGTACAGGCCATTCAGGCTCTTCCTCTCCACTTCTCCATCTCGCTCATTAAACTGGGGAGAAAAATTTTTATCACTGTAGAAAAGAAGAATTTAGTAGAGACAAGTTACTAAAAGCAACACCCCTATGTTCCCCAAAGGTCCCTCAGACTTGCAACAACAATCATCTAGCAAATGCCAATTATTTTTCCCCCCCAGAGTTAAAGCATCAGTCCCTCTTTCCCTTTAGTTATAAGGCCTCAGCATTTACTGACTATATGTTCTCTCACGAACTCAATCTGCAGACATATAAACTTGCCCACTCTAAAGCCTTTAACACATCTTTACCGTACACTTCCATTTACACAAGTGTTTGAAAGGTGTTATTGTTAAGGTTAGAGAATATAAAAGCAATTTCATCCATCATACAAGGATAACAAGCTCACACTTGTACAAAAAAGGACTTTTCTTAAAAAAAAATGTATTAAGAAAAAAAGGATGAGAGTAAGGAAAACTATTTATATAATTCTTTTGAGCAGATCAGTATTATAAGGTATGATTTATGCAAAGTAGAGGCTGAAACAGAATGCTACTATCTTTGCTTTTTTAAATATAGCTGAAATTATATGACTTGATATAACCACAAGCTGCATTAGATGCACCTATCCTTCCAGTAAGAAGCAAACAGCGTTCCCTGGGAAGCAGAAGACACACATATAATAAGCTGAAGTGGACACATGGTTGCAGCTTCTGCATTTCTGGAGTCAGGCTGCTCAACTCAAGGACTACATCCAGTTCTGCACTACTACTGTTTCTTTTTACACTCAATCTGTGCAAAATAAACATATACCTAAGGAAAGTTTTTCCCCAACTTGAATGCCACAGTACTATCCTAGCTCTCGTGTCCAACATAGGAAAAAAAAAAACCATAAAGAATGAGGCAAATGGTATTTATATCATAACAAATAGAAATATACATAAGATAAACAACCATACAATATTCCAAAAGGACTGCTGTCTTTCACATAAAAGGCGACAAGTTCCCTGAGACTTCCAGAGCTGACCCAAACTACTCAGTCCTGACCAGCCTTCTAGGTCTTTACTTTCAGAAATCACTGTAAAAGGACATGCTATTTAAGCTGATGATTTTACGACCTTAGTTTTATTTCCTTCCTCCCTTTTCACAACAGAAAATGGCCATCACTTCTGCTTACCTGAGTTGGGGATCTGCCCAGCTGGGTCCAGCCAAGACCGCGACTGACGTGTATTCCACAGGGTTATAATCCCTCCATTCAGTCAACCAGCCCACCTTATCCCGAGGAACTCGGCTACGCTCAACGTTCGATCCTGGATACGGGGAGGTGAGAGCTTTGCTGTGGTAGAACTTATCGACAGCACAACTGCTTGACATTTTAAGTGGTTGAAGGTGGGACCAATGGGCCGCAGATAAGTTACTGAAAGAAAAAAAGGGGAAGAAAAAATCAAAATCTTTGTATCTTTAGTATTAACTATGTTACTTAACTCAGAAACTGGAATATTATGGTGTGAAAAGCAGCACCTACTGCTCCACGTAGGCACCTCATCAACACACTGACAGAACTCCCTGCTCTCTAAGGGATGGGTAGCCCAGAAAAGGGCTAATTTGAAGCATCCAAGAAAGCCCACAAAGCTGAACTGGGCAGGTTGCTATGCACACCGGGCCGTGATTTTGTGCTCTGCCAGTTATTACAGCACCAAACAAGACAACTGCACCCCAACTACTTAAATAAAGGCTAAAATAAGCCAGCTGCTTCAGTGAAAGGGGAAAAAAACTTTGGGACAGCCTGTAGTTTTACCATTCCATGAGAGGTCAAATATCCATCAATAATAAAACAGTAAAAAGGGATCTTTGGGCTAGAGCAGCTGACACTCAAGCTTTCTAAGCATTCTATGAAGATCCCCTTTGGCACCGAAACTGGCCTTTCAAAGCTTGGAATAAGGTTTAGATATGCCAAAATTAAACAAGATATATTTGCTATATGTGAAGCCTACAGTTCAGTATGGGGCCACGCACTTAAAAACAAAAACAAAAAACACCACCACAATAAAGAAAACACTTTGAAACAAGATGTTTGAGAGACCTTGATGGGGACGTTCCTTTCAAATCACTACGTAGGCACCTCCAGCATACGGAAAACCTGAATTTCTGCAAAACACACAGGGATTTCAAGAGCTGGCAGCAGCACCCTCGTGCCACCAGGCTCTGAGCGTGCCAGGGCGGTACTGAGGAACGCACTGCGCCCATGAAACCTTCCTCTCTGCAAGGGATGAGGGATATTTCATATACACGTGCAGCAAACTGCTGCTCGCCGGGCACGAGCGCAGTTGCTACGTGGCTTCCTTCCCCCTACACCCGCTTTCTCAAACACTCCGCTCGCCCACGTCTAAAGGAGGGTTCGCTCCGTTCCCGCCAGGCCAAGAGGAGGGCCTGGGCTGCCCAGCGCCTGCCCCTCACGGACCGGACAGCGGCCCGCGGCGCACGGAGGCGGCTCGGGCTCCGGAACTCGGTCCCGCGGGCCGCGGTACCTGAGGGCCGGGCGGAGCCCGGGGCCGCAGCGGGCGCCCAGCGAGGAGAGCGTGACCGCGCAGGAGACCACGGCGACGGCCCGAGCGAAACGCGCCCCCGTCACGGCGCGCACGGCCGCGCCGAGCAGCCGCATCCCCGCCCCGCGGCCGGGCGAGGCTCCGCCCCGCGCAGGCGCCCAACGGCCGCCGCCGCACGCGCCCAACGGCCGCCCCAGGTGCTCAACGGCCGCCGCACGCGCCCAACGGCCGCCGCGCTGCGGCCTCGCCCCTTTTGACAAGCTCGCCCCTCATAGGCTCAATCACGCTGCGCTCGCGCCCATTGGCTGGCCCTTCTCTTTGCCCCGCCCACTCCCCGCCCCCTCGCCCCTCCCCCTGAATTCTGTTTTCTGATTGGTCCGATCACCTTTCCGTCAATGTCACACTGCGCCGCGCGGCCCGCGGGGGCCCCCTCTCGGCGATCGCGCCCCCCCCTTCCATTTTCCGGGGTCCCCAAAGCGGGGGTGAGGGTGAGGGTCATGGGACAGGGCCAGGGAGCCCGTGACAGGCAGATCCAAAGGGCTGGCAAACGGGAGTGGAGGGGCGCGAGCGCCCCCTGGCGGTCACGGACGGAACTGCGCCCTCGCGCGCGCCCCCTGGCGGCCGTTACGGCCGTTGCGCATGGGCGGCGGTTGGGGGGGCGGGTGGCGGTTGTCGCCTCACGGGGCGGTGGCGGCAGCCGCCCGCCCACCGGCGCCGTGCGATGCGTTACCCTCGCGCCGAGGGGCGGCTCGTCGCCCTGCCGCGAGACACGGCCACCGAGCAGCGTCCGAGGCCTTGAAACCCGCGCGGTTTGGCTGCCTTTTTTTTTTTTTTTTTTTTTTGACATTTGTCAAAGCTTATTCACCCCTGACACTTCCAGTGGAGGACTGCTGGCTGCTGTTGAATTATAACCCTCAGCCTTACCAAGAGGGATTAAAGTTCTGCCAAGCAACACAAAAACCTGTTTTTTTTTTTCCCGGGGGAAGAAAATAAAAATGAATCTGTTTCTGGAATTCCTGGTGTTTTTAGCAGTGCTAATCTACTCCTACCTAGAAGCGCTTGTCAAGCTTTTTATGCCCGTGAAGAGAAAATCGGTCTCTGGGGAGCTGGTGCTGATCACGGGTGCTGGCCACGGAATAGGGAGAGCGACCGCCTGTGAGTTTGCCAAGCGTCAGAGCAGATTGGTTCTGTGGGACATCAACAAGGTAACGCTCAGCTTCACGGCTTGATTCACTAACGCTGCAAGCGGCTCCGGCCGAACCGACAGGGACGTTTTTCTGTCGCTGCGTATACAAGTGTGCACCTCCTCTGTGCTCTTAGAGTCAGGTCACTAACAAGTGGGATCCCTGTGCGAGCAAAGCTTCACCTCAGCTGCCCCAAAGCATATGGGCACCCAGCGCCCGTAGTTTAAGCCAGAGCCCAGGGTTGGTCAGCGCTGGTTCCACATCCAGCATTCACAGGATACCTGCAACTGTGGGGCATGGTGCTGAGGAAGGCGCCCGTGAAATGGCTGCTTAAGCTGGCAGGAGAATAACCTGAGAAGCGTGTCGCTGCAGGAAAGCAGGACTCGCTCTGCCTGCTGTTTTCTAGTCCCATCTACTCGGCACATGTTGCTGGAAGAAGTGTCTGCTTAATGGTATCAGAGGACATGAGAAGTAGCTAAGTGAAATATAGCTAAGTGAAATGTAGCTAAGTGATGGTCATATTTTGTTAGTCTTCTGTCCTTGCAACAGAGTATCATAATTCTGTAGCAGTTCTGATTCCTAGTTGCAGAATGAAGAGCAAACATAAACAGGAAAATCTGCTTTAATATGTTAACCATTAAAATATTAATATTAATATCACAATGTTATGACTAATTGATGTTATCTCTTCTTGCACCTGAACTGCTCAATTATATCTTAGGAGCAAACTGCTCAATTATATCTTAAGAGCTTTCTTCTGGGAAGGTCTTACTTGGGTAATAACTTTCAGGTATTAGCTTTTGCTTCACCAAAATCAAGGTTTCTTCTTACTTTCAGTCATGTGAGAGATTTGTGTATAGCAACAAGAGCTTCATCTTGGATCATTAAGAAAGCTGTTATATAGGTGTTACAGAAGTATTGTAATACGTAGCTCTTAGGGGGACTTTATCTTCATCCGTGTGAGGTGTTAGTGAGGTAAATTTTGTAGGCAAAGCTTCTTGACCATGTAAATTGGGAAGCAAGAAACAGAACATAATCTCTCCTTGTGAAAGTGTGTTACTTGCACTGAAAGAATTCAAGACCAAAATATGTGCCTGCCCCAAACCTAATTCTGTGAATAAACCTCTGCTCCAGCTTGCGAACCAGCCCAAAATGAGGAAAGAGCAGTTCTAATAGCATAATATAATTTATTCCAGTACCCTAGAGTATAACTGAGTTTGTGTTTACCATCTGAGATAACTTCAGTGGCAGTCCCCCCTGCAAAAAAATCCCACAACTTTGAGCACAAAAGACCTTACATGTAATGGAGAACTGAGCAGAAATTATAGGGCATTACTGAGAAATAATGCACATGTTACCCTGACCATAAGGACTGCTGAGAAACCTTTACAGTATTTTGCTATGCTCATAAGTGCCCAAGTACAAGTTCATCCCTCCTCTGCCACAGGGATAAGGGCAGCCTGCTCTGTGCCCAGCATATTAAGTTCTCCCAAGTAAAAACCTGTAAAACCAGCATGCCTTAAGAATGTGGAAGCTTTGTTGTTCCTTTGAAAAAGGCAGTGCCATCTGGCAGCACAGTTTTCTTATCTAATGGACAAAATGTGTTTGCACAGAAGTATTTTTTTTTAATTCACGGCCTTTGAGTTAAAGGTTAAAGGTTTGAGTTAAAGGCCATGAATTAAACCTGCTCTTCCCAGTTTTACAGGTATTTCTTAAGGAAGCACACAATTCTGTAAAAATAAAGTGAAGTAGGTTGTTCGTGTTTTCACACTTGCCTTTTGACCTGTGAGGATTTAGCTCCGGGGTTCTTGGCTAAATTCCTACTAGCTGTAGAGGAACTGCAGTCTGCAAGTCACTGCTAGATTGCAGCTATGGAAACGTACATGTAAGGGCTGTGAAACTATGCATATCGTTGGCCAGCCTAAATATGTATTATTTTCAGCCACATCCTCTTCTAACTCATTTGTTTTATGCCCTCCCTTTATATCACCAAGGCTGCATAGCGGTGCGGTTGCTACGTGGTTGTGGCTGGTATATGGATTATTGCATAACTGAAGCAACTTAATTAAAACCTTAAAATACATATCTAAGTTTGGAATTTCTCACATTTTGTGTGCTGCAGTGAACAGTTGTTTTCGGGAGTGAGCTGGGAGAAGAGCTATGATCGGAGTGCCCATGAACAGAATGGACACTTGGAACAGAAAGCCAAATCCCTCAGATCCCTGTAAAAAATGTCTCTGTTTGCAGTGGATTTACTTCAGCACCATCCTCCATTTATAGAAATTTATATGTTGTCGATTTTAGCATCATTTTTCCCTAAAACAGTTATGATCTTTTTCCTCTTTCCCCTCCCACCCCCCCATTTGATAGCGAAATGGCACTGAGATGTTTTTAACTGAGACCATTTGACCCTAAATTCTTTTTTTCTAAAGGGAAAGTTCTCTCTTCTAGGCCAGGACTATAGAGAATACCCACTCAAAAACAGAGTTATTTTTTAAAGGAAAGGGAAGAACAGGGCTTAAAACAAAATAGTGAAAAACAACTCAGATGGACAGACAGACTTTTATACTTTTTTATTCATTTCAGTAAAAAAATCGTACTTGTTTTCAAGGAGTAGTCCTTGAGGTCTGTCTCTCCACTGGAACCACGTTTTGAGTCCTTCGTTCTGGGTAGGCAGTGTCCACAGCCACAGCCAACTCAGCTTAAGAAATCCGTTGCGCATTTGTCCAATACTGTTCTCATAAATAATGTCTATCTGCAATTGTAGACATGAAACACTCCTGTCTTCTCACAACCAACCAATTAATATTTAAAATTGTAGGCCCACTTTTTTATATCTCCAAGTTGTAATTGGATTTTTGATAAAAGAAAAGTCCAATTAAAAGCGCTGCTTAGAGTTGGGCTGTCCACCTGCTGTGCTTCAAAAGTCACTGTCCCCTTTCTATAGTCTGGATAAATGAGCTTTACCAAGGCCAAGGCACTTGCATCACCACATTGCCTTGCCAGCAGTCAGTCTACGTCCTAAATATAAGGTAAGAATACTGGTTCTCCTAGAAATCCTGGCTACATTCCTTTCTCTATGGAACCCTGAATGCTAAAAGAGGATTAAAAACAGTTACACAGTGTGGATACACCTTTAACCTTCAGCTTATCTGCAGTGATGTCCAAAGGACAGAACGTGGTCAAGGTGCAATTGAGTAAATTCTTCTCTCTCCCTCTTGCAGCATGGCATTGAGAGCACAGCAGAGGAATGCAAGAGGCTGGGCGCCACTGTTTACGCTTTTGTGGTGGACTGCAGCAAAAAGGAGGAAGTCTACAGTACTGCAGAAAAGGTACAAAGAAGAGTTGCCTGTTGTAAGATTGACACAGACACCCTTGGTTTGCCAAAACACAGAAAACAAAACATGAGGTGCCTCTCTCTCTCCCTCTTTTTCTGTTTCATTGTCTCTCTCTCATCTTTCAAGTCCCTGAAATATTACCCTTTTTTTACTGCTCTCTGTACGAAGAGTAATGTAACACTCTGTTCACATAGTGCAGCCACGTTTGTCCTCTTTCATAAGCCCCCTGAGTATCATGCCCTGTTCAGAGTTTGTTCTTCAGACTTTAAAAACCGTTAAAGAACTTTTTCCCTTTGTTATCCTGTACAACACACAGAGAGTACCAAGGGCTTTTGAATACTATCGCAGCTGAGAATATGAGTCCAATGGCTCAAATAATTCTGGGTTTTCATAGGACCAAATGTGACCTCACAGGGCACACTTTATGGGAATGTGTTTAGAAGATTATGAATATTGGGATTAATTAATGGCAGAACACAAGATGTACAACAGTTCTCTTTATACTGTGTAAGTCCTATAAAATCGGGATATTTAGCGTGATCTTTCCCTTCAAAAGCAAGTCTAAATCTGAAACTAGTTACACAGCTGCTTTTGTAATATATGTTTTTTTTTGACAGTGAATGACAGCATCTTTACATTCTGTCTATTAAGGTGAAAAAAGACATTGGAGATGTCTCCATCCTGGTGAATAATGCTGGTGTGATTACAACTGCAGACCTGCTCTCAACTCAAGACGGAGAAATTGAAAAAATGTTTGAAGTGAACATTCTCGCTCACTTCTGGGTAAGGGTCACTAGCATTTTTTTGTGTATATATTATAAACGATTCAAGTTTAGAGCATTGATTATCTTAAAATACGTATGTGTGCTTTGAAATTATGTTTCTGTTTTACATAGCACAGTTAAAGTACTAAATAGAAAAGCAAGTTGCTAAGTATGGGACAAATGAGAAGCAAGGAAGTGTACATTTTACAGTTAAAAGGATGTGCAGTTCCTTCACATGCCCTTGTCATCCAGGTCCACAGTGGCTATGTTAGGTAAAATATTTAATAGCTTTAAAATTCTTCAGCATGTGAGATAATATTACATGAGCCATAAAATCTTACGCTACTTGATTCCCTAACATTGTATTACTCTAGTTGTTACCACATTTAATCATGCACAATTGCCTATGCCTCCGAAAGGAGTGGTCACGGCTTATCCATATAACTACATTTTTGAAAACGGGCACTCCCTGATTTCCTCCTTGTGCATAATATGAGAAAACATTAAACACCCGTCTCCTTCAACTGGTTGAGCAACACTAGCATCCTGCTGTTCTGAGACCTGTCCAGTTTTCCCCTTCTTTCTTTTCCACGTGTTAGTTAAGCAGTGACAGCTTTACATGCGACATGGGCTATTGTGATCTATAGGAGTATTTAAGGTTTCCTTTGGGGTTTGTGCCTTTAGCCAAGGGCAGAGACTCTGTCAGCAGCATCTACACAGCCTAAAAATGCAGAATAATTCTTTTTTTGGCTGAAACACACCAAAGGACCACTGAAAGGGTCCTTGCTGGCCAAGCAGGACAGGAGGAGGTTGGCCCTGCAGCGCCCAAGCTGAGCTCCCCAGCATTGCTGAGCCGTGTGTCCCCTGCTCCAGCAACACCCGTGGCTCCGACCTCTTGGATCCACCTTCACGGTGCCCACCAACCCATCTAGTAGCCTTGGGCTGACTGCCTGCAGGGCTTTACATCCTCCTGGGACACTCTTTTACCTAGTGGATCCCTGAACAGATACACGCTTACCTGTCCTCCTCCTGTTACTTTTACCTTTCTATCTCTTTGCAGATTTTCGCACTGCTTTTTCTGAGCAGTCTGAGTCAGGGTTATGTAGTTGAGTATTTTTGGACAAAGGGCAACTTGGGTCCTTGGTACAACAGCTAATCCCAGCCATGGAGTGGGAGGAGATTTTAGCAGGGATTATAAAAGGCAGAGTTACAGGTAGTAAAGACTTTTTGTTTGCAATGAAAGAAAAGCCAAGTTACATATTGAGAAATTTTATTGTACACACTGTCAACTTACGCCTAAGAAAGAGCACAAGAAAAATATCCTTCAAAAAACAAAGAAAAAAAAAGGTTGAAAACATTATCAGTGAAACTGGGAAAAGGTAGTATCCGTGTTTTTCAAAATCGTATTAAATGATACCAATCTTAGGTGCCAGTATTGGGATATAGCAGCTGAAAAATCTAATCTCTTCTCTGTGAAATTCTAAAAGAATACACAACATTTTTAGTCATTTATATACAAATAATTGCTGTGGAACATGCCTGAGACAACATTGTTCTCTCTCCCTCCCATTTCTACCTTTTTTATCCTTTTAAGACAACAAAAGCTTTTCTGCCAGCAATGATGGACAACAATTATGGTCATATTGTCACTGTGGCTTCCGCAGCAGGTCACGCTGTAACTTCTTTCATGCTGGCTTACTGGTGAGTGACTTAAAATACTAGGTCCTCTTCATTTTTTTCCAAATGTTGCTGCCCCATCAACAAACACGGCATAACAGAGAGTCTTCAAATTTGAAAATGTGTTGCCCAAAGATGATGCTAAGAAAAAAACAAACAACATGTTAATACGGAGGGACAACATGTTAACACAGAGGGATTTCTAATTCAATCAGGAGCAATCCTTCCTTGAAGGAACAGTGCTTGAGAAATCATCTTGTTGAAATTTATACTTATTTTTCAGTAAGTAGAGAGTGGACATGTTTGAGAAGGCAGACTACACCTTCTGTTTAAGCATACAGGTTTTGTCTATGCAAGGTAAGGTTGTAAGCTCCCTCTTATAAAGCCGTCTCTTAAAAACAAATAAACAAACAAACGCCCTCCAGAATAACATTTAAAGCACAAAATGTTAATATTTAGTGCTGTTAACAATCTATCTGACAACTTAGAGTTTGATGTACCCACTAGAAGCACATGAAACAATCAAGAAAATTGTGTTATATCAATGTAAAAATGTACATACTGGATCAGAGTAAAACCTCTCTGTGATAGTGGTTCAGGATGAAGCAATCTTTCTTGTTATATGCTCCATCTCCTATAGCCATTGATGGCAATTTGGTAACTCCTGCGTCAGGGGTTTTACCTGGATTATAAAGCCAAACCTAATGATCCTAAATAGACACCTCTCATTTTACAGGAGTTAGGAGCCGATTTATTCTGTTGGCCCCCACAAACTTCTGAGGCAATACTCTCCTGCATGCTGTGGGCATAATGGTTCTTTATTTTAAACCTTGTGTGTAAACATCACATGATACTTCCTTGTGTTACAAGAAACAGTAGATGGTTGTTCTCTGTTTCTATTGTCTGCAGCCTCCTTAATTTTAAACTTACGCTGAATTCCATCATCAGATTTTATTGCATAGTGAGATTTTTTTTCCGCTATCAGAATTTGTAGACACCTCATGCTGACTTTGTAAAATGGAAACTGCATCTGACATTTGAGAAAGGCAAACTCCATAGACTTGCAATTTTTATTATTATTTTCTAAGAATTTTTAACATTCTTCAGACTGTTTACCACTAAGCTGACTTTTTGAGAAAGGTATCCACCTTATTTCCATGTTTTTTTACCTTGGTAGCAATATTTAACTCAGGACTCTACTGTGGCATAGGCAAAGTTAGAATTAGTCCTGTCCACGTCGCTCAGGTAGATTAATTTTTTTTTTTTCCCAAACCATCAGTTTTGCCACAATTTTTTTCAGTCAGTTTTAGTTGGTATAAAATTAGAAACAGGAATCCTGCCTTCACATTAATGCTTTTTTCCCCCTTCTTCTCCCTGCCTAGTTCAAGCAAATTTGCTGCAGTTGGATTTCATAAAGCTCTAACAGAAGAACTGTCTACGTTGGGGAAGGATGGAATAAAAACATCTTGTCTTTGTCCAGTTTTTGTAAATACTGGCTTTGTGAAAAATCCAAGCTCAAGGTAAAGTTACAAGAGAAATTTCAAATTTTTTATATATATTTATATATATTTAAATATTTATATGTATATATATGTGTATATATATGTTTATAATATATACATCCCTGCTTCAGCTCTGGTACTCAACTGTACTGGTTAATACAACTTTTATATAAAATTTTTATATAAAATTTTTATATAATATAAATATAAACATAAGATTTTTATAATATAATACAGTTGTATTTGAAGAACCTGTCATCATGATGAGTCTTTGACATATCCTGCTTCAAGTTCCACAGGCCCCCTTCCCTTGCCATATGCCATGTTTTACTCATGTCACTTTATGTTTCCCTTTCATTTTAGGCTTGGAAATATTTTGGAAATTCCAGAAGTTGTAGACAAATTGATGGAAGGAATACTGACCAATCAGAAAATGATTTTTGCTCCTCCAAGTCTAAAAATTGCATTATTCTTTGAAAAGTGAGTATCAGAAGGAAAAACACTAAAAACAGACCCAAGATCATTACCTTCAAGGATACAGGCATCAAACTTTTAAAATTCTAATTTAAGCTTTATGGTAGGAGATGGTGCATTTTGCTCTCACGGTAGTAAAAAACAGTTTTGGCAGCATAGCATTTCCCTTCTATGGGATTTATCTTTAGACTTCAGAAATAAATATTCACTCTAGCATAATTTATTTTCCATTATTATGCTCATACTGTGTTTGGCATCAGTACGCCTGTCCTGACTCGACTGTGTATATCTGTAGGGGAGATTTTAATTTTTTAAACGTATGTTGAAAAAGTTTGCAGTGTACAAAAAGACCAAGTTCCAAGGCAATGAAGTAGGAGAGGGCATGTTTCCCACGAGACCAGTAGAATTTATGCACAGGAGGATTGTTTTGATCCTCATCTTCACTCTTGAGGGACACTTTTTCCCAAGTAACTACATAATAGTTAACACAGCTAAGGGCCTGACAGGGGGAGAAAAGGAGAAGAATGCATTCTGCTTAACAGCTAGGTACTTTCCATCCACATTTCTCTAAACCAGTAGCCTCAGAGAAGTTTCAGAATGGGCTATAGAACTGCTGCTTATTAGTTCTCCTTTCTTTTTTTTTTAACCTCAGAAGATTTAGGCCACAGAGGCTGAGGCAGTATCTTTGAAGAGCTTCCAGTGTTATCACCGGAGTTGATGACCAAGACCTAGAATTCACATCAGAACAACTAATAAAACTTTTCAGTTAACTTCTATAGAGTCCAAAGAAACAGTTTGTAGTAACCTGACAAACCTGGGTTTAACTTAACAAAAAATCTCACACAGTCTCAATATAATACCATTTATTTTGTTGAGGAGCTAGAGCAAAAGCTATCAAAACCCTTCAGAAAACAAATTTTCAAAGTATGTGTATTTAGGACATGGGGAACAAATAGACAAAATTTAGAACAAAAGGAAGAGAAATCCTCAGAAAAGAAACTACATCTCATATCACTCATATATTTAGTATCAGATCATTTCATCAGCTTGCTTCTTGTCAAAGACAGAAAACCCTCATGCACTTGTCTGTTCTGTATTAAACCACATTTGATCCTTCAGCAGCATTGCAGCCAAAGTCCTATCTTGAAATCTTAATCAAAGAACAGAGGTTAAATGTAGAGTTAAATCAGAGTTAAATCTAGAAAAAGACTTGAGGTGTACATATAGTCTTTGGAAATATTCCTTGTTTCAGCTATCAAGTTGATCAGTATGTGTGCATACATTTTGCTTCTAGACCAGCTCTCCTCTAACTTGTTATGCAGCTTTTTCCATAATTTCCTATTTTACTGTAGATCTAATTTCATGTTATTATCTCTTTCAGGTTGTTTCCAGAGCGTGCTTTGAAAGTTCTGAAAAAAATGGATTCTATTACGTTCGATGCGGTTGTTAGAAACAAACACTGAGAAGGAACCGCTTCCCCTTGTACCATATCATGAGTGAAAACAGAACAAGTGCTGATTTTAGTTCGGTTGCTTTGATTTAGAGCAAAACAGAACACAAACACTCCCCAGCCACCATCTTCCAGTCTGCCTAAAGCACAGCTTATCAGTGTAAAAGGATTGTCTGCCAATACATTAATCAGTACTCATCAGCAAGTAAAGGCATGCTATTTCACCTGAATTTATCATTTTCTGTTTCCAAAAGGTCACAATTCCATGGCAAGTACCCGCAGTAATGTAGCCTTTCAATCAAGGTTACGTATTAGCACAGTTGGCACAACTTATGCAGAATAAAGAGTTCTTGACCTTGATAGTTTCCCATGGAGAGAAGCTGCCCATCGAGAAGTTAAGCTTCTACCCATGTTTTAGAAGCTCATTTTGGTAGAATTCTAGGTATACTAAAAGGGGTTAATCTCATATAATACACTTTTTTTTTTTCTTTTTTCTTCAAAATGAGGACAATCCAGTCAAAACAAAATTCACACTCAAGTTTGTGCAGACCTGAGCTGAAACTGAAACTAGAAAGCTAAGTGTGAAGCTTTACTAGACAGAAGCTGTGGCAATTTGGATGCTTGCAATTGAGATGGCTCTGCTCGTAGGAGAGCTGAGCCGTGAATCTGAGCCAAGATTTCAGCAGGATATGAATTTCTACAAAAAAATAAAATGCACATGCTGTGATCTACAATTAGGAAAAAAATGTAGATATTTGTTTAGCAGCTACAGCACTTGAACCTTTCCTGCATTTGTTGAGGCTTGAGAGCAAAAATTAGACATCAGAGGGAGGCAGGAAAATGACTAAAGACACTTGCTTTTCCTGCATAGGAAAAAATCTGCTTAAAACATAGATGAAATCTTCTGCACTTGACTATTTTGTGGTACATTTTATCAAATTGCTTCTCTCTAATTCTCAGAAATCTTTAAAATGCCTTCCTGTGAAATCACTATAGTATTTCTCTGCAAATCACTGGAGGCCTTACCTCTTCTCATATATGCTAGAAAAATGACTCATCTCCTAAGAACGCTGAAAAAAAACAGAATATTATTGTTCTTATTCTACACGACAAATAATTCAACCTAATAAATCTGTAATTTATCTAAGTACTCAGACACATGTGTTAAAGAAGATAACAAGGATATACTTAGACTGGACAGACTTCATGCACGTGCAGTGGGTGTGTTTGTGGCAGGTGGGAGGGATGACCCTTTCAGCACTGCAGAAACTGGCATCTAAAATAACAGTCTTCTCTAGAGAAGAAAACAACTCCACTGAAGCCCATAGAGCTTCTACATCCACATAGAATATAAGATAAATCCTCAATGGGCAAACTAGAAAGTCACAAATAAGTCTAAACTTAAACTAATTAATGCATTCACTGCAGCTCAAAACTAAACCATAGATACCATACATAACTAACTCATCCCCAAACTCATTTTGAACTCATTTTTAATGTACTCTCAAGTACACTAAATACTTGAGAGCTCATCATAATGACAGTCAGTGAGAATTAACTTCTGAAATTAATCACAGTCAGAGAGCACAGGCTTCCAAGTCATTTATTTTTGCTCAAATAATTAGATAATATCCTACAGAAGACATAATTATGTTTTGGAAAAAAAAAAAAAGAAAATAAGGCAATTTTGCCAGTAAACACAGGCACACTTAGACCAAATCCTGCAGCTCTGCCAGAGAGAAGCTACAAACAGGGCCAATTTATCAGAGCTGAGATTCGCCTCATCTTTGATTCTGTGTCTTGTATTCCTGAAATGTGTATGAAATGTATTCCTGGAGGACTAAGCTCAGTTCACAAACTTTTTGCAACAGATTTGCTTAAGTTTTCCACAATTAATACCAAGCCTGTTAAGAAACTCCATGTGTTCTGTCCTGCTGTTTTGAATGCAAAATTCTTTGTTTTGCCTGCTTAATGAGGTCACATGCTGCGTCTGCTTCAGGAAACTATAGTCCTCCTCCAAAACTAATAGGAAAATGACTGAACAGTACGATGAATTGTATTTTAGATATTACACATCTGTGGAGCAAATTCTTCCTTGCCAGGACACTACCATCTGTTCGAAACTTGATACCTCAAAGCTCACTGGCTTGGATTTCTATCAAAGGGGCAGTGGATGGCCAAGTATTTTGTGGTTCACAGTTATTAGCCTGGTTTCTTCAGTGGATAAATACTTGCTGTGTTCCTTTTCTAATGTTAAAAAGAAATTTTTTAAAGCTATCCTTCCATCTCTGGCAACAAGCATACACCAGACTGAAGATATTCTACCCTGAAAAGCCACTCCCACTCATTTGTGCTTGGTGTAGACAGAAATAAACAAGATGATTTTCAAGATGCCTTACCAATAATAGTTTTGTGTGATTGCAGTCTTCATCTCCCCATACTTGCTCTTCCCCTTGCAGGTGCCAGGGAGCAGCCGGTCTGGAGAGGCACTGCACAAGAGGGCAAGCCAAGAGCTAAGGGTTACGGCGAGGCAGGCACCCCACCGACAGGGCACTGCCCCACAGTTCCCAAAAGGAGGATTGCAGAGCAGGTCCCACAGCAGTAGCCGGGGTCAGCCACCGTACCCACCTCCGGAGCAGTCGGCAGCGCCGAGGTCAAGCCGGGAAGCGGCGTCAGAAAGGCACACGGGCAGCAAGGTACAAGGTTGCCCACTGGCATTCCCACAGCACAGTCCAGGCCAACTGGCAGAGGTGCAGGGGTGAACAGCTCCGAGGAGGCCCTTTCTCACAGCCTGAGCTACCTGTTATATAACAGGATCTGCTCTGAGCAGGGGGTTAAACTGGCCCCTTCTATCCTATTAGAATTTTGTTTTGGTTTTCCCAGCAGACTGATCCCAGCTGAATTACAACTGAAGAGTTGACTTTGAACACTGGCAGCCAAACCTAGCAGGGTGGGGAGTGGTAGTTATTGCAATTATAGGCCCTTGCAGGCTCCTTAGGGCAATTACAGCCTGTGTGCAAACCCAGGCCCCCTCCTAGCAGCAGCAATTTGTGCTATTGATTCAGAAGTGTTGGTAAAGAGTATATTTTAAGTGCTGCTAGGTTATCTCTACACTTTCTCTATAAACTCCCTTTAGGTATACGCTACGTAAGAACAACAAGTGATGAAATACTGGTCAAATAACTCTCATGAGCACATTATGCTTTTAACTACTTGTGCAATCCCTGACTTGGCAGGCATTTCCTGGCTAGCCTTACTATTAAGTGGGCTCCGTTTGCTGTTAGATGGAAACACGCATAAATTTGTGGTGGCAGTACTTTTTTTGATGACAGTTTGATTAACAGTCTAATTGGCACAGACACACACAAACAAAGGGCTTTTTTTCTGGCTGTATCACTTCCATGTAATAAGACACAGTGTGGTAAACGACATGTTCCCAGCTTAGGATTTTTCCCTTCATATGCACAATTGCTGTAACTGAGAAAAGGAAAGAAAAAGTAGAGCCTTACACGCACACACACACACACACACACACACACATATATATATATATATATATATATATGCGCCTCGGGGTTGGTCAGCATCTTGGCCCCGGGTCATTCTAAACTCTGTGAACGTAACAGATTGCTAATGGGAACAAAAATGCAAGTCTTGGGCTCTGAGGGAGCAAATTAGGAGTGCATCTTTGGGGCTTTTTCATTCTGTTAATTGACATCTATTTTTTAGGGAAGAGTTAGGCAATATAAAAGTAGAGATGCTTTAATAGCACAGAGAGCAGCACACGGGCAAAAAAGGGTGCCTGAGACCTGAGAGCCCAGAGGCCTCAGTTGCACTGCTGGGAAATCTCCTTAACCCTTCTCCCAGCCTTGCTTCTCCTTCCACTTCCCCTCCAACTGACAGGACAGGCACGGGACTGCTTTCATATTAGGGTGGATATAGTCAAAAGGCTGTAAGCTGCACCAAGCATTAGGCTCACCTGCTAGAGATGCTGGCGTATAACATAAAGGAGATCAGCTTTCCAAATCCAAGGGAACTCAACTCACTGTGATCCTGGCTAGCTCTACAGGTGATCTTGGTATATTGGGCCAGAGCAGTGTGTATGTCTTTTTCCTTTGCATCATCATTTGCATCATCATTCTATCTTCCTCCCCAGTTTTCCACCTCAGGTCGGACGAAGCTGTTGCATCAGGGTCTTTAGAGGTACAGGCCCTTGGAGAAATACACCTGATGCAAACAGTAACTATTGCAGAAGGATAAGCAGAATGCAGATTTAAAAAGAGGGAAATGTGGGCCCTGCCTTTAAAGGTCTCATGCATTCAAGCAGAAAACAGCAGTCAGTGGTCAGGACTCTATTTCATGTTTCTATCCAGCATCCACAAGTTTTAAAACTACGACAGTTTAAGTTGTCCTAGGGCAAACAAGACGTATAATCAAAGCCTTTCTCAGGTTATTATTACCTTGTGCCCCAGAGGGGAATAAAAGCAATTGAAATTTCATCTGCTAAATAAATGCCTAAAAGAGCTCAAAGAGATGATCACATTACCAAATTACTTGGATGCAAACCGGGGCCTTCCAGCACAGTTCATATCGTAAGGGCTGTAACTGCTCGTCTGATCCTCAGACTGGGCTACCTCACATGCAGCAAGAGCCTCCAAGACAGACATGTAAGCTGCCTGGCCTAGCAACAAGAGAACCACCAGGATACAGCTCCAATTACTATGGAGCATATTGTGTATGCAAAATCAAATATCAGCTCTCCTTCCTTCCCCACAACTTTTTTTTTCCTGTGTCCATTTCCCTAGGGTTTATCCTTCCTATTTTCAGTCCTCCCCAAATCCCCCAACGCAGAACAAGCCCTGTGATATAGGCCAGTCCCAGGCACCACATAACAATGTGCAAGTCACCATGTCCAGAAAGCAAGAGCAGCTACAGTGCTCTTGCACAGTGGTTCTGTGGACCTGCCACCAACTCAAGAGAGTAGAACTGGGCCCCTACACTTCTTCATAATACTCCCATACAAGTCAAAGATGGTTTTGGCGCACAGATACAAATGAAATGCAGGAGATTTCATTTAAACATTCACTGTGAGGGTCGTTTAACACCAGAATGGGCCACCTAGGGAGGCTGTGGAGCTGCCATCCTTGGAAATATTCAAAAAATTCACAGCCCATGTATACCCCAAGCCTATATATGAGAAAGCAACAAAAGAGATTTTTCAGGCAAATCTTTCCAAAGCCTAAGTCTTAAATAGTTGGGCTGGCCAGATTCTAAAGCACAGTCCTCAAAGCTTCTCTAACTATCCAAAAGGCAGCCTTAGATGACATCTGTGCTGCGCCTCAGATGATATCTGAGCTGTATCAGTTGTAGCTTTAACGCCTACAGAAAGAGCTGTTTTGCATACATAACCCAATGGCTGCCTGCAGGTTACGATTGTGAAAAAGATTGTTTTTATTCTGCAGCTTGCAGACAGAGGATGCAGTGCCACCCAGTGCAAACCTGCCCCCTGCTTATGACACTTTCCTGCCGCGAGAGAACCATTGGACATTCGCTCGTAAGCTGAAGCCACCTTAAGGTAGGCATTTCTGCTCCTGCACCATCTAATTCCAGGAGGCACATATGATACATACTGATTCAGCTGAGTGTGGCACACAATACAGATGTCACTCAACACCCAAAGATCCTTTTTGCTCAGCCTCACGTCCCGAGTCAGAGAACATTCTGTTATTCTGAGGATGTTCCTGTTCTCAAAGCATCCCTGGCTGGTTAAGGGTGTTTATCTTCTGCTTGACTAGGCAGAGCTGAAAACTATCTCTTAGCTTATTATCATTAACTATGGATACCAAGGGGTTTAAAAATAGACAGCAGAAAGGCACATGATTTCTATTTTAATTTGTTGTCTCTCTCAATTTGAAATAGTTAGCCTTTACTGCGCAGAGATAAAAGGGGAAAGGCTTATGTAGTCCTTAAAAAAAGCAGCAAACCAAGGATTTGCCCATCTAAACAACCATATTACCTTTATTCTTTTGCTGTAGACTACGTTAAACTGTTCTTAATCCTGCCATCAAGCTTCCCAAGTTGCTTTGTGTTGCCTAACTTGAGAAACAATCTCAAGCTCAGGAGTGTAAAGTCCCTTTTGCCTCATAAATGTGCAGTGTGGAGCATTGTAAACAGAAGCTAGCCTTTTGTGCTCATAAATTGTTGTTGCAGAGCTAAGGAGACTGCTCAATACACTTAATTAAATATATAAGGAGACTAGTCACATTCTCATTTTCTGTATTATTATTCCTTACCAATGTACCTTTAAAAATGTTATCTGCATTTATTAAAGAAAATTTTCTAATTCCACAATTCCTAGACAAATTAGCCAGTACAGTGCTAAACTTCAGTCTTTAACAAACACCCATCCCATCAGTTTTTTATATTCTCTAACAGAACAGAAGTTCTTACCAAAATAGACTGCAGCCAAAAGGGTTTGCCAGGAGTTCAGCCTCCTGGTCTCTCCAAATAAAGGTCGCTTCCATGTCCACAAAAGGAAAGTGACACATAGTAACCTCTTTCTATTGACAGAAACCTCTTTCTATTGACAGAGAACACACATTACCCTCGTAAATCGTTACTTTCAAGGACTTAATAGCTGTCTGTGTTCGCAGGCAGGAGGGGAGCCCCAAACCCCCCTGACAGTACAACTAAGCAGTGACGTCGTTGTGGGCTTAAGACCTGCTCTAACCATACCTCAAGTCAATGGGAGCCCTTCTGGTGCTTCCCAGCAGTGACAGGTGAGGTGACAGGCAGCCTGCATTAGGAGCAGTAGCACCAACATCCTAAACAAGCAGAACAATAGTATGAAAACATCACTCTCTCATCTGAGACAGCAGACTGCACACTAATTCTGCTCCTTTCCTACAGACCACAGCAGTGAGTTACCTCTAATCCCTTTGAACAGCCTGTGACCAACTCGGTCCCTGCTACAGATGCACAAGTTAGCATCTTCAGGTAATTTTTCTCATGAAGACTTCAGAAAACAGCCAACAAGGCACCGCAATGCAGGAATTTTCCAAGATAGTTTAAACAAAACATAACATTCTTGGATCGTTTATCTGTACCACACTTTGGCTTGTTCAACCCAGCATGCAGTCATTTCTGCTGCTTGACTACTACTAAATTTTCACCACCTCTTGCTTATTTAAAAGACATAGGAGGAACAACACAGAAATCAAAACTACCACATAGTTAGGTTTTCAATTATAATGACTATTCTTGTACCCTTTCAAGAGCATTCTAGTTTCTTTTTAAATATGTCAGCTGAACTACCAATGTTCCTTAGTTAGATATTTTTGCCTTTTACAGCTCTAAAACAAACACAGGCCTCCTTCTCAGCGCAGGACACAGATTTTCACTGGGAATATGTAAACTTCCAACCAGTCATTTTGTAATAAACTTAGATTTTTAAAACACCTTCCTGCTTTTCAGTTAACTGTGCAGTCATTGGGGAGAGGAACATTGTTATACATATAGGTACAGTAGAACTTGGCCTGCAGCAAATGCAGTCCAACTTTTTACTTTACCGCTCCTGGCTGAAAATATTGCTTTGCTATTTAGCTGGAGGAGTGGAAGTAAAGCATTTTTAGCTGGTTATGTTTGCTTGCTTCTATGCAATATCATTACCTAAAAAAGGTTCTTCTGTACTTAAAAAGACAGGCATTTACTTAAAAAGACTAGTGTACTTTCCCTCTTTCATTGATGCTAACAGCTCCTAACCCAGACTTCTCAGATTCATAAGGTCAGTCTTACACTTGTTGCTCCATGCACAGAGGCAGTCCAAACTAAGCCTAGGGAAAAGCATGTAAGGGGAAACTTGCCTTCTCCTCTTGTTCAGCACATCATGTCACATCATCAGACAGCTCACGTGCAACCTGCACTTTTCACAGATTCTCGTCAGCAATCCCTAAACTATCTCATTACCTGGATGGTTGCAACCATAGAATGCTTGTCATCTTTTCTGTTTCCTTTCTACATCTACACTCATCACAGTACTTCTAGCATTGACTGCTCAACCGGCCCTCATCTACACGCCTGTTAGAAAAGATTCAATTCCTGGATCTCACATCTAAGTAGTGCCCCTCCTTCTTCCAAACCAATCCCTGCTCCCTCGGTAATGGCCTCATAACGGACACCTGCCAGATCAGCCAGCTCCGCCTTCATGGACCCCCTTTAAAATGCCCCCCAGGGGCCCTGTACCAAAGTCAACTGATCAAGAAAATGGGGGGAGTCTCTCTGTATGGAACCACTGCTGCCTTTTCCTTAGGACAGGTACTGTAAGTCTCCAGCACTACTCCCTATTGAGCTGGAACGGGTTCCAGCAGATCTTGCTAGATGGGTCCGGTTTTGGCGGTCTTTTTGCAGGGTCTTGCTGTGCTGCTCTCGCGCCCCCGGCACCCTCCAACCGCCACCGCACACGCCGCCGCGAGCTCCCGAGCCGCGCCCAGCCCCAACGGTAACGGCAGCGGCCGCCCCGGGCTCGGCACGCGCGCCCAGCCCCAACGGTGACGGCAGCGGCCGCCCCGGGCTCGGCACGCGCGCCCAGCCCCAACGGTRACGGCAGCGGCCGCCCCGGGCTCGGCACGCGCGCCCAGCCCCAACGGTRACGGCAGCGGCCGCCCCGGGCTCGGCACGCGCGCCCAGCCCCAACGGTRACGGCAGCGGCCGCCCCGGGCTCGGCACGCGCGCCCAGCCCCAACGGTGACGGCAGCGGCCGCCCCGGGCTCGGCACGCGCGCCCAGCTCGCTCCGCCTCCCCCGTCCTCTCCGGCGGGGGCCCGCGCGGCGCATGCGTGCCGCGCTGCCTCCCCCGTGCGGCGCTGGTGACCGTTGTGGCCGTTGGCCCCGCGCGGCGGCGGCAGGTGAGCGGGGCCGCGGCAGCCTTGGCGGGGCGGAGGGCGCCCGTCAGCAGCAGCGGCCACGGGGGGCCGGCGGTGCCGGCAGGGCACGGGGCGGCGCGGGAGGGGCGCGCGTGGGGCGGCAGCAGCGGGACGGGCGGCGCAAGCCCCGCTCCCCGTGGGGCTTCCCCTCGGGCCCCGCTCTTGCCTCACCGCTTCCCCCGGCCCCGGGAGCTCCTGCGGCGGCGTCACGCCGGGCTGCGGGGGCTGCCCCCGGGGTCCCCTGTGCCCGCACCCCTTCCCCTGAGCTCCTAGATCTCTTGCGTATATTGATAACTTCCTAACGTATAGGAGAGAAGTCAGCACCTTGGGGAGCCCTGCACTGCCTTCATGCCTCGCTTGCAAGCCGGTGCCCGATGAGCGCTTGGCTGCTCAAGCAGGCAGCGCATTGCATGCGGTTTTGGGCTTCGCATGTGTTTATGTAACTTACCCTTCCACCTCCCTTTCGCCCGCCTGCCCCAAAGCATTTAATGAGGAGAGTGTTTGGGATTATTTCCTTTAACTTGGTATGCTGTCAAGTTGCTTGCCTTCCCTCCATTGCTTCCCTCTGTGTATTGGTCCCTCCCAACAGCTCTTCTCTTACCCTCAAATGAAATGCTGAAGGTAGGTGTCTATTTTAAAATAAGCTCTGAGTACCCCCCAGCATGGCCCTTAGAATAGAGAAGATGATGGTCCATACATTCTTATTGCACCCTAGTTAGCCAGCCTGGGAAATCTGCAAAGGTTACCAGGTGGATTAAGCTCACTGGAGTTGTAAATGTTTCCTAACTCAAACATTCCTCAAAGAAGCTGTTTCAGAGAATGAAGGGCGATGTCTGAGACATGAAAAGAGACAACAGATGCTTAACTTCAATTTATTTAAGGCGAAAAATTCACACAGCAGTGAATTTTTCCACTAACAGGAGTAGAACTGTAGAGCAAATTGGAATTAAGACGTACTAGCCTCTTGTCAGAACATGGACATTCCTTTCTGTGAGATGCTGTACTAGAGCCCTACAGCTGTGGGAACATGAGTTGCTGTAGGATTCAAGCACACTTACGAGGGGACATAAATTGACTTAATTTTAAGGCTGCATATGATGAACTAGTCTGTAACAGCAACTCAGTCTTGCAGAGTGCAGCCCAAGCAGTTTTTGCTGGTTGACTGTTGACAACTGATTAGTTAAAATCAGTGAAGCTTCAATTACCCCAAGACAATTGATTTTACTAAAATACAGTGCAAGATACTATCTGCAGAGGGGAAGACATTAGGAATTCCTAGCCTTCACTTCTTTGTCACGTAAATGAGAATTTGAAATGCCACCACTCCACTAGTTCCTTTCTTTATTGCCTGCTTGAGCTTTCTTCCTGCTTTGACAGCTTCTAACTTTTCATTTCCACTCAGGCCAGTTCCTTACTGGTTTGTGGGATGAGTCAGTTAAAATCAAGGTCTGCAAAGCAAAATTCAGGTATTTCACAAGCCACACAGGGCCCCTTGCTTACAAAACTAGTTTTGTTTTTCTGTAGTAATTTTATGCCTTTTGTGGTAATGAGAAGTCATCATGGATTATTCATAAGGAGATCAAGCTGTGTCAGATGCATGTGAAGCCATTGGGCTGAGGCTTCAGAATCAGTTTAGGCTGATTTCCCCTGTAAACTGTGTACAGACCCTTATGTTGGAAGCGCTTCTTTTTATATGCTAAATACCTGTGTTAGTGTGCAAGCAGGTTATCTGCATTGTACTCATGCCTGGCTTGTTTATAAATTGTTAGTGGCTCCATATGGAGTTCACTTGCCTGGCATGTATTTTTTCTAGCTGGCCATTGATCTGCAACAATAACCCTAATCACTCTAGTCATAACAGAAGACATGAGAATTGTGTGATTGCTGCTAGTGATGGGCAGCAGTGTGGAATACTGTCAGGCAGTGTTTCCGTGGGCAAATAGATGTTATAGTGATAATTCCCTTAATCAATAAAGGTAGTTTAGGAAAAATTGGTTTTGCCTCAATTTATACTTAGGAGGAAGGGATGGTCTAAACATGGCTGTAGAGACCATGACACTACTGTCATTTTTAATTTCACCATCCCAGAGAAGGCAGTGACAACTCTGCTTGGCAAAGGACTGTGTTCCTGCCAGTGCTGAATACTGGTGCAAAATCATGTTGCACTTAGTGCTTTATCAATATTTCTTCTATGTTCTCCTTATCCAATGTTCTCAAGACTTCCTTGGATGAATAAAGAAATCAAAACAAACGCATTCTGTAGCTCTGTCAGACAGTTTCTTTAATCACTCTCCTAGATATTCTGGATTTGGTTCTGAACAGGTGAACAAAAGAATATCAAGCATAGATGAGTACTGGTATGTTAGGGATCTTTTTAAAGCAAGATTGAATAAAATTTTCAAGCAGTCATCTGTAAATGTTGCTAGTAGTTGTTCTGCATGGAGCTGGGGTTCAACCTCAGCAGAACTTTGTTCATCTTACTCAGATCAAAAAAAAGAAAAATCACAGACTAGCATAAAGGTATTTTGATGCAGAATTAATTCCAAAATGAAATTTTATCTGATGATACCTGCTGTGCTCTAGAAAAGACTTTTTCTTCCCTTAGTTTTTTCTTGGAGAATTAAAATAAAAATCTTTATACACTGTGTCTACAGCATTCATACAGGTTTAGTTATATAAGTATATGGAAGACCTTTGGTGGTGCCAAAGGGAAGAAAGCTTTATTCTTACCCAAGTTGCTGTTTTTAACTTAGCCATGTGATACAGAGGACAAAAATACCATGTCAGCTTTTCTTACAGAGAGCCTCTAAGTCTTGAAAGAATCTAGACATTTTATAACAATATTCTTTAAGCTATATTTTTCTACTTTAAAAAAAATCCCAATTTTTTGAACATGAAGCTTCCTAAACTCCAGTGATGGAATTGGTAAATAAAGCAGAGAAAAGCACTGAGTTTTTGCTTGAGAAGTTTGTTCATTAATCCTGACTTTTGTTGTGGTTTTCTTGCTTCCTTGTGCAGTCTGAATCAGAACAGTGACCAGCTGCTTCTGCAGTCCTTGCCAAAGCTGCTGCCTGGCTGCAGTTCGTATTGCAGCTGTCTCCTGCTCTTCCTGCTTTTCCCACTTGGTCACTTGACCTCTGCCAACTGCTCTGCCTCAAATGTTGTTGTTGGAAATCAGAATATCAGCCAAAAGGGAGACCAGCTCTGTTAGCTGCATCGAACTAGAAGGATTCTGCCTAATCTTGTGGTCCACCAGCTGTACCACATAACTCCATGCAGAGACTCATCATACCCCCTATTAATTTTGCACATGTAAACATATATACTTTTACATATATACCTTTTGTATTGGAGCCACTTGTAAAATGTTCCGCAGCTAATGTCTAGAACATGTGTTCTAGTGTTTCAGTGGGAAATTATGTTGATGGCTCTGTTGAACAAAAACATAAGAAGTTAGGCTGAGCAGTTCATAGCTCTGAGCTGCTCACAGTGCAACAGCTGTTTCTTCCCTTACCCTTAGATAGGGTAATTCCATTCTTCGGTTCTTGTTTTCCTGTAGTACAGAAGGCCAAGTTTGAGTCTCCTTGATTTAACAGGCCTTTTTGTTTTCCTGGCCAGCTGAACTGTCCTTCTGTGCACAGGTTAGTGTTAGTTTTGTCTGTCTTGTAGGTGGGTAACAAAAGCTATGCATAGTATTGCAGGCCACACTTGGCCTATGTCTTGATGTAGAATTTTGCCTCCCTTGGGGGCTTTGTTACAGTGGCTCATAATAATCAGCACTGAATTTACTAATGCTATAAAAAAAACTCTCCATCAGAACATTTCCTTGTTCAGATGGTTATGTAAGTCGTTAGTTTTGCTTCCCTTTGTATCTGAAATATATCCCTCTTTGCTTGAATTGTTTCACAAATTTGTGACACAGGGGAATTTGAATTTCATAATAAAATGAACATAGTGATATTCATGCCCAGCTGTCTAATAACTAATTGCTTGAATATTGGGAAATTATAAGAAGCATAATACTTAATCAGATTCAAGACTTCAGAAATTGTTTCAATTGGGGATGACTTGGCTGAAATCTGAATCAAAATCTGTTAATTTGAAGACATGACTGTTACCTGAATGAAAGCAGATTGAACATAACATTCCTGTGGTCTGACCTAGAATCTCTGAATCTGTGTGTTGTGGTTTTTTTTTTTTTTTTTTTTTTTAAATAAGGACAAATATGTAGAATAGGGTAACTCGATTCTTTTTCGGGGGCAAGGGAAACCAGAACTGAGAACTGGAATTAAAACTTAAGCAGTTTAGCTAGCTGCAGTCTGGGAAGGCTGAAGCCATTAATACCTCTAAATGTTTGTGGCTTGTACAGCAGAATGGCTGTTAAACAAATGATGGCAACCTGTAAACAGTTTTTTTCATAAGCCAGATATTCCTTTATATAACATTGAGTGACTGTCTACAAGAAAAATAGCAAATTATCGTAGGAATGGGGCTCTCAGTTGACATAGTTTGTTTGAGGTAGTATTTTAACTGCATTAGGATGTGACTCTGAGATGCATTAGCATTGTGCAAAGATTCAAGGACTTAATTAACAAGATAAAAAGGAAGCAAATCTTGATGACCGTCTTGCATATCTAGAAATGAAAGACAGCTACTAATTTTTAGGCAGTGCTAATATTTAGGCTAGTTGGCCAGTGGTGTTACGTTGTTGATAGTTAGAATACCTGCAAGTGGGCTTTCTATCTCAGTTCAGGAAAACTTGGTACATATTTAACATAATATCATAACATAAACACTAATCCCCCTGCAATGCTTTAGGAAGCGGTGAACAAGTATTTCTACGTAACTGCACAGCTTCGAGCTTGAACTTTTTGGCCCTTTCCCTATGTTTTCCCTTGAAGGCTGTGCAATGACAAGATAATTCCACTTCAAGCTAGGAGGAGGAGTTGGTTTGATGAAGCATACTGACTGACTTAAGATATGCATGCCCCTCAGGTGTTTATAGTTTAATAAACTGATTAAAGCATTCAATTCTGTTTAAAATCTGAGAAGTTAAGGGCCTACAGCCAGTCATTCAAATCAACTCAAATGTGTATTTTCTGCAAACAAAGCAAATGTTCATTCCACGTGCCTGGGTCCTGATAAGCTGTATTGTACACTTTAATATATATTCTTAATATTGTGGTTTACGTCTTGTAATATAACTTCCGTTTATGCTTCATGCTACTGGTGCATCATTTTGATAAGACATACACTTAATAGAAAGGTAGGTGCAATAGCAGCTCTTGATGAAGTTAATTACAAGAGCAAAATCAGTATAGACAGTGATCTAGATGTCCTTAAAAGTTAACTTTACCTCTACTGTTTTCTATAGCAGATGTTGATTTGTTCAAAAACTAAATCTGTGAGCTGCTGTAGATAGGAGAAGTGGAGGATTTGTGGTAAGAATATGCAAAGGAACTGGAGGAGCAAGATGCATCACAGAAATAAGATGCTGCTCAGTTGGTTACTTAAGAATCCGGGGCTTGTGCTGCTGTTTTTAAAGGAATATCCAGTGTAGTTCAAATTATAGCAACCTGCTCTTAGGTGGCTCGCCTAATATAGTATAGTTTTGGGAAGTGGTGTGTGCAGTTGCAATTAAAGCATTAGGATAAAATTAGCACATATACTAGGTGGAAAGATCTCATAACTTCGGAGCATTGGCAGTCAGCGGTGAGATGGCCTCAAAGCAACAGTAAAAACCCCCTAAGTGCCCTTCTTTAAGGGGTGGTTAAGTAAGTACCAATCATAAAGTCCAAAATAAGCAAGGGTTTCCTAGAGATGCTCTATCTTACCTGTGAATGAATCATACATGGTGGCTTTCAAAGCTACTGTACAGTATTACCATGTTTGTCTCTTCAACTTCTTTGTTGTCTCTGAAGCACTGTGGTGGCCTCCTCTCTCCCAAGTAGAGACTTCATTGAAGGATGCCTTAATCGAAGGTGAAGACACTAGTTGTGAACAATTAATTTGAAGATACAGAAAGAGAACACTCAATTACCTATTTTCTTCTAAGAAACTAAGAACAACTGAATTTCTTCTAAGAAACTATTTATTATCACTATATACTATTTTGTCAAGTGTGTTGTATAATCAATTTTCAGCAAAGAAGGTAGAAATTGTGATCAAAAACCTCTGTAAATACCCTTTAATCTGTAATATTTTTAAGTTAATTTTTCAAAGAAATAACATGTTCATATGGATATCTCTTAAAGACACTTACTTAAAGATTTGTAAAGAGTCCAGACACATCTCATCTCACTTAGACCTGCCTGGCCCAGCATAACCAGCAGTCCTGGAGCCACACAGTATTTGGAGCTGGCAACAATGTTCTGAGCTGAAGCAGGAGCAAATATGACCACTAGGACTGGCTTCTTGCTTGGTTTCCAGTGTTTTAAATCTCAGTAAAAGGAAGGGATGTGGATACTTGAAAAGCATTAGAGAAGAAAATTCTGTTTCCAAATAAATGACTTGACTATCTGTTTTAGAAGAATTTTTTATTATGTCAATCACTCTACTGCCTCCAACATCATAGACTGTAAGCAGAAATAATTGAATTACAGGCATGATCAGCTCTTGGGGCAGAATGATAAACAGCTGCATAGTAAATTAACCAGAAACAATAAAACCTAAGTTAGCCAATAAAACAAGGAAATACACTAGCAAATATTTTTTGCTTTGAAGAGGCTTTTCAAGTTTCAAGGCTTTACAAATGTCTTCTCCTCTACTGCTATCTAACACAACGCCAGCTTGTAAATTGAATTAATAACTAAGCTTTCAAACAGTATTTCAGTTTTCCTCGTGGACTTCCCAAATTTGGCTGTCATTTTAAGAAGTACTGTATTCAGTAGTATTCTTCAAAAAATGTGTATGTTGAGCCCAAATTTCATTAACTTGATGGAATAAATGTTTTGAAGGGGTTTAGGCATATAAAGCTCAAATGTGCTACTGCACTTGAATAACACTGCTCTTCCTCTGCTGCTTAACTTCTATCTGTAAATCCAAGGTGGACTTTAGACTTTAAGTAAAATTTACAGAGCAGGAGGAGTGACATACATGGTAGTTACAAGGGGACCAAACGCTTGCTGCGGTTGGGTGGTATCCCTTGTCTGCCTTGCAGCCCTGTATGAGATGTAATATCAGTAAGTGAGACTCCTGTAGTCAATTATAATATATTTAAGGTGTCTACCTTAAATATCAATCAGTTCAATTAAAAAGCTGTTTGCATAAAAGGACGTCACTCATTTCAAAGCTTTTCTGTAATTACAAATTCCAGTGCTCTTAGTTTTTGTTTAAAAGCATTAGAATGTATTTGAAGACTATGCATATGATTGTTATTCATGGATCTCTATTCCCCTTCCACCCCCTGTTCTCCAAAGTAAGATTAGAGGTAGCGTTTAGAGTTTGTAAACTTGAATTAGGAACACCTAATAGTTTTAATTCGCATTTAATTTAATATTGTAAACAAGAAAATGAACTTAACTGCATTTTTGGATTGACTCCTGATGGGCTGGATTTTGTCTCGCCAGGAGTATTTGGAGATTCATGCTGTGAAAGAAGAAACAGCCCATGGCTTCAGAATCCATGGTCCCAGAGCAGGCCAAACAGCCTCTGATAAAAGGAAAAAGGCGGCAGCAGCAGCAAACCAAGTCTTCTAACAGCGACGGTGAAGATGAAATATTTGTATTTGAAGCAAATGAGGCTTGGAAAGATTTTCACAGCTCTCTTCTTCACTTCTTTGAAGCTGGAGAGCTCTGCGATGTTACACTGAAGGTGACATAAATTGTCTTGTTTTCCCCATCCAAACTATTGTGTTTTACAAACAAGTGTGCTGGTAGTAGCTGAAATTTGGTGGTTGGGGGGGGGTTAGAAACCATAGAATAGCAACTGGATCAGCAGCATCTCTAGGTTTGATCTCTATGTTTTTTTTTCCCTCAGTTACAAAGCTCACAGATAAAATATAAACATTCTAAGTGACTGACAATCCAAAAGAGAAGGGAAAGAAGGGACATGGCTTTGACTCCTCTGACTTGCCTTGTATTAAAGCAAGATTTTAGGGTTATTCAGTATATTTTTGTCAGAACTCCATGGACATCTAGTTCTTCATATCCTATTTCCTTTCATATATTTTCATCCTAAATTTCTCCCTATTTCTGCATTCTGACCTTTCAGAGATACAGAATTCTCAAAATCCCCTCCCAATCGTTACATTCTACAGCTGATGAAAGAATAAAGCAAAAAGAGGAAACCTGCTTGTGGTATTCATTTGCCAGGGTGCTTTGATGCATTCTTTGTAATTCAGCTCTATATTATTCTTAGATCTTACATATTTTTATATATTCTTATTATGTCCTGACCAGAAGGAACTTACCTTACATCTGTAACAGTGCCTGGAAATAGTAAGTGTGCTTTGCTGCTCATGCTACAGGAGATGGTTACGTAAGAGAAAGAGGTCAAGTGTAGTTCCAGTACCCCAAAGAGATGACAAAGGCCCCCGGAGGAAGTTGCTTCCTTGCAACCTTCCTGTTAGATACCGAACAAGGAAAACCCTTCACAGAAGTGAGATGCACGTCATGTCCTACAGGCTTCTTAAGTCAGTGCTTTTCAGAACCTGGTAACAATATACTGAACTTGAATTGTCTGGAGGGCTTGCTTCTCCTTGCAGCTTTCAAGCTTTCTCAGTGTTTTCAGAATAATTCCTTCTGGACTGAACTTCTTGCCTTATGGCCTAAACTATGATATTGAGCAATTTTGACAGCGCCCCTGTCAGAACTGATTATTCCTTTATCAAGATATCAAAAAGTTAGTTAAAACTAAGCAGATGTGGGGAAAATAGCATAGCTGCTTACTTCAAAAGACATATTGGATTTAAGAGGGGTATGAGAGGCTCCATGGAAATCTGTAAATGTCAAGAAGGGCCGAGTAGCTCCATTATATAGCAGAACAATCGCTAAGAGCTGCGCAAATGAGGACTGTTAATAACTGCAGGATTAACGCTGTCACATTAATAAACTCTGAGAGTGCAGGAAGAAAACTAATTTGCTCTGCAGAGTCCAGACTGGAAATTTCACCCACAGTACTGCTCCTAAGGAGGGAGGAGAGGGGCGGATGGATGACAGCTTTCTTTTTTCCCCCACATATTTTTTTTCTTCTTTATTTCAAGTAAGAATTGTTCTTTCTGGAATAATCAAGTGACTTCACAGTAAAACTTGCATCTTCTCTCTTTTCATCAGTACATTCTTGCTTTCTGTATTGAACTTGCTATTCACAAAGTGGGCTACACTTGGGTTGATAATACAATAGTTCCAAGGCAAGAGTCCTTTGAGTGGCACTTATGTAAATTCAAACAGAGCTTAGACCACAGCCCTCCCACTTATCTTATGTAATATATTTTCCTTTTGTAATCATAAGTCAGCCCACTACACCGTTTTGATCTAAAAAGGAACATGTAATTTCAGTCTGTCAAGGCAATTCATCTCACAGTTGCCCTTTATGTTACTGAAGACCAAAAAATGATGGAGGCCAGAAGAAAGCATTTTTGTAACAAAAACAAGTATTAGTGGCTGGACCATGCCTTAAAAAGGAGACTGGAAGACTAGAACTGATTAGTTTTAATATTATGAAAAACTTCAATAATTTATGCATTAGGAATTTCCTCTTTAATTTTCTTTTTGCATTTTACCTTATGGCATATTCACCTGGTAGCAGAATTGCTTCAAGAGAGAAGTTTTTTTTACGTTAATAGCTTGGAGGGGTTTTGCTTGACAGAAAGCAAGTGCACATGTTAGGCAAACAGCTAATTCTGCACGGTTGCTTACCTTTTTTAGTGTGATTCAGTGGTGGATTTACACTGCAGCAAATGTCTGGCTGATTATAAAGCCATGCATAAAGGAAAAACTGTGTCCTGACTGTCTAGCGACATATGTTGTGCCAAAGCTCAGTTTTAAGCCTTGCTTTGCTATTTCCTAATCTCAGTATAAACTTTGCCTCTTCACTGTAATTAGTTCCTGACAGCTGGTAGGACACTTTGTAAGTAATTAAGTTGCAGGCATTATTATAAGATGATTTTTGAGCAAGAAAAATGGAAGTTTTATAGCTTCTTTTCATGAATAAGCCAACTACTAGTTTTCTGATATTAGATGTGCATTCATTGAGCAGTTCCCTTTGTCCTACCTTACAAATCTTTAAAAAAATATATTTTGAGCCTAAATAGTGGTTCTGTAGCATCTCTCTGAGGTCTTAGGGACCCTTCTTACAGCTAGACCAAGTAAGGTCATAACTAACTTGTACCTTAAAAAAAAAAAGTATAGGTTACAAGAACAGACTGATTCACTGTTGCTATTGAATGGCAATTAATACAGAAGATAAAGCTCAGGCAATTTACAGATAATATAGCTACAGTTTTTTGAAATAAAAAAATTTGAAAGCATGCAAGGAGCTACTGCTTAATTGCAAAACACGGTCTTGTTACGTTATTTGCATGGCTGTCCTTAACAGAATCCTCCTTGGTGGCAAGGATTGTGTCCAGAAACATACACTGTAATGCTTCAAGGTGAGAAAGGAGGATTAAGGGTGCACTGTGACTGTCAAGTGAATAATACAGATCTTGAAGGCAGAATCCTCTTACAGGCTGTTTAAGCTTCTGATACCAATTTGAGATGCCTGCCAAAGTATAGATACCCAATGAAAGACTTAATCCAGCAACTCCTGTCTAGGGGGAAAAAGAAAACCTTCGGTTTGACAAGATAAAAGTTAAGCTGTATCCGTCCTAGATTTATTCACTGTTAGTCAAACCCCACTTAAAAGCATTTGTCAAACTTACTTTAATTTATCTTGACACAGTTAGCCTCTGGCTTAGCCCTGTGGCTCTGTCTTATGTGATAACATCTCAGCTCCTAACCCTTGGAGGCTGTGCATGTTATGCACAAGCCCCTCAGTCTCTTTTTGCTTTGCACTGAAGCGAGTGTTTCTAGCTAAGGTTTGGAAGCGGTCATGCAGTTGCTGTGAGAAACAGCAGTTTTGCCTAATAATCCAATTACCTTCAGCGACACAGTTTTGAAGCCTCTTCCTGGGTTATTCCTTATAGCTACCGGTGAAAAGCATGAGCTGCGTGTTCACTTTCCAACAGCACGTAGTTATTTGCTATCAGCCTGGGTGTCTAAAGTATTTACCCCTCAACTGATGCTCAAAGCAGGGCTCAGGCAGTGGTGGGAAGGTCCTGCACTGTCTAGTCGTATATGATACGGCTGCAGCACCGACATGGAGCGCTGATGAGATGCATAAAACGCTGAGGAGACTCTTAAGTTCACAGCCCTGTTTATTTGAGTTTTGAGATTACGGTGAGGAAGTAAAGACCCATCAGAACAAAACTACAGAGAACATGACTAGTTTCACCAGTGATCTATTCTCAAACCATGATGCTGTTAAAAGCAAGATACAGCTAAACCCTTCCACTGTGTACTTACCAGTAAACCAAAACACTTCACATGGGAACTAAATAGAGTTGAAACTGCATGGAAGGCTGAGCTGGACCCTTTCTAATAGGTTTTAAAATCCTTGGAGAGGCTTCCTTTAAATATATTCTGCATTTTTAAGTTATGTCTGTTTACAGCAAATAATTGAAGCTAATATGACCACAACTCTTACTGCGGAGAAGTTATTCAGTCCTGAATTTAAGGCAACACAGGTTTTAAATGTTAATGGTAAACTGTTTAGACAGCAGAATCTCCACAACTTTTTGTAGGTACTGTACAATTCTCAGTATTTAAGGTCCCTTCTAAAATATGGGTACATCTGCCAAAGGGGTATAAATACCTCACACAATAATCTGCACCATAATAGAGATACCATTTGGTTGATTTTTAAAATATATGGTCTTTCTAGTAGCTCTTTCTCAAGAGGGAGACTTACAGTCAAATTCTTCCATGTTTTTTTTTTCCTTTTTTGGAAAATTTGATTTTTTTCCTATGAATTCCAGTAAGGACTGCCTTATAAGCCTTGATGAATCATATCCTGACAAACTTTGGCATTCCTTTAAGTGAACTTATCCAGGTACTTTTGTTGGCATTTATGCGACATGTTTGATCAAAGAATCTCTCTTACAGGGTATATTTTTTTTCCTCGTATATTGCCTAACATTTAGAGAATTAATGTGCATGTTCTGAGTCTAAAACATTACCTGTAGCCTTGTATAGCCTGCAGCAACGGTATGCTGCAGAACACAAATATTCGCTTGGGAGATCAAGTGCATTTTTAAGATGTAATTCAAGTCTGTGAAATAAAACCATACAGAAAAGGAATCCGTCGCTTAGGTTTTGTAATAATCTAACATAGCTCTCCTGTGCTAATGCAGTATTATGTGTGAAAATGTGTAGAAAGCAAGACAGGCCAATTTACTGAGAGTGCCAATCGTGAGCTCCCATAGAAAAATGATTGTTTTTTCTTGGTAAATATTGCATCTAACAGCAGTGCTGAGCTGGTAAGACACTCAAGTGTAACGTTTACAGCACTGCTTATTTCAGTGAATTAATTCCTCTTTCTTTTTAGAGAATGCATTAAAAGCATTCAGTTTGAGAGGGTAAATGCCTTTTTAATGTCTTACTAATTTAAAAAGATGAAGTTCCTTCATTTGAGGAAACAGTGTGCCAATTCCCCATCTTGCACTTAAGATATTCAATTCAGACAGAATATTTTTTCCTTTGCTCTGGAGTTATGGGGTCCACTGCAAAATGCTGAAAAGCTATTCTGCTTTTGGCTCAAAAGAGATTTATTCTTTGCAGTCCAAGTGTAAATTCTTTCCATTGAATAACAGCTGTTGTGTACTGTTGCGTTGGCTGTATGCATTAGAGCATTGCATTGGTGATGGACTTGGCTTCTCTTTGAGAGCAATTCCTACAAGGCTTGCTTATAGCGGTGGAACATTTTCGGCGTCGGATCCTTTCCTCATCTTAGTTGCTCCAAATTGCAGGTGAACTTTAATACTGAAGAATCACTGTATTCGTTGCTTAAGCCATCATGCTTCATTTCAGTCAGAAGAAATATGTCAGGTTGTTTAAACCATGGTTGTTTTAAAGATTTAGAGGTTTAAATGTTTTAGAGCAAGTCAGTGTGTGTTTGTAGGCATAAAAAGTCCAAAATATTGTTAGCAAGGGCAGCTGACTTGAGTTTATTACTGTGGTTTCATAGCAATACATTAGGGCTCAACTTAAGCTGACTGACATTTTACCACAGGTTACTTAAGTCTTACTGAAAATCACACAACTATTGGATATCTTACCTGCATGTGAGGCTTGCTGGTACCACTTCTTCACTAGCACATCAGGGAAAGATCTGGGACAAGGCTCTATTTAATACATTTGTCATTAATCTTCTTTTTTAAAAAGACTGCTTCTATTAAAAGGAAGAAGAAGAAGAAGAAGAAGGGAAAAAAAAAAAAAAACCCAAACACCAACCAACCACAGTAAGATTTGTCTCCTGTTACAGCTGCACATTTAGTACAGAAATCCCTTTCTTGACTTTCTCAAAGAAAGAAAAAACCCTCAACGCTGTTTTGTTTTCCACATACTTAGCATGACTGTGGTTTATTCAGGAATAAAGATGGCTTTTTTAACACAGGCATGCTATAAAGAAATGGAACAAGTTTCACCCTCTCTCAATGCTTATCGCCAATAATTCAAATTCCACGGACTATAAGGACACCCAGAACTAACTGAAAAGGGAACCAACCTCAGGGTGAATACACTCTTTAGCTCAAGCTGTACCTGAAGGGCAACGTTTAGTAGTCTCTGTGCTTTTGTCTAAATGCTCTTATTGCTGTAGTTTTACAGCATTTTGCTTTACTTAATGGAATTATCAGTTCCTAAAACAACAGTGAGAATGCAGAGGTTTAAATTAAATATTCTAAGAGTCACTTGACATTTTTTCCCCTCTTAGAGTCTCTTTAGAAATGTAAAACAAATGACTGCATAGCAATCCCTTCTTGGCGGGGGGGTGGGAAGAATGAGTAAGTTAAAGATACCGACTTTCCACACTACAGCCTTCCCTGACTCTAGCAGACAAGTTAAAATTGAAATTAGCCTGGAATACACTGATATAACGCCAGAAATAGGGAGCAAACAGAGTTCATTTGTTGCAATAAAGCAGCTCACAGCTTATTAAGTCCAAAAAGTCCCACTTCAAGTTGACTGTCTTTTGTTTTGTAGCGTAAAGAAAATATTTAAAACATTTCAGTAAAACAGCCTTTTTTTTCCGCCCCCCCCCCAGGTTGGTTCAAAGCTTATCTCCTGCCACAAACTGGTGCTCGCTTGTGTTATACCTTATTTTAGAGCCATGTTCCTTTCAGAAATGGCTGAAGCCAAGCAGACGCTGATCGAGATCAAGGACTTTGACGGTGACGCCATCGAAGACCTGGTGAAGTTTGTCTACTCCTCCCGCCTTACGCTGACTGTCGATAACGTCCAGCCTCTCTTGTACGCCGCGTGCATTCTGCAGGTGGAGCTGGTAGCAAAAGCTTGCTGTGAGTACATGAAGCTCCACTTCCATCCCTCCAACTGCCTGGCGGTGAGGGCCTTCGCCGAGAGTCACAACCGCATCGACCTGATGGACATGGCCGATCAGTACGCGTGCGAGCACTTTGCCGAAGTGGTGGAGTGCGAGGACTTTGTGAGCGTGTCGCCCCAGCACCTCCATAAACTCTTGTCCTCCAGCGATCTGAACATAGAAAACGAGAAGCAAGTTTACAATGCTGCCATCAAGTGGCTTCTGGCCAACCCACAGCACCACGCTTTGTGGCTGGATGAAATACTTGCTCAGGTAGGGTAGACTGAGGCACGGGGCATGGCCCATCTCTGCTCGACTTCCCTACCACCTGTTTGAGTTATGTAGCTTTTATGAGGAAAGACATTGCTACCAGTTGGTGCCTCCCGTGTTGTTATGTAGCGGTTAATTAAGAGTGGAAGCAGGTTAGACCTGAATATCAGGCTCTATAAAGAGTACTCACTTGAGGCTAACGTGGAAGGAAAAGGTGGGAAGGGGGTTAGGAGGTAACAGAAAACTTTACCTGTGTCAGAGCAGAAACTTCCTAGATTTATATGCAGTGGAGAACAAAGCCGTCACTTCGCAGGTCTCGATACTGCAACAGCCTAAAATGCTAACTTCTTTTTGCTGGTAAGTTTTAGACTTAGCAAAGCCAAACTATTGAGGAGTTCTGTTACACAGCTAAGAAAGTGAAACACAAGAATGGGAAGATAGATCACCAAGTTGGCTTCTTCTATAGAATACTTGATGTCTATGTATGATTACCAGAAGACCAGGAGTCTGTACCTGATACAATGAGACCAAGACAAGTGGCCCATACCCCTTAATGCACACTAGACAAGTGATAACCTGCAGGTTCCACAAAATGAGTTCTCAGTTTAAACCTGGAGGCTCCTTAAGAGTCTGGTCTTTCTGAAAGCAATTCATAAATGAATCAAAAGGTCCTTCAGCTGACACTGTTTAAACATCCTTCAGAACCCTCTCCTGTCAAAATATTCTATACTTCAGTTACTCCAGTTCCTCACATACTGTTAATGGAAGCTTGAAAGTCAGTATGTAAAGTTTAATACGCAGTATATAAAGTATATAAAGCTTGAAATATGCACCAAGGAGCAGTTCCCATGCAGTATAACAGGTAATCTATATCTTAGCAGGAAGAAACACTCGTGCTGCTTCAGTTGTCACTACAGGATATATTTTGCTTCACAAAGTTCTGCGTTTGAGCACAATTCCTAACATTTGCATTATGTAACTACTAAGAAGCCCACTAACAGGATGATTTCGTTGTCATTTCTTGTATCAATTTTCAGTTTTCCTGAAAGCTCACAACGCTTCATTAACACACTGCCCAAAAGCTTCCGTTTCCTCTAGATCAGCATCAATTTGTTGTATGCTTGCACATGTCGTTTATCTACAACTAATAAAAATTAAGGGCAGTGTTCATTTGAGCTTTTCTTTAAAAGTAAGATTGATTGCTATTATCCCTTTATGTTAGGAGATAAAGATAACCAATTTATCCTATTCATGGAAATTAAGTTTGGAACAAAGCAATAAGAAAGTAAACCCTTGTATTAACTATGGGTTATTGGCCAGGCAGAAAAATGGAGCTTCTAGGGGCATTGGGCATTGTTGCTCCTTGAAAACCAGATTAGGATCCAGCTGTTAACACTCTAACCTACCCACAGTATAATCAGACTTGCGGGTTAAAAGTGGAGTCTGAATTTCTGTCAGCCTTGAGCTCTCAGTGAATCATGAACCTCATGAGGCTAGGGCTATAGGGTGATAGGTGATGCTTTGCATTGATCTAAAATGACTACGGGCCTAAGTAAAGAAAGAAACTGGTTTGGAGCAAGGCGGGCAAGAGGAGCAGAGTCTCCTGCTGACTAGAAGACTCCATTCTACTGCCTGGAGAAACTACTTTTTTTCAGGATTGCTGCTTAGCTAACTGGGACACTCCTTGACAGTGTTGGCCCAAGCCAAATATTACCAAATCAGGCAGTGCCACCTTTTGGCCTTCCTTTTGTCACCTCGATCCATTTGTACTTCATATCCCTCATGCTTTTTTTCCTCACAAAAGCAAGTGAAAGATGTGCAACAATTTGGAGATAGTTTTTCAGAGACCTACCTCATTTCAGACGTGCCTTGTCAATGCTGGTGTCTCATTCCATGTAGAACCTCACTGTTCCTAAGCACCCTGGGTCTTCTGGGGAAAGGATTTGGGAAAGTTATATTTAGAAACAAAAGTCAGTGACCAAACTGAAGGTTGTTAGTACAGCGCAAAAAAAAAAAAAAAAAAAAAAAAAAAATCACGATTACCCAATTTGAGTGAACTACACTGCATTAAACCTTTTCTCCAGGTATCCTGCAAGGCTGTCAGGCCAAATCCACACACGAGAGCGGTGTTACTGCCCAACCAGTACTTCCATCAAAGGTACCTAGCATGGCAGCTTTTACTTGCCACTCAAATACAATGAATTATTGTAACAGGAGTCCTCTTGGGCTGGCATAATCTGCTCATGCCAGTGTTACTCTTGAAGCAAAAGCTGCGAGTCACTGGAAATACAGTTGCTCTTTTTACTCAGGAGTGTGGGGCTGCTGCACGGCCCCAAGGTTGCAGGCTGATGCGTATCCGTCGCTGTTAATAGTTAGATGCAGTCAGTTTAGCCAGTCACTCCAACTGTGTTCATTTCTGTCAGGTACGACTGCCTCTGTTGCCCATTTGCTTCCTTATGGGTGTTGTGGCAAAGGAAGAGATTGTCAAGCAGAATCTAAAATGTAGGGATTTGCTGGATGAAGCAAGAAACTACCACCTTCACCTGAGCAGCAGGGCAGTGCCAGACTTTGAATACTCCATTCGCACAACACCAAGGAAGCAGACTGCTGGTAATTAAATGTGTGTCTGATTATCCAGTATTGAGTGGTGTGGAGAGAAAGGGCAGCTCCTCTGCTGAGGGTCAGTTAGCTCCCTATAAATGGTTGCTAATGACTTCTTGCACAACCGGATGAGCCCTTGTGGACCTCTGGCCATGAAGTTGTGCACTGCATTTTCTTAGCAGAACTTTAAAGTCTTTGTTTAGAACAATACTTATCAGCCGTGTCCGTATTCAAGCTAGAACTTTCAAGTACTTTAAAGTTATGGGCAGGTAGTATGCTTGAAATTATATGCTTGAATTATGCAGAAAATGGTCAACACTTGTTTTTGCCCTCCTATGAGAGGGCTGAGCTGTCCTTAAACTCTCTGGCTAACCAAAAGCAAGTGATGCGCTTAGGAGGGCAAACCTTGTTTGTTGGGTTTTTTTTTTTTTTTTTTTTTAACATTCAGTTATAAATAACAATATATTTATCTCCCTAAGAAAACAGCAAAAAAAGTATTTAATATATATGTTATTTTTGCAAGGACAGGGCTAGTTAATTGCCAGAACAGCATGCCAAACGAAAGCCAAAATGCAGGACGAGGGAAGCGTCCCTTGAAGGGGAACATGAGCTATCTCAAACCTTCCAGGCTTTGATCCACTCTGATATACAAATTGAATCCCCTGTTTTCCTCCTAGTTGCCTAGAAGCCTCTTTTGTCTCCTCCCTCCTCAGGTGTGTTATTCTGCGTCGGGGGGAGAGGTGGCTCCGGTGACCCGTTCCGCAGCATTGAATGTTACTCTATCAGTAAGAACAACTGGTTCTTCGGCCCCGAAATGAACAGCAGAAGACGACACGTGGGGGTCATCTCTGTGGGAGGTCAGTAACAAAGCAGCCGTGGGCACTTCTTGCCTCCTTTTGCTGGAATTGGTGCTTTTAAGAAAATCATCTGTGTTAGAATGGCTTAACTGGTGGATATCCTTCAATTTTGTACAGCTCCTTCCCTGTGAAGGGGTTAGTACCTTCTCAATAGTATGAGAATATGGTTATTGAAAAGACATCAATGTAGTATATAAGCCTGCTGTGAGTTGACTAGGTAATTTAACATTTATCTGTCCATCTTTAAAGAAATGTGGGTGTATAGGACAGTTACCCACAGTCTCTTAATAGTTTCTTTCAGAATTAAACACATAGGGGATTTTTTTTCTCTATTAGGCAAGTCACTAAGACCTTAATTCTTCTAAGAGGAGACCTACCTTTATTTTTGGGATTCCAGCTTCTGAAACCAGGTCCATGCAGTCGGGAGCAGCTAGCATCCATGACTCAGCTCTTCCTCATACATGATGGCCTTTGTGCTACAGCAGAACAAACATATTTTTTTCCCCTTCGTAGAAAACCTGGAGATTGATATATCCATACAAACGTCCCTAAACTGTCCTGAGCTGCAATAGCTAATAAGTTATACAAAGATTTCCTTTATACATGTTTTAACTCTCTGGTTGAGTACAGCATGTAAAAATTATGAAGCCAAACCTCTCAGAACTCGATGCTGAAGAATTTGAAACATTAATATTTACTTATTTCTTTATGTAAGCAGGGATATTATATACATAAAAACTGAAATGTTGCCAAACAATCTCTGTATCTCAATAATGTGTGTGCATTTCAGGTAAAGTCTATGCAGTAGGTGGGCACGATGGAAATGAACACTTGGGAAGCATGGAAGTATTTGATCCTCTCACAGACAAGTGGATGATGAAGGCCTCAATGAACACAAAGAGGTTCGTGTGTCAGGATCCAACACGAGACAAAAAACTTGATGCATTACCTATGGTTGATGCTGGAAATCATCCTCATGTCTATCTTGGGCCTTATTTGAGTTCCCAAACTCAGCTGTTATTAGGAGTGTCTTTTCTATTTTGCAATTTAATTGCTAGCACACTGTCTTACTAGCTGTAGAGCAAACAAATCTGCATCACCTATTGGCACCAACACTGAGTTTGAGTAACATACTAGCAATTTCATTGAAAAACTGCAGACTCTCCCTCTCTAAGGGGGGTTACCCCTCTGCCTGATACCAGTGCTTATATTTGTTCTTTGACTTCTTTTATTTTTGCCTCTGTTAATCTTATTTTTTTGTTAAGCCAGATAAAGGCATCTGAAACCGGTGTTGGGGGTGGGGTTTAAGAATGACCGAGGTCATTACCAGCAGCACATGCATAGCCAAATATTTGAGAAGGAACAGGATCACTTGAGCATCACTTTACACTTATAATACACTGCAAGGGTCACCTGTCCTGTCAAAACAGCATCGTTACCTTGGACGTCTTTAAATCAGACCCTAAGGTAGACTTTGTTTTCTTGCTCAGTCGACAGATCCTAACTCAATGTGGCTGCTATCACAACTGACCACAAAAGTGAAGATAAAACATGTTTTGACCGCTTACCGTTAACAGGAGCCAGTACACTCCATCTGTTAAGGCAGCTTAAGATGTCTTGGGATCTTGTCACAGTGCTGATATCTGGAGAAAGACTTTACCTCCTTCCAGCCTAAATAGCTGCAAAGTCACTCTCTAAGTAATAACACCAGAACATTTTTCCTAAATTGTTAAATTATCCATGTTATAATTTAGCTAGAAACTTAACGCTTACCTTCTCAACCATCTTTTACATAGTGGCATACAGTTCATTGTAGAGAACTGATGGTACTCTCATCCTGATACATTTCATAGATTCAATGCCAGCTATTGCAATACAAACTTAATAATAATAAACAGAATAAAAACAGAATAGGAAAAACTGCAATTAAATCTTCTTAGACATCAGGCTTCTAATATCCCATGTACACGTATGTCTTTTTAGCGCACACTAAGATCACCCATAGAAGGCTGATCACTGATCACAGCACATAAGTTAATGCAGTTAAAATCAGCAGGTTTATCTCCCTCAGATACAACAGGCAGGAGGTATAAAATTCAGGACTGAGGTAGAGGAATTTAACGCTCAAATAAGAGTCTTTGATCCCCTCCAGCCAAAACAGTGTCCCGTGGCATTTTACAAGTCCCTTAACTTTTATGCAGCCTAAAAAGATTCCAGTTGCAACCGTCCTCTTTGCTAATTTTGGCCTGCAAGATGAGCACAAAAGCAGCTGGAAAAGGTGAGGTGATGCAAAGGTAACACGAGAGTCCCCCCAAGAGTGTGTAAGAGAATCCACATAATGCTGCAGCCTTGCCGAGAGCCAGCGAGGGCTGAGCTCCTGTGCACTTAGCAGGCTTGGATCCCTCTTTAGTCTAAACTTGATGCACTTCTAGGTTTTCATTATTTTTTCCCATACTTTGAAGCCCTTGCCAGTCAGATAAAATTGCACTTCATGCATCTTTCCCACTCCCCTTAAGGATTCCCACTGACGTACTACTCATCCTATGGTTTCCTTAGGAGAGGAATCGCTCTCGCCTCCCTGGGCGGCCCGATTTACGCGATAGGAGGTCTGGATGACAACACGTGCTTCAGCGACGTGGAACGCTACGACATCGACTCCGACCGCTGGAGCAGCATAGCCCCCATGAACACCCCTCGAGGAGGCGTTGGTTCTGTAGCCCTCATGGTGAGTTACCGTCTTCTCCCGAGCCAGGGATGAACCCTGAGGGACCTACCTCTAGGAGGACTTCTTAAACTCATCTCACGAGGCAAGACTGTAAGGTTTTCAATCCAGTACAAGTGGTGGGTCTGATAATTTCTGGCCATCACAGTCCTATGGAACTGTACAAAAGATAAAGGTATTTAGAGCCTGCATCACTTTGAACTCTGCTCTCTGCTTTAACCTTATTTCAGAGACTAGGAACAAACTTGTCATCAAAGATGCCTTTAATTACACAATCATAAGAGGGGAGATAACAATGCTCCCTGTCTCACCCCAAAGACTGGTTCTTTATAGTTACTATTTTTAATATACTCTATCCATCACTAAGTTAATCCTTGTGTTGTCTTCTATGCTTTGCAAAGTATCTGGACCAGTATAGAACTTTTCCCCTTGCTTTACTGGAAACAGCAATGACAACCTGTTAAAATTGGTCTGTTGTCAGAATATTTAAAAATAAACACAACAGTCTGCATACACTGGGCAAGCGTTTCTCTAATTTTAAACATTCCCTATAAAAAGCTAGATCTATTTATCTATCTATATCTATATAAAACTTACATAGAAATCTTTCTCTGAATGGCTTTCTTTCAGAGCCATGTTTATGCTGTGGGTGGCAACGATGGGGTAGCATCTCTTTCCAGCGTGGAAAAATATGACCCTCATTTGGATAAGTGGATAGAAGTGAAAGAGATGGGTCAGCGAAGAGCTGGCAATGGTGTCAGCGAGCTCCACGGCTGCTTGTACGTCGTTGGTGAGTAGGAGCACGATGTTTTGTAGGCCATTTCACATGAGCATTGCAGTTGGCAATGGATTGTGGTTGCTAAGGCAAACAGCGAGACCCAATCTGCACTTTGTGTACTTGGATGGTAGAAGAAAGGAAGCACAACCAGGGCACACCTACAGGTATAATAGTGAGGAAATTAAAAAGAATTTAGTATTCCGCATTTCGGGAGGGCTGTACTGTCCAGAACAAGATGTCTACATGGAGAATCCTCAGGAGACCACTCACTAATCACTACTTTCCTTATTACGAACGTTCTCCATAGATCCACATACTTTAAAAGCATTCAGCTCTATTTTGAGCGTAAACATCTTTAGCTTTCTAGCAGAGTGATTACACTTCATGCACTGTCAACCCACATCCACTCTGTTGTGCTCCAACTGTGCGTGGCACTGACCGCTGCTCCTGAGGGAAGAAGCTAAGCCTGTCACGGTGGGGATCCTGGGGCCGCCCGGTGATGCACATGCTTGCTTTGTTACCAAGTTTGATATTCGATTGTACCTCCATAATTGCACTTTTAGGAACTTAAAAAAGCCCAACATCCTATAGAAACATAGGCCTGGACACCAGTCCAGTGCACAGAGGCAGGACCCAGATAATGTTCATCCTGGCTAGCAGCACCACTACGAGTGCCTACATACCAACGCGTGGTGCTTCTCTGCAGGTGGTTTCGATGACAACTCGCCGCTGAGCTCCGTGGAGCGGTTTGACCCGCGCAGTAACAGATGGGAGTACGTGGCAGAGCTGACGACGCCCAGGGGCGGAGTGGGCATAGCCACGCTGATGGGCAAAATCTTTGCCGTCGGAGGTCACAATGGCAACGCGTACCTGAACACAGTGGAAGCGTTTGATCCCATAGTGAACAGGTAATTTCACTTCTCTTTGGGCGTAAAACAGGGATATTTGCCTATTTGAAGGCACAGTGTAATGGCAGTGGCGTGCACGAGGAACCTAGGTATTGTTTCTTGCTGCTAATCAACTAATACTCACGACTTTAGGGATCTGGGAGTGCTGCTCATGCCACTGGCTTTTCCTTGTATTGAAGCATGGCATAAGTACGATTTTAAAAGATAAATGCTTTGTTGTCTGTGTTTCCTCCTTGTTACTAAGCATTCACTTACCTTTTGTCCTTCTTTTCCTGTCCCTCCCTTGTCTCTTTGCCTTCATTCAATGACAAGCCAAGTTTGTGTGGTTGTTCCAATCTAATTTTGCACTAAACTATCAGCTAACCAGAGTAAGAATAAGCCAGTGGGGTATGGCATGCTGTACACCGCATTTGTACAGCAGTGTGGCAGCCGTGAGAAAGAACTACTTCAAGCTGTTCATAAAGGACAAGAACTTACCTTTCTCTTTTTCCTTCGCTCTCATCTTCAGGTGGGAACTCGTCGGCTCTGTGTCGCACTGCAGGGCAGGGGCAGGAGTGGCCGTGTGCTCCTGTCTCAGCAGCCAGGTCCGTGATGTGGGTCAGGGATCCAGCAACGTCGTTGACTGCATGTGAACGCTGCCGTCTCCTCTCCAATCCAGAAGAGCAGCACCACGGAGGCACTGCACAGCTTTTTAAACACAGTGTTTTGTATGGTGGGTTATGAGAAACACAACGCATTTTCTTTGGGAAAATGTTCCTTACCGCCACAGTATGGTTTTGGTGGAGTTCTGATAAACGTGAGATAGAAAAGCCTTGAGAAAATGGAGCAGAAGCCTGTCTTTCCGGAGAAAATCCACCTCAGCCGTGCCTGCTCCATTTTTAAGAAGTTGGAATTTCAAAATCATTTCAAGCAGCTGTTGCAGGGAATCACTACTGAACTGTAAACCAGGCACTGGGGCAGGAGAGAGCAGTAGCTGGAGCTGCTGAGCCTTCCCAGCAGCCCTGCTAAGCGTTTACTGAAGGACTGGTGTGCCATGTACATGTAATTTATTTTCCAGAAATGCAGTCCTCAACATTTTCTAGTTCTAGAAGGGCCTTTCATGTTTTAGAAGGTAAAAAACATCCCCATTTCATACTGAGGTAACCACAGCAGAGAGGTCAGCTGCTTACCTCCCAGGGGACTGAGAGTCCCTGGCTGCTGCTGGCTGCAGTGCAACCGTTCCTGAGACTGAAGACAGTCAGTCCCAAGCTGTCATTTGTACTTTGTCACTTGTGGCAAAGCTGAAAAGATACCTGCCCTCTGTGTGGGACGTACCTGCTGCAATACTGGCCTTTTTGTCTTCAATAAAACGTATAGTAAAGACTCCCTCCAAAAGGTAAGTTTCTGTCGAGATCCTGTTCCTTAAGTATAATGGTAATAAAGTGCCACGTGCCCTACTTTTAGATAACCGTGTGACAAAGTGTGGAGGTTAGCGGCCTCCGAGCCTGCCGATTCCATTTATCCTATGAAGTAGCAACACATCAGAGAAGTTGCAGTATTCTGACGAAACAAAACACACCTTTAAATGCAACTCTTAGGAGCTTCCATGTCCAGTCTGAGTGCTTAGCAGCAATGCAGGGACAACAAGAAGGCTCAAGATGGAAAGAATGCATCCCCAAAACAATTGACCCTAAAACAAAGCACTGCAAACAAAACAATACTTCTTATAAAATTAAACCCCCCAAACTCAACATGAAACCCTGAACTCAAGAGCAAGTCCGGCTAGAAAGACTAGAGATAGCTGCATCACCTTGAACAAACCGAGACCTGACCCTTCTGTGACCAGTTTCACACCAGTTTCAACATTTTCCAAGTGGCTGGAGAGACCACAGAAAACTACTTTGCATTCAGTACCAGGAGGGCTGTGCCTGGGCCAGCAGGAAGCACATCAGGGTTCTCCTATTGCATTACCATCATTGAGCTTTTCTGTTTCCAATTGCTCGCATGCTGGTGCCACCCAGGGACAAGATGAATGAGTGGGACTGTAAATCATCAAACACAGCAATAAAACATTTGTATGTCGAGGCCCCTCGTGTGACTGGAGCGTGCTCTTAACTGCAGGCAACGTTAAACAGGACCAACATTAGCAAGACTACAGGACAGCAGGACAAGCCCGTGCTGTTTCAAACCCCTAAGCAGTCCCAGCATGGGGCTTTGGTCACTCTGGGGCACTTGTGGATAGAAGGGGTGAAAGAAGAGGTGTAGATTCCCTCTCTAAAACAAAGCAAGTTTTCTTTTACAGTTCTGGAGTGTGAGCACCGCCGCACGAATGCACAGCCCAAACACGAGAATGAATCCCAGGATATTTCAACCCTGTCCCCAAACAAGGTTACTGCTGGCCTTTCTGGAATCTCACAGCCGGTAGGGAGACTGAAAAAGGTAGGGTGAGCAAGAGACCTCTTCCCAATGAAGTGGTGCCTACACTCCGAATTGTAGCTGGCCATTGAGTTACAGCAGTTTTGTGCAAAACTAGTGTTAGAAGTTTTGCTGAAAATGAGAAAGCAGCCTCAAGTTGACACTTCGTTTAAATGAGATCACTGCAGTAACAAAATGCAATAACTTAGCTGTGTCTAGAGCTGGATGACCAAAAACTTCAGTTTTATTTCTTCCAGTATTGACAAAGAGGACAATAACAAAACTCATCAATGAAATATAATCTAAGTCTAAAACCGCAAAGTAGATGCACAGTGGCTTTTAGTATGAGGTGGCCCTCTCCTGGTAGCAGTCCTGAATTCCACCTAGTCCATTTTAAAATTAGACTTCTGATCCGCAATAGCAGTTCTTCTCCAGGAAGCATCTGGGGTGGTGAATTCCATACGTTAAACTGTAAGCTAAAGTTTTTGCTCAAGTCTCAATTGGGAATTTTTACTGCTTTTGTTATTTTTACCTGTAAAATTATAAATCCAAATATGTCTAGAGCACTTACCTTTGGCTAAATGCAGGGAAATGATCTCTAGGGAAGAAGAAAGCAAGTGCATGGTTAGAGTCACTCATACGAAAGCCAAAGCCCTGGACTTTGGGAACAAGCAAAACCAGGGCCTCAAACTGCCCTTCACCGGACCTCTGGGCTCTATGGCCAGCGTGCTCTCCTTTTAAGTTAGAATTAACTTAAAGGTAAGTTGCATCTTGTAATTAAGTAGCAACTCCTGCTTTTACATAGGTCTTCTCAGGACACTGCATAGTTGCATGAAACCTAAAAACCCTGCCTGTTGATTTCTGATTGCTCAGCAACATCCTTTCAAGAGCTGCAGTTTTTATTAATAAAACACACTAAGATATTTTTCCAAATGAGGGGGGAAAAAAAAAAAGTAATCCACTGCTGCCAATGCTATCAAGAAAAAAAAACAAAACCAGAAACCAGAAAGACAAGTTACTTTTTCCTTCTCCTTGAAAAGCAGCAGAGAGGGAGGTGCTTCCAGCCACGCTGCTGAGCAGCAGATGGAGGTGCCGTCCTGCAGCCACCCATGTGGCAGGCAGTGGCGCCTCACTGAAGCAAGGCCACCCACACGCCAGCAGTCAGATGTCACTGGATGGTTGGGCGGAATAAGCATCCCCACTAAATCATGTTTTTCAGGGGCAGTTGGGATTTCTGAGCCAGTTATTGCAGCATCAGTTTTGTTAGCCCTAGCTATGGGTGTTCAGGGCAGAAAACATGCCCCTTTTCTGAAGCAGGCTGCATGCCACTGCCTGCAGTGTTACCAGCAGCAGATGATGAGCCTGCTTCGCTATTCACAACTTCTGGATGAGCTTTAGCATCAGGTTGCTTTCCTGTGTCCTGGCTGCGTGGCCTCAAGCTTCGTACACTACCTCTGCCTGCACCAAAAGGGTCCTTCTGGGGTGATTCTCCCTCTTCGGGGATTTGGAAATGAGCTGCTTGAGAAAAATCAGGTCAACAAGCAACAAAACGTTCACAAATGCCAAGCACAGAAGAACGAGGCAGTCCTCCACTTACTCCAGGCAATCTGGAATAACTAAAGGTGGGTCTCAGATAAACCACAAAGCGGAGACGCAGCAGCCATCACGGAGCTTTCCGGGAAGCTCCCACAGGACACAGCAGCCCTGAGCTGAGTTTACCTTGCTCGGTGAGGAGCTGCTCTGCCTAGACCCGGCTCAGCACCAACACCTGCGACCACGGCTGCGGCATAAAGCAAGAGTGAAGCACTTCGCACAAACACGACCCTGTCGGGCAGTAAAAACTCTGCCAATTAACCTGTTCAAGCTTAATAAGACCAGAGCCTGGAAGGCAACTCCAGCTTATTTTCACAATTGGGCGCTACTTTCTATTTTAGTTTAGGCTGAAATTCCTCTTAAAGCCATTTCAACACCCTCTTGCTGGCGTGCACAGTTTTACAAAGCTAAGGCTAACGATTCCAGATCGTTTTTGTTGTTGTTGCTGGCTGCTTTTGCCACATCTGTGCTCTGTTTTCCAAACCTTTGCGTGTTCTCTCGGCTGGAACTGGCAGAAAACGAGCACCAGGAGATGCAGCTTGCATTTGTAATTCTTTCCTGGCCCTGTCAGCGCGTTTGAGGCTGCTGTCACTCGAGGGCATTTTAAAGCAATTCTTTGCCTTCCAGACAGTCGCATTTTCAAGCTGCTCGTGCGCTGAAGAAAGTCAACAGGCAGCTCTATCATTTCTGTCACCCAACTTGCCCGGCCAAAAGGGTCCGTAGGGGTTGTCATGGTCCGTGGCTTGCAGCAAAGGGCCCAGGGAGCAAATAACCTACTGCTTCTGCCCCCATGTCTCGCCTCATCCTCCACTACCAAGTCGACTAAACTAGGTCAGTTTTAGACGTTGCTTCTCCCTCCTAAGCAGTGACTTGAGCTGTCACACGCAACGTGCGTCGAGGCCGCGTCCTGAGGTAGCTGATAGAGCAGGAGCGACTAAGGGGACATGCGCGTCCCCAGCTGCCTTGGAGTGCCCCTGCCACCAGGCAGCAGCCCCCAGAGAAAGGCGCCTGACGCTCGTTAAGTTAATGGCCCTGAAAACGAGTGAGCTAAGGGGGAAGCTATGCGGTTGGAGCTGCTCTGGGGAGTGGCAGCGAGGCTCGGCTCTGCTCCCCGGCCAGCGGGAAAACCGCGCGGCCTCAGCCGCTTGCTGGGTAAGACGCCGCGCGCAGGCCAAGAACCGCACATAAATCATCGCTCCCCACGCACCTTTGCCAAGAAAATAAAGCGGGCCCGTGCAAGTCAGCACACCTAACCCGGCACGGGCTGCCGCGGGGGGTCACTGCAGACCCCTGCTCCGCGCCGACCCAAGCCGAGGCGGATTCACACCGGACAATGGCAGGGGAAACAAGCAGCCCAACGCAGCCACGGACACGACTGCATGAAGCCATAAAAATACATCGTCCCCACACGTTACTTCACGAAGCAGCGCTCTGCTCCCTTCTTGCTAGTGTCTTGTGCAAGTGGCTGTCAACTCCCGAGCCAAAATCACGGTTAACACAGGACAGGGAGGACAGGAATGAAAGGAGAGAGCCAAAGAGCCTTCCTGCCTTGCAGCTCGCGAAGGACACGCTAGCTGCTCTTGCTGTATTTCTGCTTTGTACCCTGCGCCTTCCTACATAAAATTACCAAATTCACAAACAACTGTCATGCCCCCTTCTCCTCCCTCCTCCTTTTCCCAGCCTGTCAGCCCAGCTCTGCCTCATCCCATCTAGTTTCCATGCTCTTCCTCGCTACTCCCCAGTTAGAGTTGCTGGACCAGTGCTACCTCTGCAATGCGGCAGCGGTGCTGTAATTCGGCACTCTCCATCTTTGCACCCGAGCTGCAGGACTGCAGGTTTCCCTTGAGAGATGCCCCCACAGGTGCTTTTCCTGCTTACAACACCCGTGCACACTTGGGCTTTCAGACCAAGTGCTTTATGGTGGCAGCTCCTTCAGCTTTGGCACGAACATTGCTCCGACACGTGCCAGCCGCCCTCGGCCAGGAGGGAGCAACGCAAGCAGCCCGATGGGGACGTGACGTGACCGTGGCCACCAGACCTGCAGGGCTCTCCTGAAGGAGCAGACTTGGCAGCCTCACCTTGGGAGCCGGGGTCCTCGCTGGCTCCGGGCCTCTGTGGGATCCGTCCGCTTTGCACGTACTGCGAGGGCTTCCTCTGCACCTCCACGGGAGCGATCCACACCTGCCAACGGCTCTTGTCCAGGGGAAAGTTGGTTACCGCCCACAATTACCAGTGTTCTCATTCAGAGAAGGTCAAAGTTGTCAGACAGACTGAACTGGTAAAATGGACATCTATTTTTGTGCCCTCCGTTTTTTTTCAATACCATCTACCAAAAGTGACGGCATCGGACCACTGCGGGTGAGGTCATTACGAGAGAGAAAACAAGGAAACAAAAACAATTCCCTGTCCCTCGACAGCTTATTTCTTGTTTCATCTTTTACAGGTTTTAGTCAATATCCTTTTCATCTGAAGAATGTGAAGACAAGTCAGTCAAAATCACTTCTTTAATTTATATCTATATATCTATATATATCTATATACATACACAATTCCTCCTCAAATACAGAAGACAAACAGAAGATCCGTGGCACAATTTCTTTGGAGAGTGGTGGGGGTTTGCTTTGTTTTTTTTTTTAGAAGCTGTATCCCAAATCAGGTTTTCATCTTTTTTCAAGGATTGTAAAAGGCCACTAGTGCCTATTCACAAACGCCTCAGAGCGCAGAGTCAGTGCTCAAGTACTTCCACACATCCATCCCCTTCCCTAGTTTGTTTTTCCCCACCAGACAACATTTGGGGAGGTGATGATTCCCACCGTGCACGAAGAACCGCCGAGGGAGCACGTTATTCCACAGGAAACGAGGCCTAGAGATTTTGGGCGCAAGGAAAACCTCAGCAACACCGAGCAGCAGAGCACAAACTCCCGGGGACCTCCAGGGACCGGCCACGTTCACAAAGCGCGTGGCCAAACCCGAGTGACAACACGGCCTTATTTCAGGAAACACAGGGAGTTTGGGAGACACGTTCTTTAGCTTGTTAAGACTGGGAAACTAAATTGTAGATTTATTATTTCAGACAAAAAAAAAAGGCACCCAAGGCCAGTCCACGTCCGACATGCTTGGCCGCTCGGAGGAGAACATCCCACCACAGCCCTCTCCCCAGGACACGAGGCAGAAACCTGCACAGTGTGACTCTCCCGCCACGCCGGGCGTCCCGATTCACACCCGTCCCTGCTCCTGAAGGAAAGCAGAAGACAAACACAGCGGGGAAACATAAAAGGCAACAAGCGACTCCCTGCACAGAGGTTTCTATTTGAGCCTGAGTCGGAAGCGAGCCACCGAGACCAGGGAGAGAGAAGAGGCAATTCCCGTTTCTCGCCGAGCGGTGGAGGACACGAGGACTCCCGCAACGACTCGTGATGAACAGGCGACTTCATTTATTGTTTATTACCCCATATGCATGAACCAATCAGTCTGGAAATCATCACACACAGGGCAGAAAAAAAAGTTATTTACAAGAGGGAGATCGCCTCCCAACTTCCCCCCAAATAAATTTAAGATGTACAGATTTATAATGGGAACCAAGGGGGAGAAGAGAGGACAAAAAGAAAACCAAGGACATTGCAGCCAGACTTGGACTTTCAGTTACAGAAGAGATCTACAGCTCCACCTAAGTGGGGCTTTTTCACCTATTAAATAAATGGCATCTTAAAAATAGAACATTTGACAATTTAAACATACATATTATTTTTTTCTTCAATAAATATTGCATGGAAATGCTGCTGCTTTGCTACCATAGCCTCCTCCCCTCCTGGGGCTCAACCATCACCTTAGCTTCTCCTTGCATTCCTGGGTTGGCAGTTCCTAATGGCAAATGGTTCTTTCCCCCTGCTCTTGTCAAGGGGCCTGACCAGGCAACCTTTCCTCACCCTTTGTGGGCTTCTCACCTGGCTCATGGTTTTAACACCATGGCTTTTTTAAAAAATTCCCTATTATTTACACAGTCTCTTCCACGGACTAAAACAGAAGGTAGCTTCAAGGTTTGCAGCTTATCGCAGCTGCTTCCAGAGCCCATTCCTTGCTTTTGAAAGGAGGTTCCCGAGAGGAACCGCCAGCTACGTTGCTGCAGGAACCGCCCCAGTCTGGTTCCCAGCCCACGCCAAGGCGGCTGGACCGTACCCGGCAGCAAGGGGACAGATGCAAACCACAGGCACCCGGACCACGAGGCTCCCCACTTCACCTTCCGCTCCCCTCGGTGCTCTGCTGCGCTTCTTGCAGACTCTCCTGCCCATTTCCATGGTCAAGAAAGCTTCCTACCTTCCTTCCTCCTGAGCTGGCAAGCCTAAAACTAGCCTTATTTAAGTCAGAAGACGACATCAACCCGCTGGGCTGTGTTCCAGCTCATTACCGTCAGCCCAGCGGCTCCAAAGTGCACATCAAAACTTGAATTTCGTTTGCCATTCCCACACTTCCTGAGAATAAAACAGTTAATACCGATCCTCTGGCCCTGCATTTCCTCAAAGCAGTCGCTCCTCCCAAGAAGAAGTTTCTTATGTAAAACTGGGGTGGGGGGGGAGAATATAGACTTTCCTTCCGCTGGTTAGGATTAGCTTATCCCTGAAATGCACTAAGGCTTTTAAATAAAGTGAACGTGTCGAAGGACAGCTCCAGAGCTGAGAAGATGCCCCTGGGATCCCGCAGGCCCTTCGCCGCCAAAGGGAGAGCCCTCGGTGCGGGGAAGTGCCGGGGCTGCCGAGCACAGCGAAGCGCTCTTGCCAGCGAGGCCTTCCCAGAGCAAACACTTTTTGGAAATGTGACCTTTCGGTGAGGTTGGCCGTCTGTTTCCACGGGCCTAAAAATTGTGACCAAACGTCTCACCAAGCGGGTGCTGCCCGTGCGGAAGCGCGCGCGCTCCTCCAGCCGCCAAGCCCGGGCAAGAGGGAGCTCGCGCACGGGCAGCGTCTGCTTCCACGTGAGCACAAGGCCTTTGTGACACCGTCCTTCTCCTCACCAGCCGCCCTGGCCTGGCAGAAACGGGGTGAGGGATGTCCGAGGAGACCAGAGAGCTAAGGCACACTAGTAGATATGAGGATGGCAGAACGCTGTTGTAAATGCAACAGGAAATCTTTGGGTAAAGAAGGGTGCCGCCTTACTGAGCTGAACAGCGCTGCGCGCACGTTCCTGCCTCTTATTGCCATCGGGCAAAGCCACCTTCTCCAAGCTGCAGCTGCCGCCAAGGAAGCAATGCCTGCAAACAGCTACCGGTTCCCTTGCGGGTTCCCAAGTCGCCGGGCCCAACCTGGAGCTCCGCTGAGCAAGAGCACACACGAGTTGCCTCCCCTACAAGGGAGGCCCTGCCTTACAACCCAATCCTGCCTTTAAGTATTCAGCGAGACCAGGGATGGCCAACACCCGAAGGCAAAATTTGTCCTTAGGCTCCACCTTTAGCAACTTGCTCCCATCCTAAGCAGAAGCAATTCCGGTTTAAGCTCTTCACCCTCAGTCGTGTCCCAGCTATCACAGTGACCCATTGCGGGTGTCCTCCACCCGGTCCCCCCTGCCCGCCCTCCTCCAAACTGCAAACAGCGGGAGGAGGAGGAGGAGGAGGAAGAGGAGGAAAAATCGGCCTTTGATGGGTGCGAAGTGTGTCCCCCACCCAAGGGACCCAGGGCTTTCCCTCACCTCACCTGGCAGCTCCGCCGCTGCGAGCGCGTTTGGCTTAGGAGGCTAAAGCTAAAGGAGACCCTCAGTGAAATGGTTCATGTGGTGTGGGCACGCGCGCGGGGCGAGGAGGGAAACCACAGTCCCGGGGAGCTAAGGGGGTGACCTCGGAGCACTGAGGGCAGCGGTGACACTCGCTCCTCTGCAGAGCGCCTGGCCAACGCACGAGGGTGCAGGCGGAAAGCAGGCGACGCCGAGAGCTCAGCCGGGGGTGTTTTCACATAAAGCCGACGGGCCCTCGTCCTCCCCCTGCTCTGCCCTCTGAGAACGAGGGACCGGCGCTACGCGTGGCATCGGTGTCTGCAAAACCCCTTCTCTCCGGCGTCTTCCGGGCACACAACTGCTGCAGGCCGCGGGCTGTTGCATAACGACTTCTGGAGGCAGATTTCCTTCTCGTCGGCACTTCTTCGTGGGTGCTTTTTGTCCTGCTGGTTATTTGTAATAGAAATGTTTGTAGACCGTCAAAACATCGAGTCACTCAAGACAATTCATTGCACTTCGTCGTTTTAAAGGAAGGCATCGTCAGCTCCGAGGCCTTCCTCCAGCTCGTGTTTTTCATGGTGGCCGAATGCCACCCTAAAAAACACAGTTCAATTTCTTTTTTTTCCAGTGTAACCAGATCCCGTCCGTGTCGATTCCTTTTCCTTCGCAGGTGCTTTGCATCTAATGATTCAGCAAGCTGGACCGTCGCTGAGGCTTCCAAAGTGCAAAAGAGTTCAAGGTATTTTTCCCCACCTTGAGCACCAGTTAAGGCGTGTTTGTTTCCAGTCTCAGCCACTGTAAACCCTGTCTAGTGTAGTGTACCAGTTCGGCCAGGCTGCTGTTCAGGGCCAGAGCACACCCCGCTGTGCTGAGCTCATCAAAAAAATCTAGGAAAAGGGGAGGGAGAAAGAAAACATTTGCTTGCTTTTTTCCACAACGGGCACGCCGGCAAGAGCGAAGCGCAGCAGAGAGAAGCGACAGCGCGGCGAGCAAGTCTCACTAAATAATGTGTTAGTGGGAAAGAGCAGCGATGCGAGGAGGCCGAGCAGGGTAACACACCCGTGAGACGCAGCACGTACAGGAAGAAACCTTTGCACACACACAAACCCAACCTCCTTGCACTGAAAACGTTAAGATTGCGCAGCAAGTGTGCAAAAACATGAGGTGACTCGGAAACCATTCTAACCCGCTGGGTTTCACTAACTTGGCACGTCCCTGCGTGAGGGAGCGTGATGGCCCAAAGCTGCTGCCACTCCTCTGTTCTTTGTACATGCAGTGGAAAGTGTCTAAGCGTCAGGATGGGGCCTCTTGGTTCTATGTATTCCCTCCCCATCTCTCTTGACATCCATACGTTACACTGAGTATCTCGAAGCTCCAGATCTGAAACCCCTAGACCAACCCAAACAGTCAAAAACCGGGGCTAACCCTACAGGGGTATTCACTGACCTGCTGCCAAGATACCACCCTTTGGGGACACCGACTCCCCTCGTAATCATGCAGCCACGTTAAAAACACCACCAGCACAGAACAGGTTTTGAGGTCAGGCTGCCTCCAAGCAAGACTGCTCTTGAGCTGCTCTCCCACGGGTTTTCCTTGGTGGCTCCTTCACTTTCTGCCTTATCAGCAACGTATCCTGTTCCTTCCATGTGCCAGTCCTTACCCAGCCTCTGGAGGATACTATCCCAAATACTGCACGTTCACTGCGGCTGCAAGCGGGAGGTGGCTCTATTCAAAAGCGCCCCAAAACCTGTGCTGGAAATTCACCCCTTCAAAAAACTGCACTTTTCATGCAAAGTGGCACTAGACCTTGAGGTGGGACGGCTCTAGTCTGAACTGCACCGCTCTGAGGGCTTTTACTGATTCACCACATGCCACCTGAACAACCCTTTAAACAACAAAGCCTGAAAAAAAAGAGAAATAGCGGCAATTCTAGGCAAAGCCCCTGGCAAACGCTTGCCCCGTGCCCAGCAGGGACTGCGAGCCAAGTGCTGCTCACCTCCTCCTCTCCCAAGGAGGGAAGCCAGCTGCACAGCTGTCAAAACAAAAACACTCTGACAAATCAAATGAAAAGCAGAGCACAAAGCGTCTGGAAAGAAAGGGAAACAGCTCAGGAAACACAAGCCCTCCCCCGAAAGGAAAAAACAAACATTAAAAAAAAAAAAAAAAAAGCCCCTTCTAATGTTACCACAAAGGGAGCCGGGTGCTTTCCGCCACCCGATTCCCTTGTCCCTCAGCTCTGAGGTGTCCAAGCAGACCAAGACACGCCAGAGCTCTCTTGGTAACTTCAGTGTACTCAAGACTGTGATCTTCAGGCCTTTAGGCAGTTGCTCACCCGAGTGTTAGGATTTAAGCAAGTCGGTCCATGCAAGCACATCACACTAGAGAGGACACAGAAGCCAAGGGGAAACCCTTACCTTTATTCCTCCTGGCCAGGGCATCAGCGTGTTCCCAAATATCATACGCGTAGAGGACGTAGGAAGTGATGTTGACATAGGAGGAAGTGATGACTGGGATGTTAGAGGGGACGCTGACGGCAGCGCCCAGGCTGCCGCCGCTGGCGTTCGATCCCGGCTGCGAGCCCCCGGAGCTGGCGGGAGAGGGCATCGGAGAGAGCGGGGACGGCGTGCCGGAGCTCCTGCGGGACACGAGCCTCAGAAAATGCCACAAAATCTCTAATTGTTTGTGAAAGTCTTACTCACGCTGCCTAACTAGCTGGCCAAACTAATTCCCTTTCAGGTATCCTTAAGTCGCTCCACGCTTCCTGACAGATAGTCAGAGCAGTTGGGCCAACTTGGGCAGATTTATTCATAGAACTGGGAAAGCTAAATGTGCTCAGCTCACCCATCCTCACGGCTTCCTTGCATTATTGGCCTAATTCTACGTTACTCAAATATTCCTTTTACTTTTGCTGTCACATATACAGCAACGCTGCTGCAGATGCATTAAAAAAATGTCAAAATATTCTGTAATTGAATTAGTAAATGATTTTTTTTTTTTTAAAAAAAGTGCACAGGCTAGTGAGAAAATACTGAAATGTCTCTTTAAAGTTATGCTACCCCAGTGTAAAGGCATCTTCTGCACGGCAGCGGCCAGGGAGATGGGGATGCACATACAAGCCCCATGGGGATACAATTCCATTAAGTCTCCATGGATCTGAGATACAAACAGAACAAGGATGAAAACCACGGGAGCTCCCAGAGCAGCACGTGGACAAGACACTCCCTGCTCCTCTGCGCCTGCCTCTCTGGTGGAGAACAGCTCTGCATGACACGCAGGAAGCCTCTGCACCTCGTACCAAAAACGACTCTTCCAAACGGAGATGACAGCAAAGGGAGAGCTGAAACACATGCACGTTCCTGGGAAGGAGCTTTCTGCTTGAAATCACTTGCAAACTGCACGTGAGTACAATTTGTGACTCAAACAGGCTGCTGCTTTTGCTCACAGCTTTATGGACATACTGCAACCTACATTTGAATCTTACCTTGCAACACACGGAGAAGGTGCTTGTGATACTCTGGAAGAACTCTGCAGCAGAGAGGCAAACGGTTACATTCGGGTCTGCCAACCAACGCGAGGAACTATCCCCTCTGCCCAGCTGGCAGTCTACTAATACACATGGCCCACCTTGAAGTGGTCATTGAGGATCCTGGAATACTTCACTGCCGTGTCTTTCTTGTATCGGAACATTGCCATGTGCAGAACCGCCTGGCAGCGCATGCTGTGGATGAAGGGCACAGGGAGTCGGTGCTCGTGCCCCCGGCTGCCTGCGGGGCAGCAACGAAGCTCCCCCCGGCAGGGCAGGCCCATCTCAACTTCATTTCCAAGTCAAGAGAGCCCAAGCGCTCTCTCCTCCTCCATAAAAAGACTGGGGCAAAATCAAACACACACGAGGGAAACCAACAGCGCAGGAGGCACGTCTGCTGTTTCACAGAAACAGGTGCCCAGGCGCTCGCGGGGGCCGCGGGCCTGGCGTGGCCCCGGCCAGACGTGCCCCAGCTCGGGCTCACTCGCAGCTCCTGCGGCACAGCCCGAGGCGGCCGGCCAGACTGCGTTCCTGCACCTCAGCTCCAAGCCCCGGGGCATTCTCCAGTTACCAGCAGAGGAAATTTTAGAGCCTTCGTCCTCCACGTGCGGTCCCTTGTGATAACACGGCTCAGCTTAGACATGTTTCCGTCTGCTCTGTTTTTTTTTTTTTTTATCGTTTTGTTTCCTTGCAAAATCTGGATTCCCAGTTAACTCCCTCCTTCACCCCTGAGAGTCTTGCAATCCAGCAAGCACCAAAACCCAGTGTGAAGGCACAGAAAAGCAGTTACTCACCATAACACGGCAAAAATCTTTTCCTGTGAAGATGCTGAGGAGTCCATAAAGGGTTTCAATGTCATTATGAATCTATAGAAACAAAATCAGGAGAACCTTGTCAGCTGCCAGGGCTCTCAAGTCCCACTAGTTTACGATGCGGTGCGTGCCAGCAGTCCAAAACTCAGGACCTGAATCTGACCCGAATTCTTAGGGCTGGCGCTGAGGTCCTGGCACGATCCTTATCAGAGGATTCTCCAAATACCTCACTTTCAAAGGGGAATAAAGACAAAGCTCATTTGTGTCCTTGAAGGCCTTGTCTGGCGTTCATGGGTGTCTACCGCAGCTACGAGGCTCGTGGTACCTGAGCCAACGTGGACCTAATTCCTGTGATAAGCAGCCCTGAGATGCCTCAAAAGACTCAGTTCTTTGGTGGTTTCTCTGGTGTCTTTGGATGGTCTCTGTCTGTCCCGTGTGTGGGCAGCAACCAGAGCTCTGCTCCGGTACCAGAGTCCCCAGCTGCCACGGTCACCACCAGACACGAGCATCCCTGCCCCTCCAAAGGTGCCCGCAGCCAAGAGGCTTCTTCTGCAGCCACTTACTTGATGAGATCCATGGTGTCAGCAAAGATGCTGTAAGCAGATTTGGGGGCTGCTGTGTCCGATTCTATGGCAATCCCGTATTCAATGAAGGCAAGTGCAGCATCCAGGTACTGAAAGGCCTTTCCAACCTTGTCGGTCTGTTGGGAAGAAAAAGCTCCCTTTAAGACCACGTGCAAAGATACTTATCTCAGGGAACTTGAAATCTTTTTCTCTCCTAAGAGAGGCAGAACTTGGAAGAAAGGAAAAGATGCAAGTGAGGCCTCCAAAAGATATTTAAAGGGTTCACAGCATCTCTTCTGAGAGACAAGGCAGCCACGAGTGCTCCGCAGCCGACAGCAGCTCCTGTGCCTCGATCGTCACCCTTCAGCATCTCAGCCTACAGGCTTCTCTTTAGGAAATACGACAGACGGGACCATCCTGCTACAAGATTTTCTGTCCTCACCGAGCGACATTTGTAGAGCAGGTCAGCTTCTCAACTCCTACTAAAAATGTATCCTGCAGCAAAAAAATGTTAACTGCCCTTCCTCCATCTCTCCCTCCCCAGCTTTCACTGGGTTTGAAATCTGTCCACTGCAAAAACAGGGAGGGAAACACAGCAATTGCCCCTTAGAGTGAAAAAGAATTTACAAATCTAGAGGTCCCTTCCAACCTCAGCTGTCCTGTGACTCTGTGAAATTACTTCCAGAGACAAAACTCGCTCTGTAGTTTCCTTTACCACATATACACACATATGACTGAAGCAAAATCCATTAGGGGGAATAATGCTCCAACCACCACATCTTGTTCACACACAGAGGCAGCAAATCACAATGTCACAACTGCTTTACCTCGCACAGAGCCAGGACTTACCATAGCATCAGCTTTGTGCTTCAGCCTCTTGGCTTCTTCAATGTAATGTTCTATCGAATGCTGTCTGAATTGGGGACAGGGAGAAGAAAAACAGACAAAAGCAGGGCAAGGTAAGTACCGATTTTACCTTCAGATCTAGAGGATGCTGTGATTCACAGTATCAATATAAATAGATTTTTAAAACTCTCATTTTACCGAAACATTGAAAACGTAGATCTGGACATTACAGGAAACTATGCTTGGCGCCTACGAGGCCAAGTTTACTTCTTTACTCTCATGGCAGGATAGCAGTTAGGGGATCTCATAACATTCCTCAAACACAAAACTGCACATACATTTGGACTGAAATGCGTTATAGATTTGGATTGAACTGCATCGTGTGGTACACTTTGCAGCACACCACTCACCAGCTGGACACAAAGGGCTTACATTCAAGTCTTCTGCTTACGAGAGAGACTGCCAGCCAGGCAAAAGCTTCTATAAATCCTGCTCTCATTCAGTGGGTAATTAATGAAGCTGGTATCACTTAGCGCACCCAGAGCTGCCTGCGCACTAAGGAACGGAGCTACGAGTCCTGCCCTCTCTCTATCCCAAGAGGCCAGTCACTTGCACAGCACCTGATCACAGAGGAGCTTATCAAGGGGCAAGAACCACAGAAATCAAACCCGTCCTTGCAGGTAAGCACAGGCAGCCTCTCAGGGGGATGACACCCAGCTGAAAAGCCCCTAACTTCCCCACTAGCTTCCCTGAGGCAAGAACTGCTGCAACCAGAGAGCGTCACACGCAGCGGGGGGACAGACGTGACTGTGAGACCTGACATCAGCCGGCCCCAGGCGTCTCCCTCTTTCTTTCTCAGGAAACAAGTCCTCCCTAAGAAGCAGGACTGCAGGGCCAGCCCTGCCCCTGTGTCTTCGGAAGGGACCCCAAGAGGGGCGTAAAATGAGAACTTACTTCTCGAACTTGACTTGAGGTCTCCTTGGCTGGGAGGTACCATTTGGCAAAGAAGGCACTGGGAAAGGATTTGTGACATCCCCTGCAGATTCCTGGAAAAAAAATATCATGGTATAAGGCAGAAACAGGTCACAAAGATAGCACCAAGAACACACCTAAAGCCCAGTTTTCCTAAATTCTGGGGGGAAAACAGTCACTTGTCCCAGGCATTGCCCATTCTCCGCACTCCTCCTCCTTCCTTCTTCCTCAACCCTCCCCTCTTCTAGCAACAGAGGTGGAAACTTGGCTTCCTATGTGCCTGCTAATAAGGCTTAGCACAATTCAAACCTCTTTGAACTTAAGTAGCAGGTTTCCTTGCACAATGACCAAGGTAACACTAAGCCTGCTCAGAGCAATGTTTTTCCTGGCCACTAGCCAAGACGGGAATTGGCAACATCCACTCACACCTATCTCCAGCTTCCACAGACAGCAATCCATGGTTCTGTGTCAGCAACTAGAATTTCAGGAAAAGGAAAGCAGGAAGAAGCCAGCTAGTGCAGCAGCCATAGTCTCCCCTTCAGAAACCTATGTCCTAGGCCACATGGATTGAGGAACCAACGAAGAGCAATACAATTGCATTTTATAAACCAATAATGTAAAAAACCAGCTGCAAGGCTCATTAGCAGTAACTGGGTAAGAAGCCTATATGAGCTATAAGGTTATGGTCAGAAGTAGGGGCTGTTACTTCTTATTTTTAAGTGATCCGCTCCTTTTTATAAGGACAATCACTTTTAAGGCTTCACCTAAATATTTTAAGCACTTAAAAGTAAGTATTTTTATTTTTATGTATATTATTTATATTTTTATTACTTGACTATTTGGAAAGACACCATCGTGCCATGCCTTCAGCTGCACCCAGTCAGCAAACTCCCTGCCAGTGCTAACCGATACCTACTTTGTTGCTCTTAGGCTGTTCCGGATACTTGTCCACTTTTCTGTGCTTGGAGGACAAGGGATCCTTGTGGCTGCTCTTGTTCTTGGCAGTGCTGTCCGGGGCAGGCTGCTCGTCGCTCTCGCTCCTGGGTCGCTTCTGGGCCCCCTTGGGCGCCTTCGGGGCGGGATGTGCAGGAGCCGGGGGCGGCAGCGGCGGGGGCAGCAGGACATCTCTCCTCTGCATGTCCAGTGAAGCTTTGGATACTCTGCAGATGGGAGGCAGATATATTGTATGGAATGAATATGACGTACATACACATATATATTATATACGTTTTAAGAACACCATTATGTACCAATATACTAAGCTTTCAAGGAAAGGCTTGCAACTAGGTTGTTTGGATTTTGCACATAGAGAGCCCTCCAACACAGTCACTTTTTACTGAAAAAGAGAGTACAGTCACCTACAGTGACCTGCACGCCTGGGACGGATCTCCCTGTAGCACAGACCTGATATTCGAGGCAAGTCAACTGCAGCACTGCCTCTGTCTCCCCTCTGCACCATAAGGCTCTTCTCTCCGTTGAGAGAGGCTTACCATGAAACTTGACCCCAGCTTTGAGAGAATTAATCCGAGTCTTTCTTTGTTGCTTTGAGACTTGCCAGCTAAATAAGCCAACAGGCAAAAAAGTTCTGAGGATTCAAGGGAGAGAGAACTAAAATGCTGTGCTTCCCAGGGGCAGGGCTGGCCACGTTTACTAAGACTTTGGCAATCCCAGACTGCTGATCATCTAAGGTTAGGATTGACTATCCAGGGGCTACAGTAGCTATACGCAGCACCCAACAACCATAGAGCCTATTTCAGTAGTCATTTACAGCACCTCTTTTTGGCTTCTTGAAATTTCCGAGAAAGCACAAAATACCTCGAGCAGCAAATCCCAACCCAGACTGCAACACCGGGAGAGGGACACGTTGCATTCAGCCTCCCCACGGAGGCTGGAGCAGAGGCTGGAGCAGGATGCTGCACAGCCGGCTAAGTTCTGCAGCCCTGGGGGCAACGCCAACCAGGCAGCAGGGTGCATTCATCCCCTGTGCACGCAGCTGCACAACACCGCATTCCCACTAAGCCAAGGGAAAGGGAAAAGGCAACAAGAGCAGAGCACAGTGCTAACCCTTCCTCGGGAGAAGAGCTCCCGCTGCAGGACATGCTGGAGCAGGAGCAGTTCCTCGTGCGAGTCCCTCGGCGCTGTGCACGGGCTCCCCACCTCCTGCCGCCGGGAGCTCCCGGTCCTGCTGCAGCCCCACAGCTTGAGCCGGGGCTCCCTTTCTCCCCGAAACGCGGCCTGTTCTGCCCTCGATGAAAACCAAACGGTCTTCAAGAGGGGCCGCTGAATTCCAGACTCTTCCATCATCACCATGGATGCCAGTCAACACCCAGGATTCCGGCTGCAGTTAAAGGGGCAACGGCACCACGAGCCGCAGAGCGACGCAGCGGACGCCCCTCTGAGGGGCGCAGCCCGTTTCGAGGGGCCCCTGGAAGCATCAGCTCCAGCTCCCACCGAGCCAGGGCGCTGGCAGGAGGCTGCTCGGCCAGGCCTGGGGGAGATGCACGAGAAACGCTGCACGTGCCACGCTGGAGGAGGCGAGGAACTTCAGGCCGTAAAGGCCAGCTCAAGCGCCAGCCAAAAAATCAGGAATGAAAACGGAGACACTGAACCCGGGTCCCCTTGGCCACAAAAAAGGAAAAAAGGTCACACACAGATTCTAGAGGAAGAGGGAAACGCTCGCTACCCCTGTGTGCTTGTGCATAAAATCGGTTTGCTGGGCTGGGCTTTGCACAGTTCACCCTTAAACATGGGTGGACCAGGCACAGCCAGGTGATTAGTGCAGCAGCACCTGGGCTTGATGAGAGCCAGGGAGAGCCGCTCCGTCCATGGGCTTCGGGGGCAGCCCAGGCTGGSTCTCCTCAGCAGTTCCGTGGTGCAAGAGGTGACAAACAGCTCTGCAGGATCCATCCCACCCATCCTGTGCTCTCAGGTAGGGGAAGGCGAGTCCACCCAGCACAGACACTGCCTGCTCACCTGGAGCCAGCAGGTTCAAAGCCCGATACTGGCAAACATAAACGCGGCCCACGGAGCCGACAGTAGGAGCATTAACACCCCATGTGTTTTTTCCAGCCTGCCCTTTCCATTGAACAAAACAGCCATCATGGCCATGCCAAAATTTACAGACATCTAGCTGCACTTAGCACAATATTTTTCTCCACACAGGAAAGGGAAGAGGCTGCCAGAATCTCTTCTGCAGTGCACACCATTGCTCAGTGACAGGAAGGAGGGTCAGAGCTTCCCCGTCAGCCCTACCGTCTGCTTGCAGCGGGCGTCTGGGCACACAGCTCGGGCATCACGTGGTCACAGGACAAGGATTCTTTTGCCATCCCTTTCAATCCCTAAACTCTGGGGCCAAACAAGCAAACGCTGCTTCCTTAGCAAAGCTGCCGTCCCCTCCTAGGGAAGCTAAGGCAGGCACGACAACACGTTACCGAGAGCGGGGCAAAGCTGCAGTTTGAAGACGGGGAAGCCACAACTGCCTCCCAGCATGGAAAAGCAGCGGGCACTGAACTGGCACTGACGTTTCCTGCAGTGCAAAAGGATTCCTTGAGCTACGTGTAACATGCAGACCAGAGCACGCAGCACCCTAAAATGCAGCATGAGGATGAGCAAGTTTGGGTTCGAAATGATCAAGTGTTCATTCTGGTGTCAAATACTCACTTCAATTTGCTGGAGTCTTTGTGAGTTGAAGACTGCAACGATTTGGTTTCTTTGTCCGATTTCATCTTCTTCCTATCGCTCTCCTTCTCCATTTCTCTCTATCAAAAGCAAAACAAGAAAAATCTAAATAAGAACATTTAAGTCTATGCAAGTTCATGTAAAGCACAGACCCACCAAGTGTGATTGAGTCACATTAAAAGAAACAAAAAGATATTGAAAGTGACAAAGTGCACAAACCCACAGCACTTTGGACATATATTTCAGGTTCACCTGCAGATATCCCAAAATGACATTTTATCTAATTTTGCTTGGGTAGATCAATTATTTTGTAGTGGAATGGAAGAAAAGTGCTAAACCTCTCCCTGTTAGGTGTCCACAATAATTATACGCGTGTTCCTGAAAGCAAACACATCATTTTCTGCTCTTGGTGCTTTTCTTGTTGTTTGTTTTTTCTTCTACTTTTTTTTGTTTTCCCTACTGAGCATGAATCATGCAGAAAGCTGAAACGTATTAAAATTCCTTCTGGCAAAGTCAGGGGTGGCAACGACTGTGTCCGTGAATCGCACTGTTAGCCAAAAGGAAGGGAATAAGCAGCATTCCCTGGCATTAAACCACTCTCAGATTCCCCAGACGGGTGGCTTTTCTTTGTGGACCTTTCTGTTTTTATTTTTAATTAATGAAAATCAGATATCAGGGGTGAAATTTTAACAAGCCAGTTACAACTGCTGCCTCTGTACTGTCCTCTGGAACGGGAGGAGCCCCCGAGGCAGAGTGGCCACCAGTGACACTTCTTCAGGACGCTCCACAGATCCTAGGATACAAAGCTCATCCTGCCAAACCACTGGCTCACCGGAGCGAAAAACGTCCCCATCATTTACAACAAGACAAAAACTCTAAGAAGGAGCCGAGCTGTTCAATCAGCTCCCAAGATTTAATAAAAGCAGCCCCACAATTGCGCTTATTCTCACTCCTTGAAGGGGAATCAGAAAGGCCTATGGGCCCTGAAATATCTGCAGGGATGAACCTACATCCCAGCTATCCATCAGAGGATGCACGGATGGATTCCTGCATGGAAGGGTCCGCACGAGCGAGCCAGGCGCCTGGAAGCAGCTTTGCTGCTGGAGAGCTGGCTTCCAAAAATGTCACATGGGAAAAGCTCCTGTGTCCAAGGAAAAAGGGGCTGTCTCAAAATTTAAGGGAAGGCAGCTATCGTAGGACTCTGAAAGGATCTCTGGAAAACCCTCCATTGGGTACAGACGCAGCTTTAAGCATTGGCACCTCTGCCAGCTCCACAGCTGCTCCTCCGGAAACCAAAGCAACCTTATATTTATCCCAGGATCGAGATCCAGGCAGGGTTTAGCCATCGTCTCTATCATCAGTAAGGCTTGCTCAGTCAAAAGCCTGCACTGAAGGAGAACCAAAGGGCGCGAGGCTGCTGGCATCACATCTAGCATCACATCTAACATCATCACGTCGGTGAATACTAATTCACAAAGTGCTCACCAAGCAATTGCCATCATCAACCAAAATAAATGTCTCCCTGCAGGAAGAGCCTCAGACTGCTCAGACTGAGGTTCTACAGCTCAACATTAAGTTTTTCAGCAGCTCCACGTTCACCAAAGCCCACTTCTCGCCATTCCCCTCTCACCTTCCGCTTTTTGAAGGACTTGTCAGGAGGGTCCGTGCTTTTTCTCTCCAAATCCTGCCTCCTCGCGCCCAGGAGCTCTTTAGCCTCTGCTTTCCTCTGGCGACTGCCTTTCCCGGGAGGCCGAGGAATCCTGGACAGGAGAGCGAGCTCAATTTTCACCACGAGGGCGTGCGGGAGCGGGAAGTCCCTCACGGGCGATAACAACGTCTTCTCCCTGACCGGCAAGGGAAACTTGTCCCTGTGGAAATCCTCCCTGCCCACGGCCGCGGCCTTAGTGCCGCTAGTCCTGGGCGGCGTGCCCTGGCTTTGGGCGAGGGGGCTGACAGGGAGATGCTCTTGGGTGCTGCCAGCCAGAGCGTCTCTCACGGGCTTGGGGTCCAGGAAGCCCTTGGAGCTGGCCTGGTGCGAGCCCTTGTGCTTTCTGTTCTCAGAGGGCTCCTGCGACGTCGCTTTCGATTCTTTTTTATCCCCGGACCTGGGCCTCCCTTTCGTCTTTACTTTGGGCTTGTCCCTGGAAGACGGGTCTTGCGCCTCGTACGGGGCCGGCTCGCTTTCCACCTTCAGGCCTCCCTTGGGCCCCTCGTGGGCAGGGACCTTGCTGGGCCTTTTGATCCCAACCGTGTGTCTCTGCGAGGGCTCCTCGCTTCGCGCGGGCGACTTGTGGCCGCTCCGCTTGCTCGCGAGATGGGCATCCTGAGGAGCCCGGCCCGCTCGGCTGGAGCTCTTGGGATGAGGCTCCTTCGGACCGGGCCGCTCGTGGGAGCTGTTGCTGCTGATGCTCCTGCCCTGCTCCTTGTTCTCCTCGTGTCCGTCCGTGTGGCCGAGTTCCCCGGGGCTCTCGGTTGGCACTGCCGGCGGGTTCACCTTCGTTAGCCAGTTGTCGAGCTGCCACTTGTTGGACGTCGGAGGGTCAGGCTAAAGGCAAAAAGAGAAAAGGAAGGGCTAAGAGTGAGTAATTTTGTGAGTAATTTTGACGCTACCAGAGGTTACCAGAACCCAGGAAAGTTTTCCTTTTTGTAAAAAAGCCTTCAAAGTGAAAGACTGTGAAAAACTGGGGATACCGTCGTGGGACAAATGAACACCTAAGTCTAAAACATGCCTCATTCTTGCATGAAAACGGTCAAACACGTCACACACAATCCCCACGTCTCTGCTAGCCCGACCTGGAGGTCTCGCTGACAGACTGGTGAACGTGAGGGCTTGGTCCTGCTTTGCTCTCCCCAGAAACGAACACCGTAGCACACTGGAAAACGACGGCACAAATCCAAAGCCAAAGCGGAACTAGCCGCTGTCCCTTGATTCTTTTGGAAAACCGTCTGCACGGAGCACTCCTCAAAACCGAGCTCACGGCTGTCCCAGCTGTCACATCTCTCCAGGCTAACAGGTAGGCCACCGGGCTCCGGTGATTTAAGCAGTTCCCACAAGGAATTATACGGCTAACACATCAGGGCCAGCTCCTTCGGAGCTGCCTGCCCGAGCAACCCAACGCTCGCTTGCCTCAGGGTCAAGACACGATCACGTTTTGAACCTCTCCGGAATCACAGAGATTGGAAGCAGTTGCTAGAACCCCTGCTTGATGAATTAGGGAAAGAACAAACCCTACAAGAGGCCTCAGACGCTGCCATTCCGGGCGGTGCTGTCTCAGGTCAGTGCTCAAAGGCTTACGGGCTGGTCAGCAGCGCTCAAACGTTCACCCCGATATCGGGGAATCATCGGAGCATCGCTGCCCTCCCACCCTTCCTGCTTCTCTCTGGCCACAACTGAGCACAGGGAAAGCCCCAGTGCACTAAAGGGTTTCAAGACTCCCTAATTCCTTCTGCCTTCATTTCCTTCTCCATCCGCAGCGAGCTCTGCCTTGCGCTGTGGAACATGCTGGCAAACAAGGCACATCTGCAGGACCAAAAAAGCACCTGCTTAACTGGGTCGGGGTCATTTAAGCTGGGAACCTGTTTGGAAAATAGGGTTTGGTTTTAATATGGTAAAATTAACCCACAAATCCCCTGTGGGTTGTTTTCAGATGAAAAATCTGCCTTGTTTTCAGGAAATCGTTTACTTCTCAGCAACTCAGGAACTCTTTTTCCCCTTTGTTAAGGGCTAATAGCATACCCAAATAGCTTAATAAAAGGCAGTTTTATTTACCCTTTCCTAACATTTCTCCTGCTAGCATTTATCTTGTTTGTGATCCACACTTTCAGACAGGTTTTCATCAGATTAGCTGAACACAAAGCGAAGCAAGAGACGGGGCTGAAGAAGGAGCTACTGCCCATAGGTCTCCAAGTCTTTGCTACTGTCTGCAAAGAACTGAAGGGGAAAAATAAAACATCTGTTTCTTTCCCAAGACACTTGGGTTGCACAAGACCAAGGCTGTAGCCGAACTACAGGATGTTGAAGGGTATGAGACAAGAGACCAAGACATATTTTCTCAGTATTTTGTTCTCAATATTTTCTCAAACCTTTTGCCATGTTTTCTGCACATAAAAGTCTCCCTGCTCATAAGATCCTAAGTTAAAAGGAGGGAAAAGCGGCCGGGGAAGGAGGCTAAAATGAGGAGGTTTCTGGGCTTTGTGAGAATCTCTCAAACCTGTTGTGGGTTGGTTGTCCTCAGCACGGGGTACAACGGGGCACTTAGTACTGGCCTGCGGATGCTCTGTAGGTGGGAGCACCTCTTTCCCCCCACAGGACACCAACATTTCTGCAGCAGATTTTCCCAGAACTGCCCGGTCTCAGTTATGCAGCTTTGAGGCACCAGGTTCTGCTTGTCTGCTTTGCCCAGCAAACCCCTCAGAAACGCTAGTGCAGCAGTATCGAAGCCAAGCTCAAGAGAAGCGAGTCTAAGCACATTCCAGCCCTCGCTGCAGGTCTGATCACTTCGGCTGGGGTCTGGGCGAGGCTTAACTTGTCACCCGCACACGGGGAGGCAGCGGCAGCTTCGCTTCCGAGAGCAGGAAAACGGCCTCGCCCTGGAGCGGCCCCGGCACCGAGGAAAGCTGCAGGTGAGCCCTTCAACACACAGCACAAGCCAGGCGAGGCACTAATCCCTGCGGGAACGCTAGCCAACGACGCCAGAAAGAGATGGGAGAGCCCTGCCTAAAAAAAGGCCTAATTACACAGTTACTACGGGCTGCTTAATAGACAAACTCGACCAGTGAAGCGGGGGGCAAGAAAGGTTTGACGCGGCAGCGAAGACGTGAAGGGGACACCTCAAGGATGCCGCTACTTCAGGTCTCCCCTCCGGCCACACGGAGCCAGCGGGAAGCCCGCGGCATCGGGGAGGCTCTGCCTTCGCTCTGCATTCACCTCGGGCGCCGGCGGCCTCGCGCCGTCGTTGGCCTCGCTGTCGCTGGAGCTGCTCTCCGTCTCCGAGTCCGACGAGGTGTCCGAGTCGCTGGTGCTGCCCGACGCGGCGCTGCTGGAATGTGCTGAGGCGACGCTCTGCGGCTGCGACGGCGGCGCCCTGCGAGGCCAGCGCGAGGCAAAATGAGAGGGCAGCGCGGGCGAGGGCTGCGGATGTGTCACACTGACACGGCAGCGGCGAGAAAGACATCTGCAAGCCCTCGTTTCGGCTCGGGGAGGAAAGGGGGAAGGCCAAAGGAAGACAATGCCAGATTCGGAGATAAAGCACCATTACAACAACAAAACCCCCCTGGAAACACGACCTTCACCTCCAACCCACTCAGATGAACAAGCAGGCAGCTCAGAACAACAGCACGAACTGCAGCGCTGCTGCAGTATGACACTGCATTTAGCCAAAAACAACTTTAAAGCGTGACAAGGGCTTTTCTGAAAGCCTAACCCACAAAAGAGAAAATACCAAATAAACGTTAACAGGAGAGAAACATAAATTTCTCCTGTTTGTGCTTTCCCCTTTAAATCCTCCCTTCCTGAGCCATGCTTCTTGGCAAGGCTGCTGGAGCTGTTCGTTAACTGCCCTCCCAAGCAGCAGCACGTTTTGCTGCACTCCTCCTTACTCAAAAGTCTTTCCTGCCGCACTGACCAATTGGACAAAAATGGGGCAGAGCTATAACTTTTAAGTACAATTTTATTCAGTTATTTATTTTTGTAATGGGCTTAAGTCAGAATTTTCTGATTTCAAGACAGGGAGGCAGGTTCCCTGCTCATCCCGAACACTATTCCAGGAGCTCTGCCAGAGGCAAAGGATGCAGCCAGGAATCAGCGGGCCCTTGTGTGAGACTTTGTGGACCAGCAGCCTGTGCTTCAAGGACAAAGTTATCAAGCCAACATGTGCTCTGTATTTAAGTGCTCTTCTCTAGAGAACATCTAGAGCTTCTCTGCCCCTCGCTCTACAATCTGGTCCATGCCTGCTCAGTCTAACCTTGAATATTCCTGCTGACTAACCATACATGGCAGAAACTGTATATAAACCCTCAACATACAAGGAGAAGCTGCAATGAATGACTCTGGCTAGTCCTTTCTCGCCCCCCTGCTCTTCACCTTGGTGAATGTTCCTGGCTTCTCGTGATTTAAAGCTGGACTCGCATGCTGGACATCCCTACCATAACTAAGCAGCCCCTCGGCTCCAGTGCAACCTGCATAGACACTGGGGAGGAGAGAGGGGAAGCTGGGAAAAGAAGGGAGTGGCTGGAGAAACAGCTTCTGGTTCAAAGGCAAATTGCAGCCCAGTCACTTATTGCAGGAAAACCCTTGCAGTAAAACAGGATTCAGGAAAACCCCGCCCAAATGAAACCAACTTTCAATGGAAACGTCAGGCAGGTAGAAACCAAAGCTTCTCTCCCCTAGAGAAGCAGAGGACCCTTTCCCCATCTACTCTGTAAGAAAAGACAGTTTTCTTTTCCCTTATTCAGTCCAGCTAAGAGTTTTGGAACAAACCTGTACCTTGGAGGAGCAAATGAAGCTGGCGGCTTTGCAACAACCTGTTTTGGTCACAAAAACAGAGAGGAGAGGGAAGGGAAAGGTTAGCATAGGGAGCCTGCAGCAACAGAGCAGGTCACGAGGATTTAAAGGGATGTGTTTGTGTGCAGTGTAAAGAAAACAGCTCAAACTGACTTGGTCATCACCACTGTCTTCACTATCACTGAGCTGAAGGTCATCCTGGAGCATTCTGAAAAACAACCAGAAGATACAAATCAGCCAAGGCAGACACATTTTCAAGCAACAGACACTGGAAAAGAAAAAAAAAAAAATACTTGGTTGGTGCCAGAACAAACTGACCTCCCCCAGCCTTTTTTGAACATGAAGCCACTTTATCACTAAATGTCTCATTATTTGAACAGGCAATAAACACGACAAAGTGGCCCCTAGGCCTTTTCCTGTGCTTTCCACCTAATCCCAGGGCAGGCCAGAGAAGTGATGTTCAAGGAGGGGAACTCTCCTCCACCAAGGGTAATTCCCGCAGCAGAGCTGCCTGGAAAAGTCCCAGTCTGATGGAGCAAGAGAGAGGGACAAGGGACAGGCAGCCCTGCGCCAGCAGCCGGGCGTTTGCACGCTCGCTCTTCAGCCGGGGCTGCAAATGATGCTCGTTTGTCATCCAGCACTTCAAACACCCAGTGCAATTTCAGAGCGGCGACCCTTGATTTAGCAGCACCTGAGCCAGCAGCAGGGCTGCCTGCAAATCCTTCCAACAGCCTCATTCCGTTCAGCCTTGTGACTGAGAAATTGGTCTCCAGTCTGAAAAGAGAAATCAGCCTGCAGCCTTTCGCCATCTCTTAGTGCAGCCCCAGCACCGTCTTTTATGGCAAGAGCACAGACATGAAAGATCCCCCAAGAAACTGCATTGCCCAGCAGAAGCGGGGCGAGGGAAAAGTTATGGGTCCTGACATTTATGACTAAAATAACATCAAAATAAAACAAAAACCAAGCGGCTCGCTGCTCAGCACACAAGCCTCTAATTGCAGCAGCCCGTAATTGGTGCTCGGGACGGAGCCCTCCTCTAGGTACCCTTCAAAGCACCAGGTTAAGGGCTCTAATCAAAGGAAAGGCGCTCTGTTCCCTCTCAAACAGAGAGCTGCGTCATTCTTATTAGTGGTAACGGCAACTGCACGCAGAGAACGGCCAGAGAACAGACCCCAGCAGCGGTTCAGAAGGTTTGTTTTGCTGCCCGTTTTCTGATGTCTTCCTTTCAGTCCTCTGAACATCATCAACATCATGAACAAATCCTCCTCCTCCCTCCACCACCACCTCGGGATAGGGCACAGCCCCTTACGTTAATGGAAAACGCAGCTAGTTAGTTCCTGCCCCGGGACAGCTGTAAATAGAAGCCCTCCCAACGCCTCTCTGCTCATCCAGGTGACTTCTGCCAGGGTGCCAGGATAACGGGGACCAAACGTCCCTTGTCCTTCCTTCCTTCCAAACCACAGGGACAGGCTCTGCTTGCACTCTACCATCAGTATGGCAATAAACCTCTGCTGAGGTTTAATTTTAACAATTACTAAGTCTTGGGCTGAGGCAGGTTTGGACCAAAGCTCCTGTGCATGGCACAGGGCCGGGCAGCAACGAACTAGGAGACACCAGCTTGGCAAAAGAGCTCCCCGAATTCCCGGGCATCCCCCAAGCCCCGCAACCCGTGCTCCGCAGCCACCGCCTCCGCGCTGCCTTCCCTGCCTTTCCACCCACCCCATGGACACGAGAGCGGCAGCTCCTGCCCGTGTCTGCCGGCACGTGGGCCAGGCGCCCACTGGGATCTCAACCAGCTTCCCGCTGGAGCCCTCCGAGGGAGGTCCTTGTTCCCCGGCACTAACGACTGCATCCTCGGGGCCGGCTCGGAAGCAGCTGCCCAGGATTGGAGCCGAATCCCTGGCAACACGTTCCGGCCCGCAAGGCACAGGTCCCAGCCTGCCCACTTATTTAAATGAGCTCCCAGCCTTGCTCAAAAGCCCTAAAAATACTCGGAGCATTTTCCTTCTGTTCTGCTTTGCTTCAAAGTTCCGGGCTACAGACTGAGTTTCGTCAAGGGTACAAGGATGATGCACGGAAACACGATGCAGATTTTGCTTATAGTTAAACTGCTTGAAAAGGCCTTTTCCACCCGAGCTGCTGGCAGCTGAAAAGCAGAAGGCGAGAGCATTGCAGCTTCCAATGCTGCTCAATTCAAGATCAACAATGATTGCTACGGCTTTTGCGTGGCTAAATGAAACCCCATTCCCAAACATTCGGCTTCACCAAATTGTCACATAGACCCGTAAATAAACCCGCTCTAATAATTTCAGTGCTTTATTTAGCACAGAGGTTAGCCAAGTTTTTCATTTGCACAGCCTGCACTTAGGCACATAGGGCCAATCCCGGTAAAAAGCCGTGAAAAGGGAACCTTTTTCAGGGGAGCAGCAATCCTAAAGGTAAGACAATTTGCCAAACAGCTCCGCTGCTGGCACAAGCGGATCTCTCTGGCAGCCCTGCTAAGGATGCATTAGCAGGAGCGGGGCCGGCATCTCCCCTTCTGCAAAGCAAGGGCCCCTTCCCTCCCATTCCCTTCCATTCCAGCAGAGCCAGGTGCTCAGGCGGGGGCTGCAGGCAGCAATGAAAGGCAGCCGGGAAATCCCTGCGTGCTTAATTTGGGCCCCCGGATGCACTGGGATTTCAACCTCCAATTAAGCAGCACAAACCCTGTTTGTTTTCCCCGGCCACCCTTCGTAGCCGGGCGAGCTGCTCCAGGCAGCCGGGCTGCGTTTTGCCTCGCGTGGGAAGCACAAACGACACAGAGCAAGGCAAGAGATGCGGGGGCCCGAGGGGAGCCGCAGAGAAAGTCACTCCAGTTTGGACACAAACCCGACCTGCTCCTATGTCCCTCGTGCCCACACTGCCTTTGCCAACCCTACGGATGCACGGCTGTAGCCGAAGGGAGCGGGCTCCGGAATGCTAATCCAAACCATCCTGGAGAGAAGGGCTTTTAGCACCCGGCGTGCCAGCAGGGTGTCACGCAGCCCGGGTCCCCTCTCCGCCGTGAGGGGCACTAGTGTGAATAAGCATCCTGTCGCCAGGAAATTTTCACAGCCTCGAACCCCAGGGGAAGGCAGTTTGTTTTTAGCTCTGCTGCAGCCTCCTAGGGCCGTCTCGATGAGACACTGGAGAAAAGCAGCCTGTGGAAAGCTCTGCTCGGGCTCCTGAAGCCGGATCAGGAAATGCCCTGTGTGGTCAGACCCATCAGGGACCATGTCACGGTGCTGCTCCCAGGGCAGGAGATCCGTGTCCCTCCCGCAGCATCAAACCTCTTCTGGCTTGTGGCCAGCTCACACATGCTCTTATTAGACTGTTCATGATGTGGAAAAGAGGGAGGAAAAAAAGGGGAGTATCTTTGTAATCTGTATTTTGCAGTCTTCCGTGAAACAATATCACTATATGAAGTAACTTGAGACCTTTATATGTCACCTCATTAACTGATGATTTAATGATTCCGCAATTACCTTGCGTATGGATCCCTTGGTCTTATATATAAATGAGAAAGATTTGTGTTTGTGAGTCAGTGCTCACAACCCATCAGCGCTGCCGTCTGGCCTGGTTCGTCTCAAACACTCAGAACTCAGCCCACTCCAAAGAACTTCCAAGCAATTCCTCTAATTAACCTAATTAATAGACAACCACTTTCGCCATTGCTACGAGGATGGCACCAAGTCATTGCCATTACAAACCCTTCACACCGATTCCAAATTCACTGTTTAAGTGAATCACGTATTAATAGATGCTGCTTTCCTGTCTTTTCTTGCCAATTCTTTACACATTGAAGCATTAAGAATAGGATCTTAAAAAGGTTTATAAACAGTCTCACTTGAGACTCCAATAACACGGCACTTGCTTCACAAGGAAAACATAAAAAAGAGAGGCAAAAGCAGAAAGATGTGAAGTGTCAGAGAAGCTGGAGAAATTTCGTTTCCCCCTCTCTGCACGTGGCTAACATTACTAGAGAACCAAGGTTTTAAAATGCAGTTAACACAAGTATTTGCCTTCAGAGAGAAAGAGGAAATGAGCTTTTTAGAGAGTTAAGATTTCTTTAAAAATACAAGTAGAACAACGAATAAAACTTTCTCAGGAAAGCTTTCCCTGAATAAAGAAGAAAACTATGCCTAAGGGTAGTACTTGACCCAATTTCTTTAAAATTTCACCTCTACTTTTAACAATTTTTGTATTGTAGCTTGGAAACATTAAGTTTTAACTCAGTCCAGTTTCTTTGATTAACTGCACAAGAGAGCATGAAAACTGAGTCTGGTTACTTACGATGTTCTCGGTTGAGAATTGGGCAACGTTTTTGAAGGTGCATCATACTGTTCTGTAAATCAAAAATGAATCAATTGGTTTCGTTTGCCTCACTTGTAGCATGTTTTACTCTACAGTCTTTGTGTGTCAGATTGGAAAGTCTCTCTTTGAGGATATAATCATTTGCCATTGAGATTAATCCTCATTCCGGATAAGAGTGTCTTAACAAAATATTGTTTTTCTCTGCTGAACAGTTGCCTTAATTTCTACTTAATGAATGTATACGGCCTTTCAAGCACTGTCTTAATTTATTTTTTTCCAGTAAAACAGGGAAAATTGGGCTTCTTAATCAGTGTAAATATTTGATATCCTCCCCAACATACAATGCACTCATAAAACACAGTGAGTTTTCCTTGGATTTCTACTTACTCTGATTCTGTGCTACAGATCCAACATGCTGGGAATCCTAAACACAGCAAAAAAAAAAAAAAAAACCAGAAAATTCAGAATAAGAGAAGCCTGTTGATAACTGCATAACTATGATTTGTTTGCCACGTGTTGATCACTGTAATAAACATCTTCCTTGTGCAAGTGTCACTTTGGGATGCTGGAATGGAAGATGGCCTGACATAATATATATATATATGAATATATACATGAATGGATACAAATGAAGCCTGTGCTGCTGCCACCAGAAGCAGGCTGCTAGCGCTACCAGTGGCACCTTTATTTTTGAAAAGATATGAAATTTTAAAAAGAGCTGCCAAACATTCCTGTTTGACACATTTGGCACATGCTTGTGCTGACAAGACAGATAAAATATCCTGGATGCTGCAGCAGGGAGGAGTTTCTCAAAAGGTTCTGGAAAGGCAGTTATATTTGGCGCCCACAATTCTAATGTGCATCTAGATAAACCTCTGCCTCAGGCGTGGTGCAACTCTAAAAATCTAAATCCCACTTGCAAAACTAAAAAGGTAAATAGTATTTGCATTATTGTATGGCAAAACCAACAAATAACTACTCAGAAGTACAACCTGATCCAATTTCTCAGTAAAATAAGTGGGCCTCAAACAGCAGTTATGCAACTTGAAAACCACTGTGCTTTCATTTATCTGACCACTTCTAAAGATCATCTCTCCTAACGGCCGCTGCCTTATCAAAGGAGGAGAGGGGAGCTGAAGGCTCGTTGGGAAAGCTCTCTTGTAAGGTCTCAGAAAGGTCTGCCCCAAGGAGGCTACCTTACCTTTGAGGGAAACGGGAATTTGCAGGGCTCTGCTGTGCTCGGTGTATGAATCGCAGTCAAAGGAGGTGGCCATGAGTGGGTCATTTCCTGGAAAGAATATGAGGACAAGAAAAGAGTATATTACTGATAGGTGCAGGCGAAGTTTCACACTTAAAAAGACTAATAGATAAATACTCAACACCTTGCAGACCCAACACTGCACACGGCAGTGAAAAGCCTTCCTCTGAGCCCAGCAGTCGCAGCACTGAATTCCTGGCCCCCCATCTGCAGGCACCTTGGCATGACCCAAGCAGCAAAAATCCACAGGAAGCCTGTACAAAGCTGGAGGATGTTTGAAGGGTTTGCAGGATTAGGCCCCAGAATTACAGCCACCATGGCTAATAACAGGGAGAAGTAAATAGAGCCCATATATGAGTAGCTCGTGGGTTTTGCAAAGCACAGGACTTTCCTGTTATGGAAGTTCTTATATCCCATTACAGCACTAACCTCCTGAGAGGCCTTTCGTAACTCGAGGAGGTCAGCCAGGGAGCTCGGACCACGTGCCAGCCCCTCTGTTATTCCACCTAAAACACTGGCTCGTTTCAAGGATTTTCCCGTCAGCAACAGAGGCGTCCCTGACACAGCTCCAGCACGCAGCTTCGAGCCTAGCAGAGCGCCTGGCAAATTGCTTTATTTTAAGGAATCCTTCCGCCTTATCCCCCTCCCTGCCGTTCAGCCAGGCACCAGCTTCGCGGGCTGGAAGCAGAGCCCAAAATCCAGAGTCACGGAACAGGGCTCAGCAAGGGAGCCCCCCTTCCCACTTGCCTCTTGCGGCCTCTTCTGGAAGTATTTGCCAGGTCCGGCACACAGAGGGATCCTGGTGCTCAGCACATGCTCAAATACTTGGAGGAGGGTTCGGAGACGTGGCCTTGGGAAGCTGGGCTTCCCCAAGGAACCTAGGAAGACCTTGGTAAAAAGAATCCCACTAGGGAGATTTTCCTTGGCTCTTAATCTGCAGGTTTAAAATCCAGACGAGCCTGACGTTCACTCCACAGATTACAGGAATTCACAGGGATTTCCAGGAATTCCACAGGACCTGCAGCCTCCGCGGCCTGCGCGGGAGAGCAGCGCGTGCCGCTTCCTGCCTCTCCTCCATCCCGCCCTCCGGAGCGGCTCCCTGCCAGTTCCCCAGAAAAGGGAGGGCGCTAAGGCAGCAGCAGGGGCCGATTTCGCTGGCGGCGCCGGCGCTCGGCGGGTGCGGCGCGGTCCCGCTGGGACAGGGCTCGGGGAGCCTTGGCCGGTGCCAAGGGCTCCTTGGGGAGCTTTTGCGGCCCTTACACCCCAGCGTGACAGGCTCCACCGGGCCAGAAGTGACAAGGGCTCTTTTTGCCATCAGGGCTAAATTAGGAAAAACCTCTGAAGCGGCTCCGGTTTCCCGCTCAGTTAAGGGAAGGAACTAGGAGTAAAATGAAGGCACAAGATTTATGGGGGCCTCTGCAGCTCCTCACGGGCGCCTCCAGAGGCCTGGCAGGAGTGGGTGGCACGGGCAGCTCGGAGCGTCCGGCCGCTCCATGGGAAGCCCAAACGCTGCCTTCCAAAACAGCAATGCCCTGACTTGGCTGCTGCTGCTTTTCCCGCCCCGGCTGGCTTGTCACTCCTCCTTGAGGGCTTCCCAGATCCTCATATCCGGGCGGAAAGGTGCCTCAAAGCTCCGGCTGCTCCTGCGACGGGCGCTGTCGCTCCTGCACCGCTGCCCCGTACCCACCGACCCTGCTGCATCGCTGCTCTGGCAGAAGCAAGGCCTGGATGTCCCCCCATGCACACAAGTGCTATTTTAAAACCCACGGAAGAGCCGGGCTGTTCCAGGAGGACACCTACCTTCAGGATCTCTTCAACGCAGTGCACATCGCCGGGGAAGGTTTGCTGCAACAAAAGGGAGAGCAGCAGCGTGAGTCTGGGTTCTTTTTACCCCTTGACGTGAGGCCAAGGGGGAAACGGTTGAACATTCCCTTCCCAGGGGTTCTGTGCATTTTGTGCAAGTCAACTCATCAACAACCTCTAATTAGAATTAAAAACGAAACAAAACAAAACAAAAAAAAACCCACATCAAAAGAGCAGGTATTAATGATGCATTTCCACGCTGTTGGTGTTCTCAGGTGTTTAGGAGACGAGGTAGTCTACAGAACCTGAGAAAGAAGTTTCTCCATGAACCATGTCCTGAAGAAATCATGGAAGAAAAGGAAACAGAGGAGCTGGTCAAACAGCACTCGTCCCATGGGATGGATTTTACGCCCGTCCCGACCCGCCTCCTTGTTTCTACCCACCGGCAGGGGCTTGGCAGAAAGGGGGGTGCGACCAAAGAGAGAAGGGGAAGGAGACGCCGGGCTGGAGCGGAGGCATCCTGGAGCACAGGGAAGCTCTGGGCTAAGTCCCCAAGGAAAAGCAACATCTGCCGCTCGTGTAACGGAGAGCAGATACTGCCGCTTGTGCCAGCACCGGAATCTGCCTTTAGTACAGCAGCAAAACCACTTGGCAGCTGCTGGCAGAGGCCCCTCTGTCCAGAGCTGCCCAAACCAGCAGGCCCTCATCTGCCCCCCATATGGGGCCTGTTCTCCGCGCTGGGCGCCGGGCTCCGCAGCATCCCGCTGCCTCGCGGGACGAGGATGGGGCTTTTCTCTGGAAAATGAGGCAGCCCCGTTTGCTTCTGACCTCGCTCACCCTGGGATAAACCCGCGGCCGAGAGCTGCTCTTCTTCCCGGCTGTTTGAGAGGGCAGCTCGGCCCGCGGCTGCTGTGCGAGCAGCAAGTCACCTCGCGCCACGATGCAGTCACTCCCACATGACACTTGGGAATAGCTGGACTTGCTCGTGGATTTAAATGCACAGGAAGCTTTGCAAGGCTGGTTTCATAGGCCATTGCCATGCTCGAAAGCTTCTAAACTTTCGGCACGGGTTGGTTTTAACATGTTGGGGATAAAGAGGATGAAGAGCAAAGTTAGTGAAGACATTCAGCTAAAGCAAAGGAAACTCTTGTTAAGGTATTTTTGACATCATACACCATCAATATAGTTTTATGCCTCTCGCATGTACCAAAGAAGATCCAGGTGCTTTCAAAACGGCAAGACACCACCACAATCTCTGCTTCATACACTTCTTGCAAGACATGAATTTTCCATGTCACCAAGTTGCACAACTGGCTCATAAAGCCTGAACAATATTTTGCAAAGAGGCACTCTCCCAAGGTTAAGAAAGTACTGAGCGTGATAGGCCTCAAGTGCTGTTAAGCCTAGCTAAAGCTGCCCCAAAAGTGTCTTTTGGTTCAACCTCATATTGATGCAATAGCTCAAACCAGAAAGACTTAAGAGTTTTAACCTGCACCCAACATCTCCTTCTGTGACGCCCACAAACTCCTCCACTTCCGTGACCTCAGTCTAGAGGAAATCTCTATGAGGGCACCCCAATGGTTAAAAAAGAAAAGGAAAACACAGGTGAGGAAGATCTTCCGGAAAGACTTGCCAACGATTCCTACAGAAGCATCGTGCTGGCTTCTCTCCAGCCACACGCCCTGATCTGGGAACAACACCGAGCATCTCCCTAAACATACGGCTTTGCCAGAGTCTCAACGGAACAAGCCCTTTTGCTCCTTTTTAATGGGGACAGAGCTGAAGAGTCTCTCGGATTTTTAAGGAATTGGATGTAAAGGACAGCATCCCTTTCTCCCTCGCTCTGCCATATGCTGACGGAGCCGAGGAGCCGCTGGCGCGTGGAGCTCGGAGGCGGGAGCTGCCTCCTCCTTTTCCCATCACTTGCTTCTCCGGGAGGCTCCGGCAGAGGCAGCTCAGGTGGCCACAGGCGTCGCAGCCCCTCGGGTTCCTCCTCATCTCGGCCGCTTCCCCGCGCGCCTCCGCTGCCGGAGCCCCCTTCCGAGCTCCCGCTCCAACATCTGGCCTGGAAAGGGGCTGCATCTTCCCGGGCACCGCTCGGCTCCCGCGGCACCACCGCGTGAAGGTCCAGGGCACGGCCTTGCTCCCCGCCAGCTGGGTCCTCTCTCGACTGGAGAGGGCAGTTTGTGGCACACGTGCCGATCAAGCTGAACAGCGACGGCTCTCGGCCTCATTTTAGACCCCGCCTCAAGTCCAAGCCAGGCAAGGCCGACTCCATGCTCCGCACTGCTCCTTCGTGGTGTTCATCTTCCTCAGTCCCTAACTTGGCCACTGCAGCTACCAACAGAAAAAGCCGCTTGTTAACTGAAAAACACGCTCTGCATTTAGAGCTGTCACCCGCCGACTGCCGCGGGCTCGAGGGATGCTCTGATCCCCTCGGGATGGCAGAAGCGGCGATTCCTGCCCTCCCTCCGGCGCTGCACAGAGCAGAGCGTGTGTGAAGCCTGCGCGTGAGGACACCGGTGATGAAGATCAGCCACCCAGGCACCACGAGGAGAGGGCTCTCGGCAGGGCTGGCCTCGAATTGTCCACCTGAAGCACGTCTGTATTTCGCTGCAGCGTTTCTCCCCCGCCGCACACGTCTGTCTGTCACTCACTCACTGATCCCCAGCACCGCCCGATGAAAAGGCCGTCTCAAGAGGCCAGGAAGATAAAAAGCTTTTCCAGCTGCAGCCGCTCCAGGGCTGCTTTGCAGGCAGCCAGGTTCCCCCAATGATCCTCCAAGCAGCAGCCACTTAGGTGAACACCATTTTCTCACTGTGAACAATTCTTAAAAGAAGAATCCAACAGCAAAACTGCATCCAAAAGAAGAATAAGAAGAAGGTGCAGGGAGGCAGTCGAAACAAGATTTTTCTCTGATTTCTTCCAGTTTGGGAATTTTTTTAAAGTTCGTATTAAAGCTCTGGCATTTCTTACAGCACTTGACCGCGGTCAACGAGTCCAAGCTCTGCGGGACAGGATTTGTTTAAAACCTCATATTCTCCCGAGCTAAATATATCCCTAATGACTGCCTCCATCAATGATGCGAGGGGCTTTAAAGGCCATTTGCTTATGCAGAAGAGGGCCTTGGGTTTCATTACTACAGTAACCAGGAACACACAAACACGACTTGGCAGCCGGCTCCCCGCACAGGCCACTCGAGCCGCCCGAGCGACCGGGGGCAACTCTTGGCGCGGGAGGATGGACCTGGAAGAAGAGAAGACCCTTTTCTCAGCAGGTTGTCCCCGTCTAAAATTAATTTTGCAGGAGGTTATAATTACCACGAGCCTCATGGTTTTTAGTGCTGAGGGCTGGAGCTTGCCTCGTTCCAGCAGAGCCGGGGGTGCCCAAAGCAGGGGAGGCTCAGGAAGGTGGAGGAGAGGCAGCAAGGGGAAACCAAAGCAAGAGAGCTCAACCAGAAAGCAGATTTTATATATAAAAAACAACAACAACGAAAAACCTTGTTACTGGCCTATTTCTGTAGAAAGAAAGGAAACTCTGTGCTGCTGCAGAATTGACTACGCACAACACAGAGATGGGAGAGATGGGAAAAAATAACATTTTGTCTTCTTTTGCTAGGATGCACAAAGGCTTTGCGTGCTCTGGGCAAACGCGTCGTGGATGCATTTTAATAAAGGACTCTCTGCAAACCCTAAGGTGAGCAGGTAACCGCCGTGCCCTTTGCTAGCCTTCAAACACGACACCAACTGCAGGAACAGCCCCCAAACCCGGGCACGTGGAGCCTGCTGAGCTTAAGCCTCACGAGCAGACAGCAACTTTTTGTTTCACCCCTTAAGCTGCTCTAGGTCAAGGAGCTGGGCACCAAACACCTCTCCAACCTGCTGGGGACACTGTGTCCTTCAGGACGATCCTCCATGAGCTGGTCCTGAGGATGAAGAGCACGAACCGCCGCGTTACAGCGCGTCAGCTGGCTATGGACAGCCTGGGGGGCACGGCCTGTCAAGTTTAATACGTATTTACACCTCAGGTTTCATATATTTCAAGGCTCCAAATTCCTAAGGGGCTCCAGCTTGACCTGCTCGAAGGATCTCCCCGCTGAAGAGCCCCTGATTTGGTGCAAGCCGGCAGGAATTGGCCTCTCCAAAGGAAGCAGCGTGAGGAAAGCACTCGGGTCTGTTCATTCAGACCCAAGCCAAGCCCGGAAACCTCTCAATTCCTTGGCAAAATAATCCGCCCATTAAGCCGCTTGCAAACCTGGACACCAGCGAGTACCCCGGGCATGCTTAGACTGCAACCGAGGGTGTTCAAAACAAGAAATCACTTCCCCTTCGAGCTTAAGGCTTCGGGACGCAGGCTCTCCCATGGCAAAGTGGGCTCCAAGGCTTAGCAGAAGGTGCTTCTCTGGATCAGGGCCTCGTCTTTGGTCCTTCGGAGCAGGGACATGTAACTAGATCTCGTGGTGTGACCACGACCGTGGATAAGAAGCTGCCAAACTCTCCTGCACTGAAGGTTAAAACTCAAGTTTTAACTTTCTCCTCATAAAAGCCAAGCTCTTGCCCGCGGAAGAGCCGAGGTTCTATTTTTAAGCCTGAGCGGAAATTTAAGAAATAGTCTTAACTGCTTCCCACCACGGGAACTTAACCTGTGGGAAAAGCCTTGCAGGATATCCTCTCTCTTGGAAAGGCGACTTTCCCCATTGTTGCACGCTTGACCCAAAAGCAAAAGGATATTCCTGCATCTGGGAGAAAAGCACTTCACCGTGGCACAGATGACTGCAAGTCGTTGCCAGTCTTGCCCACCAGTTACCCGGGCACTGGCTTCAGTATAAAGTTACAACTTGCTCTGTAAAAACTATCTATTAAGGTTGAAGAAGCTTCACTTTCAACCCTGAGCGCCGGAATTGATGGCAAAGGCTGGTGAAGGGCAAGGACCCAAGGGACTGCTGCTGCCCTAACCAACGGCTTGCGAGCGTGCGGAGCTTCCCGGGCTCCCGTAGCCTCCGGCAGCTCCGCGCAGCAACAGCATCGGGTGGGCGGTTCACA